GTCAATTAAACTTACAATTCGTTCCACTTGTTTATAACAAGATGCGTTGTATTTAGCAGTTGGGAGGCTATCCCATATTTCAGCCTTTTGATCACCAACGCGCACCACTACCAAATACTAATGACTACCAATTCGATCCAAAACGGGGATGAACATCTAGGAGCACAATAAGTTGAAGGGAATATTGTGAGAATGGTGTTGTGTAGAGATTTCTAAAAAAACTATATATACAACCAAACTTTGAGAGTATAAATCACCTAGCATGCCATATTTAATATGAAATCAAAATAAGAGCGGAAGCATTAAATAAACTAGGGATTCATGCAAGTCTCATTTGGTCCCAATCTTTATAAGTCTATGAAAGTGTGCACCAAGACTCTCTAAATCCTATTTGAGAAAAAGATGAGATGTTCATACCCTTGAAGCAAATCTTGAAACCAAGAATGGTGTTCAAGTAGAGGGAGTGGTCCCTTTGTTATTGGCTCTCTCTTTGATGTTGATTCTCCACCTTGTAGCTCTTCAAATAGGTACAAAGATATGCACCTCCCCGAATCTCTTCATCAAGGATTGAATGAGATGAGAGAATGAGTAGACAACAAGTGAAGAGTGGTGCGAGCACCTTCACTTGATGTGATAGATTCAAGGGGTTAGGGAGAGAGAGCTTGATGTTTTTTCTCTTCCAATTTCACCAACTTGAAAAAACCCCTAGGATGATAGGATTCCATAGCTACACACTTATAGGATCAAAAATGTCACAAGAGTGATAAAAATGCCCCCAAGCCCTAGTGTAGCCACACCCCCTTTTTGTGTGTCGTCTTTTGTTATCTTGGTCCAACACATTAATCCTATAATGTGTCACATATGTGCCTAAGTCCATATGGTCAAATCCTTTTTGAATTTCCAAGTCATATGGGACCTTTAATTAAAGTTTCATAACTTTAATTGAATAATTAAATTAATCTAATCAATTTAATTACTCTAGTGACTTAACTAATTTAATCACTCACTTGTATAACAAGTGTTGGTCCTGGTCATCCTTAGTTGACCGTGTCAAGTGTCGGGTCAATTGTTTTACCTTTGACTTTCACATTGACTTCGACCAAGTCACAAAATCATTCATTCTCTTCATAATTTCTCAATCAATTCCTTTTCGGTGTGCGATCTTATAGATTCTAATTAGCGAGGCAGTGGGTATGAATGATTCACTCTGAATCAAGTGTGAATTGTATCCCTCCATACAATTCTCCCTATTGGCGAATGCTAATTATAATTAGTCCTTACAGGGCTTCCACAAGCCATGAGTGACACCTAGTAGTATGTCATGGCTACCTAAGCTAAAAAGAATTCATTTAGAGAACCTAGTCAGTTTGTGATTACAATGCAATTCGATCCTTCTATAATTCAATACTCTATGTCATATTCTCGGGATATGGTAAACTTGTGTCAAGATCCCTAATATGACATCTCTTGATTATATGATTCAATTTGATGAAATTGCAAACGTTCTTGTTTCAATTTCCATCCAATACTTTGGCCAAAGATTCACGAATCATATCTTTAGAGTATTCTCTCTTCTTACTAAGAGCAGAGATTTCTTGTTGTACATTCACCTATCTCTGTGTACACATTGAGAATCGTGAGGAACATCTTTAAGTCACATCATTTTGATACGACCGTATAGTGCTTTGAAAGAGAAACAACAAATACAAAAGACAACTGTGATGTCTCAAGTCTAAGGATAAATTTGCATATCCACCTTAGAATTCTTTTTTTGACACTTGTGAGTAAGACTTCCATACAAGAATTCTAGAGTTAATCGCGTTTAGTGGACTCCATCTTCTATAGAGCACCTACACATTTGTCTCAATGTCTCTACACGAATGACTTGAGACTAGTCATCCTCCCAATTGAGCAAACATAATGTGTACTAGTCTTTACGGGTCACCATTGTCCAATTGGTGATCCTATGACCAGGAACATTTTAGGATATGATATTTATATGTATGGAAAGGTCTCGTGCATCTAATTTCTTTAGACCACTTTCCATTTATATCTTAATCCATGGACTTATTACTTTGTAGGAAGAGGAAAGTTTTTTTCTTTTTAACAAACCTCCCCACTTCTTAGAGTCAAGAATCCAAGCACAATACTCTTCATTTGGTTGACTAAGAAATGCTTCATAATTATGACACAAATTCGTCAAAAAATTTAGTTTATATTAACTCTAGGATTTTTCATTTCTAAGTGCTGTTCACATCTCACTTGGTCATTCCAGTTGCATTGGCCTAATAACATTAGCTTAATCAATACTTAAGATATTTGTAATTGTAAGTATCAGCTTAGATCTTGGAAAATTTCAGATTGAACAGCAATGTAGTTTAATTTACACCCCCTGCTTCAACTATGGCTCTAAAGTAAGTATAATCCTTACTTATTTTGTTGTTAATATTAATTAGTTTTGTATATTAGGAGTTATCTCCTCTACTTTGTTATTTTTATGCCTTTCAATATAATGTATATTGGGACAATACTTTGCTATTTTTATGCCTTTCAATATAATGTATACTGCAACAATTATTTGCTATTATCTATTTCTCATACTCAACACATATTGCTTTAATAAGAATGGGAAAGAATGTGGAAAGTTCATCAAAAGTTCCAGCTACATGGAATAACCATAATATATCCATATTCTATGATATGTGCATCAAGGAGGTGGATGTCGGACGTCGTCCTGACACTCATTTTAAAAAAGAAGGATGGAAAACTTTGAGAGTCAACTTTAATAAAGAGACAGGAAATAGTTAGAGTGTTGCTATTTCCACCCACCTATCCTATTTCCCCACTCATCTTTATCTTCAAAACTTTAAAGACAAATTTATCCCTTTGTAAATTGACTTCTCTATCCGTTAGCTAATTGTTGACACCTGAACACTCACTTAACTCTAAATTAACACTGTTAAGTAAAAAAAAAAAAGTAAAAACAAAAACAAAAAATTAGAAGAGAAAAAAGGCCCAGCAAACAACTACCAAACCACTCACCCGACACCACAAACCGACCTCCCCTCCTCATCTCACCACCAGCCACATATTCAACATTCTTCAAAACTTCAAAACCACGCAATCCCAATTCCACATTTCAACATTCTTCAAAACCACACAATCCCAATTTCATAAATTCAATATTTTAGAAAACCTCGAAAACTCAATTCCAAAAATTCCACTACTTTTTATAACCCAGCAGACCTAATTCCACAAATTCAATCATTTTCAAAACCCATCAAACCCAAGTTCATAATTTCAATAATTTTCAAAACCCAGCAAGAGGGCCAACAACGAGAAGGAACATGTGGATAACATCATTGTAGCACTTGAGCATGTTAGGGTTTAGGGTTTAGGTACATCACAGGGTGGTTCTTGTTAGGTTTGGTGGAGTGTACGGCGGCTGCAAAACTGAAACTTATCATTTTCTATTTTTTTTTTTTTTTTATTTTGACCCAACAATGTTAAGTTAGGGTTAAAAAGTTTTAAGTGAATGTCCAGGTGTCAATAATTAAAGGGTATTTTTGGAATAATAGTGGGTGGAAAGATAATACTTTATTTTTTAATATTTAAATGATGGGTGGAAAAATAAGATAGGGGGTGGAAATAGCAGCACCCAATAATTATGATAAGGGGCAACTGAAAAATAAGTGGGATGCACTCAAAATTGAGTGGAAATTGTGGAAAGAACTCATAATTAAAGAAATAGGTCTAGGGTGGAATTCGAGCAAGGGTACTATTGATGCGTCTAATGAGGGGTGGAATAATAAAATTAAGGTGTGTGCAATATTTCTTTTTAGATTAATCTTTTGTCTTCTCCTTTTTATTTTATTAACATGCATTTCTATTAACAATCCAGTTGTCTCTATAATGTAGATAAATGCTGAATATGCAAAGTTTCTTAAAAAAAGCATTAATCCTGATATGGAGGAGAAACAAGATAGGATATTCATGAATACCACGGCCACTGGTAAACATGCTTGGGCACCTTCATGTGGTATACTCCCACCAGAAACTGAAGAGGCATCCATGGGTGAAGTTATTCCACTCGAAGGAAGTGATGACTCATATGATTCCAATACAATTGAAACGATTCAAGCTATCAAGAATGCTATTTTTTTTTTTTTTTTTTTTTTTTTTTTTTTTTTTTTTTTTTTTTTTTTTTTTTTTTTTTTTTTTTTTTTTTTTTTTTTTTTTTTTTTTTTTTTTTTTTTTTTTTTTTTTTTTTTTTTTTTTTTTTTTTTTTTTTTTTTTTTTTTTTTTTTTTTTTTTTTTTTTTTTTTTTTTTTTTTTTTTTTTTTTTTTTTTTTTTTTTTTTTTTTTTTTTTTTTTTTTTTTTTTTTTTTTTTTTTTTTTTTTTTTTTTTTTTTTTTTTTTTTTTTTTTTTTTTTTTTTTTTTTTTTTTTTTTTTTTTTTTTTTTTTTTTTTTTTTTTTTTTTTTTTTTTTTTTTTTTTTTTTTTTTTTTTTTTTTTTTTTTTTTTTTTTTTTTTTTTTTTTTTTTTTTGTTCCAATCGATCTCAAGACACTGCCTCTTTACAACCTGAGGTTCAAGATCCAAATTGGTGCTGGTGGCATGTGCTTCTGCGAACGATCCAAGCAGTATTTGTTCCCATGCTTTTGTTTTCCAAGTTGAAGATACCCATGTCATGAGGCCCTTTAGGTTTATGGCATTCTACATCCACACAATCATCAGTGAAGTATATGGAATTTGGCTGACAACCTGGAAATTCCAGAGCAGAGACACACATGGATTGATTGGTACCCAAAAAACAGAGCTTCATTTCCAATACTTTCAATCTCAACCCATTGGGGTCTCTCCCCATGAGCACAGAACAGCTTGAAAACCTTGAAGCTCAGAGTCTCCGTAAAACGATCATAACCATTACTTGTTCAAAATTTAACCTTTCAAACTTGAAAAACTTGAAGTTGAGAGACTTCATAAACCGCTTACAATAATTTACTCGTTTGAACTTCCTAACCAGCAAAAGATCTCCCTTGGATGATTGCACAAGGTATGTTTATTGTCTGTGCCTGGATCCATTGGCACAAGTAAGCTTACATGGGGTTTAGTAGTTTGATCCCTGCTAACATTCATCGAAAAAACACTACCACCCAAACTAACACCTAGAAACTGGCCTTTATAATAAATTACATCATCGAATCCGATCATTTGATCTATGCTAGTCCAAGCATCATCCCCTGATTTAAAATGGGCTATATGTTTCCCATAGCCATCATAGATGACCAATACTTCATAGTCATTAGGAAGAAAAGAAGGGTCTGCAGACAATACAACTTTATTAATGTAGTAATCACATCTATAAGCTACCGTCGATCTCCAAGTGGATTTGGGGACTGGTGGAAGGCTAATGGTACACCCGGTAAAAGGGTTTAAGAGGGTTACTACCAGATTCTCATCCACACAAGCCAACCAACCATGGGAAGAACCACAGAACCTCTTACTGTAATACACATTCAACTCAAAGCTACAAGTCTTACCTTGTGTCACACTATACAAGCCACGCCTTTCGCTGCTACTGTCTATGGTGGGAATTATGAGCATAGGAATCTGCTTGTGACATGATTTGATGCGCTGCTTCTTGCGATATAAAGCGACTGATTGCCAATGCTTGCAAACTGCACTAAATCGGATATAGTCAGAGACTTGGGATCAACTTTTCTAGAATCAAATCCAGAATGTTGCTTGGAAGCCATGCCCAGCCTGAAACTAAGGTTGGAGCATCTTCCATTGTGCTACATTTGACTTATTTAGGTGGCTAGCTTGGAATTGGTTTTCATTGACAATTTATGAGGAATCAAGAGGCTTTCCTTAGGCTACAGTTCCTCAGGCATGAACATTGGTGAGCTGTGCTCCCCAGTTACAGCATTGGAATATTCCCCCTTTCCTGCAAAACCGATGAAATTGTGATTGTTTTTCCTTGTATATATGGTTCAACATGGCCATGTCTAATTTAGAATTTTAGAAGGTTCCAAAAGTAGCAAGCTGGCCTGTGACATAATAATAAATTAATTAATAACTAGCTTCACTGCATAAGGTTGGAGACGGCATCATAAGCCGATGGAAAAGATCCCTCTACCCCGTCTGTGTAGAGTTCCATCAAAGACAAGAAGAATCAACTAACCGACTGGCCAAATCTTTTATCCCCAACTCTCCATCCATTCACCCCACGCCTAATCACACCAATCCCAACCCTACACGTGTCAGACAAGCCCAAATCTTGCATACCAGGTCCCACATTCAACGTGGGTCATCATTTCCAAAGTAACCCTTCGTGCCATCCAGCCTTTAGTCAACGAAAACTTCTTCCCCTTCTTCTGTCCCTAAACATAAAACCTCTGATTTGTCTTTCTCCACTTGGTCTGATAACCGAGCAGAGTGCTCTGTTTTCACTCCAAACAGACATTGGAAAATGAAAGCAGAGGTTGTGAAATTGTTGTTGGTGAACCTAGCAAGTATTACGCAGAGAGCTGACGAGTCGTTGTTGCCAGGGGTGTACAAAGAGATGGGGGCCAGTCTGCACACGGACCCGACTGGGTTGGGCTCACTCACTCTGTTCAAATCCATTGTCCAGTCTCCCTTGCTATGCGGACTGGTCAGTTTGGGCATCTTTGAGGTGGGTGCTTTCTTTTCAAAAATAAATATAGCGTAATATGGAATAATTATTTTGGTCATCTTTGAGGATCTAAGAGAACCCATAATTAGTTAGGCAAGTGATATTGTTAGTGTTTTATGTTGAGTTGTTTCTCAAATGGGCAAATACAAAACGCTGTTTCATGTCTTGTCCAATTATGATTTTGCTATGAGAGACCCCGATATTGATAATTTACCTTGACTTTTTACTGATTAGTGAAGACACACTATTAGTACATTCACGTAGACAGTGTACACAGTAATAAAATAATAACTTTTTATAGGGTCTCTGATATTTTACATTATCTTAGAGAAAATGGGAAAGACAATATCCAGATACTAAAACATGGGATTTGTCCACAAAAAAAACATGGGATGGGATGGTGTTACTAACATATACATCTTGGTTGTAAACATTAAAATCCAGCTTTTACCATGTCGATGAAGCTTTTTCATATGAATTTGGATACTCTACTTGCCTTGGCAATCCTTAGTTTCTAACCTCAGTCTGTCTATTACAACTCCAACTGTTCTCCAATCTAATTGGAGACCAAGGAGATTGCCAAGACAATGAGAGCATCACCATCCTTTTCATATTTGAGTTGTGTTTACGGAGGAAGGTGCAATTAGCCAAGTCCAGCTTCTGCTTTGGGAAGCTTCTCTATTAATTTCTCTCAGATTTGAGAACCATGTAGTTATAATTCCCCATGCAACTGATTTTCTCTTCCCTTTTTTTGTTCCGCGGCGTCACTACGAAAGATGGACACACTAAATTTCTTTATTGGGAAAATGAAGACTATAGTAGATCAAGGATACGTACTTGTTAGTTGCTGGACTGCTCCAGGAAGTGAACAAGACCAGCCCATGCCTGAATGCTGTTGATTGGTCATCCGACAACATCTGCAACAAAATAGCTGCTAATGGAATAGCTGAACCAGAGCTTATCTGCGAAAAAAACTATCATCCTAGCATCGGGAAAGCGTTTCGCAAGATAATCCCCCATTTTTCCCTCCAAAGAGACTTCCAAGTTAGCAAGCAATTATAAAAAAAAATTGTCCAAATTAGATAACACTTTGTTGAATTATAATCTGGCAAGTCAAATGAAAGGTAAATTACTCAAACGGTCCACAAACTTGTACTCGATTTACATTTTGGTCTCTCAATTAAATTATTAGTCCAAATGGTCCATTAACTATATATTAATCGCTCCATTGGTCTTACCGTCTAATTTTCTATTAAATTTAACCAAATTTTAGGGTAAATACGACTTTTCATAATTAACAAATAAAATAGGGTTAAAATAAATACAAAATTTGAAAATAATTGAAGAAAAAGAGAAAAAAAATCATGAGACCTAAACCCCCTCCCTTGGATTTCTTCTCCCCCATTCCCCACAGACCTCTCCATTGAGGTCCACCACTTGCTGCTCCAAATGTGTGAACTTGGCAGGTGGATTGGAAGAAGGAGAAGGCTCTTGAACGTAGGATGATGGTTCTAAAAGCTTCTGGATGAACTTTTGGTGGAGGGAGGGATTATTGGGTGATGTGTGTATAGAGTTGTGGGTATAGAGATGTGGGTGTGGGGAAAGAGTTTGGGTAGTTTGGGAGATGAGGAGGTGAGGTGGGAGGAGAGGAGAGTGCACTTGGAGGGTGAGAAATTGACAATGGCTGTGATTTTGGGAGGTGAGGTTGGCCGGTGATGAGGTGGGGCGGAGGGTGATGGGTGGTTGTCTCTCAATAACAAAGGGAAATCAAAAGGGAAGGGGAGCTGGGGTTATGGGTTCATGGGGGCCTGGGGTGGAGGGTAGTTGTTGGATGGGTTTGGGTGGAGAGTGGTTGTGGGATGGGTTTGGGGGTTGGAGTTTAAGGGTGGTAGCCATGGGGGAAGAGAGAGAGAGAGAGAGTTTTTTTTTTTTTTTTTAACGTACGAAATGACCAATTTGCCCTCATATTTAACAGCAACATTGACAGAATGTAACGATAGGACTAATGGAGAGATTAATATATAGTTAATGGACCATTTGGACTAATAATTTAATTGAGGGACCAAATGTAAATCGAGTACAAGTTTGAGGACCATTTGAGTAATTTACCCGTCAAATGAATTTACTACCTACATTTTACTATATACCACTTTATAAGTTTGTTCTGCAATGTTATAGAGCTTATTTACTTTTGTTCACCCGTTTAGATTTAATTCTTGTGATGATAAGGTAAAATTCCCCATTGACTTGAAAACTATTTGTGGTCAACAAGTCAACTTTCTTTGGTGTGCCAACGTGCTACTGTTAGCTGTCAAGACCTTAACAAACTTATGAAAAATAGATAACTTGCACCCTAAGTTATTGACTTTAAACAAGTGATTGTGAATTTGGATGAAGAATATCTCCCAAGTAAGTTCTTTTCTTGTCTCAGACTGGTGAAGACTTCACAATTTCTCACAGTAAAAACTAGTAGTTCTGGCCTAAATGAATATTAAAAATAAATAAAACTATTTTAAAGAGAATTTCCTATTACACAATTTAAAACAAAAGGGAACTGCCACGTTTGAAAGGACAACAGAACATTGGGCATCTATTTCTGCTTGGATTGTTGCCTATGACTCAGGCTGTCTGTGCTGGATTCAAACGTCAGCACCTTCAATTGATGAGGTTCAGTTGGAAATCGATATCAATGTTGAGATTGACAAACCTTTAATCTATTTTAGCCATAAAGAGCCTTGTTGGATGGGCAGAACTGGGATTTCTTCAGTCTGGATTGGATTAGATTGGATTGGAAGTGGCTGGATTGACAATTTCTGGTCTGAAACTGCACTTCAGCACCTGTTCTGCTTAATTGTGGATCACCTGCGATCTGTTCTGATGATTCTCAGGCATCAAGGCATCTCTCTAAATTTGTTAAGGTTTTTATATTATGAAAAGCCTGAAAAGCCTGAACTCTGCTTGATTGGCCTATGCTGAACCAAATTTGTAACGAGAGAAATCTTGTTTTCTTTGTGAATTGCTTTTTTAAGTTAAATTGAAGTCAGAAACCTGAGGTCTGCTTGTTCTATCAGAGACCGGATGTCTTTTATAAATCAAAGAGCTTGATTACTTTAGAGTCTGAAGGCTTTTGAGATCGTATGATCTTGTTTTGAATTTATCAGTATGACTTGAGAGTTTTGTTTTGATTGAATTTTTGGCTATCCTCAATCCTGTTCACCCCTCTCATATTTATAGAGAATCTGAATGAGGGTTTAATCCTTAATATCTAGAGGATAGATCTGTTGAGAGGATTCCTTGTTCCAGCGTGAAAAAAGGGATAGTAGTTTAGTCTGACAAAAGAAAACCCTCATCAAAAGTCAGTTTTTATGATGATCAGTTTTGATCTTCAGTCAACCAACTCTCTTACTCTTGTTTATCTCTCATAAACCCCACTTGCCCTGATGCAAAGCCCTCATGAGCATAGGAAAGAAACTTGGCATTAAATGGTTATGGGGAGTTATTTTCGAATTAAACCTTCTACCAACTCCCTATCACGTCATCTGCCCTATTGAAATCTTGACTTTAGAGTCACGTGGGCTCTTGTAGAGAGAGAGAGAGAGAGAGAGATCTTCCCAAAAATCTGCTGACTTGATTTATGAAATTGTGATCAACGGTGATGATCAAATTTTGATCCTTTGGAGAGATTAGAAGCTGGGCTTAGTTTTTAAACCAATTAGAAACTGATTTGTCCAGATTAAATCACCATTAATGGCAATTAATCTTTGTTGAGGCCCAAAAAATTCAAGGCTGAGCCCAAATATATTTCTAGCCTAGTACGACACCTAACTTAGGAAAAAACACAACTTGGGTACTTAAGAGTTTGTCATATGCGCTTGCACACGTGCCACGCTAAGCAAATAAGCAACACGCCACGCTACAAGCTTAAGTGAGCCCAAGCCACGTGAATGCCTGGGGCTTGTTGAGTAAGTTGTGGTATGGACGGTTACAAGCATTCATTAAACCCATTGATGGGCCAAGAAATGGAAGTTTTGGGCTGATTGGGAGCCCCAAAACTCGAGCCCATTTATTTAGCCCAAATATGTGGGTAAGCATGAAAGAGAGAAAAAGGTAGCCTATTACCTTAGAAAATTGGCCCATCACCTTAGTAAAAAATAGTCCATCACTCTAAAAGGTTGGCCAATCCCCTCCGTAAACTAGCCCATTACCTTAGGGAATGGCCCAAGTGACTTAGAAAAATCTAAAAGTCTCCAACACATGGCTAGAGACAAAACCACAACAGAAAACCAAGGGATAGAGACTTGCATAGGCTGCTGGGAAGCTCTAGCACATGACCAAAGGCAAACCTCAAGACAAACCATTCAAAAGACCAAAGGGTATTAGCGTGCGCAAGTTGCTAGGAGAAAAGGCATCCTTCAGACCAACGCTGCTATCTATTTCCTTTATTTACCAGCTCTTACCATGAAATAAGGAGGAAAGAAAGAGAAGTGATAACCAGAGATGGGAGGTTACCACTGGAATGACTGTGGGAAGACTTTTGAGCTCCCAAAAATCTTGTCTCTGTGTGTTTGGACAGATGAGGATTTCACAAATTAGGATGAATTAGAGGAAGGGAAGAGAAATGAAAGGAAAGACTTTGCAAAATTGGAGAGAACCCATTAGAGTTTCTTGGGAAGAAGCTCCTTTAAAAGGGGGGTATCCTCTACCCATTATCTCAAGACACGTCCAGAGAGAGCAAGCATCACCTCTCATCCTTGGATCCCTTCAATTTCGAGCCATATTCCTCCATCTTTTCCCATCTTCTCTTCTAGCAAGCCATTCCAGAGCCTGACGAAGCTTTCGTCAAGCTGTCGGAAAATTACCCAAAGCACCCATTCTTTCACCCTAATTTCTATCTCTCTCTCTCCTCAGCAAATTCTCATGAAATCCTTTGCTTTAAACCTCGGTTTCTTGTAGAAAGTCTAGTCTTTCTCTCTCTCTCTCATGCTAAACTCATGAATGCTTAGCTTCCATGCCACAAGCCTCTCAAGCCAAGCCAAAAATTTATCTGTAAGCAACCGTTGGTTTCATTGGTGAAGAAGACCAAGGTGTTTCCTGAAGCTCAGCTACCCTTTCAAGCACTCTTGGGCTTCGATTTTTGAACTCAGACCCATGGGCAATTTCACACATTTGGCTCTTTACAACAACCTAGGCCCATCAGTAGCTGTCGGAATGAAAAAGCCCCTACAATCCTTAATTTGTAAATTTATTCCTTGTAACTAGTTCACAAAGGTCTGAGCCTCTAAACGCATTTGAGCTGACTTCTGACTTTAATAAAACAAAGTGCAAACTCTTGTTTTTGACATGGGCTGGCGCTTGGAATTTAGGCCCAAACCACTATAAACGTTTTTAGTCATATTATCACAGATCAAAAGCTATATATGAGCTTCATGTTAATCAATACACTTATCCGAACCACTTTCGTCTAAGTGTGCAATCATCCCCAAAGGTAGAAACCCATTTCACTTTTTTCCAGATGTAGGAGCAGCACTATTAGCAATCATGTTTCATGAAAGATAAAAATCAATTCATTCCTCAATAATTGAGGTTACAATAATGAATATGGTGACAAGTAATTTTTTGACGTAGTGGTTCAGAAAATATATTTAACTCGAAGTGACATCAATATTATTTATAAATTTGAAAATATTTTAAACTGAATATTAAACAGAAAAACGTAAGTTCTTCATGTGTCGAAATTCCTACAAAGGGTACATGCATGCATCCTGCCTTTGTGAAAAAGTATTTATTGACCATGTTTCTTGTAGTCAGAATTGACTGCTTTTTTTTCCTTCTGAGAAATGAAATGTATAGGAACCACACATTTAAAGGAAATGTGAACCAAAGGGATATCCTAAATTACATCAATATAATTTCGTTTTCTGGTGCTTTGTTACTAACAATGAAAAAAAGGACATAGTAGATCAAGGATATGTACTTGTTAGTTGCTGGACTGTTCCAGGAAGTGAAGCATCCCATAATGAACAAGACCAGCCCATGCCCCAGCCTGAATGATGACTTTTTAGTTGCAGGAATGTTCCAGGAAGTGAAGCATGCCACAATGAACAAGACCAGCCTATGCCTCAGCCTGGGTGATGACTCATCAGGCAACACCAGCAACAGCTGCTAAAGGAATGGTTGAACCGGAGCTCATCAGCAATGTTATTTTATATGCATGAATCACCGCAAAAACAGGATATTCATTATACAGAGTTGTCATAAAAATATAATAATTACACTCTGGTTTGATTCACATTGATCCAGATCCTGAAAATCAACACACTTGGGTAATTTTCTCTACAAATCCATCAGAAGTAAATGCTTTGCTATATAGCACTTCCTCTGTTATTGTAGAAGCCTTATTCAGAACCCTACTTGAACAATTAATGAATGAACCACACCATATAGAATTAGATAAGAAAGAATTAAAATGAATCAAAAGGGATCGATCTTCAACCACTAGCGAGGATGTGGTTCAGTAAAAGTCTCATATTCCATTACTATGACAGAGTTACTCTTGGATCGATCTGACCTTGTTGCCCCTGAATTATATTCAGATCGTAAGGACATGTCCGATGCAATGCTTCTATGCAAATAAAATGCAGGTTGGGAGGGCAGTGGGAGAGTGAAGGAGTAGCTATTCATCATGAGAATAACAGAAGCCATGGTTGGCCTATCAGCTACATTTTCTTGCACACATAATAATCCAATGTGGATGCATCTCATTATTTCATTTCTTGAACCAGTCTTCAATGTTGGATCTATTAGATTTGAAGCTGTCCCTTCCCTCCAACTTCTCCAGGCCTGCAATGATTTGTGAATTTGATAAGAGATAAGTTTTCTTTCTTTGATTCGTTGCACTAAATTGTATTGAGATACCAAAACTATATTATATTTTCACTTACGAAACTTAGAAGATCCTCCGCATTTTCTCCATGCCTGAAGCCACTATTTTTTTGTCCACTGACTATCTCTAGAACTAACACACCAAAACTGTAGACATCGGACTTAACAGAAAAGTGCCCACGCATTGCATACTCTGGAGCCATATACCCACTGCATATCAACAAAAAGAATGTCCGCGTTCACCAACACATATGGAAAGGAAATTGTTGACATATAACAGACATAAGCCCACAGGCAGTTAAGTGCATATTCTTACAAGGTCCCAACGATCCGACTAGTATTGCCTTGCGTTTGATCAGGCACAAACAACCTTGCCATGCCAAAATCTGAAATTTTGGGGTTCATTTCTGCATCTATCAAGATGTTACTAGCTTTGAGATCACGATGAATAATTTTAAGGCGAGAGTCTTCGTGGAGGTAAAGGAGGCCTCGAGCAGTGCCTACTATGATTTTGTAGCGCCTCCCCCAATCTAGTTGTGCACGCTTTGTTGGGTCTGCAAATATATTAATGCAAAATCAAGACTTCAATTACAATGTTTGCTTGCATACATGTCACACAATTGGAATTTTATAATAAACATTGGAAGTTAAACGAAAACAACGCATTATTCCAGACATACCAAATATGATGTGATCGAGACTTGCATTAAGGACAAATTCATAGACAAGAAGCCTTTCACTTCCTTCTAAGCAGAAACCTAAGAGTCTAACTAAATTCCGGTGTTGAAGTTTAGCCGCTAACAAGACCTCATTTTTGAATTCTAAATCTCCTTGCCCAGAATTTGTAGAGAGCCTTTTTACAGCTATATCATTTCCATTGAGAAGCCTACCCTGAAAAAATATATAGGTACAGAATGAAAAAACAGAAATCAGATAAGTGGTATTCAAGAAATATCAAAGTTATAAGTTCTTGTTATTAACTTGTCATTACCCTGTAAACAGATCCAAATCCGCCCTGTCCAAGTTTATTTGCTTCAGAAAAGTCATTTGTGGAAACTCTAATGGTGGCCAAGTCAAATTGCAAGGATTCTGCAGATCCAATTTCATCTGTATCGTCGTTGCCTGAGGAACAATTGAAATTCTAAAAACGCCTATAAAAGTGGTAGTACTCGGCTTCCTCCCTATCAAATGGAATAATATGATTAATTAATGTTCACTAGAGTTGCGTTCTTACCTGGAATTAACTTCCCAGTTTCAAGTTTTTTCTTTGTCCTCCTTACTCTTAAACAAATGCAGAAGAACATAACTATTAGTACCACAGAAACAACAATTGGCACAACGATAATGATGACAGTTCGAGATTTGTCACTCTTCGATCCTGCAAAAATCAGAAATCTCATTTGCATTAATTTGAATACATACATACAGATATATATGCATTAGAAATCTATTCGACCCAAAATTGTTGTAGTGTCAACAGTAGCAATGGTCCCTCAACTTGTACACGAGACAACTACATCAACTAAAATTGAATTGAGGGACTAAAATGTAACTCGTCTACAAATTCCTGGACAATTTCTCTAGTTAAGCAAACTTTATTTCTTCAAAGCATAATATATTGGGATGTAAATATATATATATATATATATATGTACCTCCTGTACTGGTTGACGGGGGAGGAGGACTAGACAGTGGCGGTGGAGGAGGACTAGACAGTGGCGACGGAGAAGACGGCAATGGTCGGATAGTTGTAGTGTTAACGAAGCATACCTAACATTACAGCTGGGTTTACTAATTAGAGCACCTTGCTTCCCCTCAAAAAATTTTGGAATATCTGCCAAAGAACTGCCCAAGCAATCACTGCAGACCTGCTCGGTCAAATCTGGCGTACACTGCGCAAGTCCATAGACATTTTGGAAGTTGGGAAAGGTTGCGGTCCCTACCGCAAATTTTCGAAGTGAACCGTTTCCTGCAGCTTGACCCCTTAGGTCCTCCAGTAGCGTATTCAGTTCTTGAGAAAACCCGTCGACGTCGGAGGGCACGTTCTGTGCGTTATACCACATGAGAGGAGGGAAAGTTTCCATGGCTCCGTAGATGGAGCGGTTGGAGTAGCGAAGCGTGCACTGTTCAATTACGCCGAAAGCTTCCTTTTGATTGGGACAGCCCTGTGTGATCTGTTGTGTGGCGTTGCTGAGGCAGCCACGGCAAAAGTCCACCGTGACATCCCCTCGACATAGCCCGATTGCGTAAACCTGGTCGGGGTTTTCCCCATAGGATAAGTTGTAGAAGCCGTAGCCATTGCCGTTGTTGGAGGGGGAAGAAAGAGAAGAGAGAAGGGTGTTGAGGTTTGTCTTGTAGGTACTGTTGGTGGGTGTAGTTGCCTTTATCGTTGTAACAATATGGGGATTGAGATTGAGTGCTGATCATAAGGAACAAAACGGGAGAAAGGAAGAACAGAAATCTGAAGGAGAACATTAATGGCGCCATTCTGTTTGTACATTATTGTTGGTCAAATCAAAAGAGAGCATAATACATAAAAAAGAAAATGTAATTTATTTCTCAAATTGATTGAATATTAAACCATTTTTAACGATGGCGTTTAGGAGTAAAGGACACTGATTATAGAGCCACTGTGCATCCACTATTTCCTTGTCTGTTGTCCAAAAAAACTGATCAACACACACCATTTTTTATTTAGCTCTTTACTTTTCTCTCTTTTTTGCCCTTGACGAGAGAGAGAGAGAGAGGTGGGTGTGGCCCTGCCCTGTGAGGTAGGATGGAGCAGTGGGCACATGCATCAGTGCCTATTTTGACCAAGATTTTGAATTTCAACTGACAAAAGAGAGACGTGCCTACGTTCACAACTATTCACGCGGTATAAGTCCGTGCCTTTAGAGCAGTTTTCTACTAGTGGGGCCAACTTTCTTTTCTTTCTATTGCCTTTTCTTTCTAGAACCAAATTAAACGTTGGCCACATCGTTGATATATCATGACATGAGTAAAAAAATAGGTTCATTATACTAGGTAAATTGTTTTACTATGTACATTATTAGAGAAAAAAAATAGGTACATTATTTTGAGGGAGAAAATAGGCTCATTTTGAAAACAAATTCATAAAACAAACAATAAAAAGATGATCAAATTATTTTCATAAAACAAGTAATAAAGAAAAAAAATAGGTACAATATTTGGAGAAAAAATAGGTTCATTAAAAAAATGTTTTAAAAACAAAACAATAAATAGATCATTAAATTATTTTTCAACATAATTAGAATGTACACTAATAAAAAAGAATACTGGTCGTATAATTCATAAAAAGAAAACAACATTAATTCTTAAATTTAATATTGAATTTAAATTATTAATACTTTAAATAGATTACTAGTCGTAATTCATATAAGGAAAACACCATTAATTCAAAAATAAATTACTAGTTGTAAAATAGATTACTAATACTTTAATGTGGAATTTAATATTTAATTTCAAATAAGTTTCTAAATTAGTTCCTACATCCATTACAACTATTTTGAGATATTTCCAAATTCAACGAGTGTCATTAGTTACACCCCCCATAACACATTAACTTATAAATTGGGGTAGTTTTGGAATCCGAAAAATATAATAAATAAGATTTTAAGTTATATTAGGTAACTTGCTTAGTTGGATTCTAGTCATCGGGTATTATTTGAAAAAAATTAGGTATTTTAAATAGAAAACTAAAAAAAAGGGTTGTAGGTGATTTTAAATGAATTTTATGGGTCTAAGCTCAATTTATTATAAAATAAAAGCCACACACACATATTGACAGAGACGGGACTGGTTCTTCTTGTGATTTTTGATGAGGACTAATTGGAGATTTCAAATAAATAAAACAATTGAATATTAGAAGGGGGGGTGCATGGTTGACGTCAAGGCAAGGAGATATTGCAAGGAATTTTCTAGTGTGGACGGACTGCTTTTTTATTTACCAACCTTAATTAAGTGGGTGTCCTGGTCGAAGGAATGGAAACTTCTAAAAATGAAAAAAAGATAAAAATGTTCCAATAAGCATATGTAATTCATGAAATTGGAAACATCTAAGCTGAAACTCAACGTCCATTTAGGGATAAGAGGCCCCCATTTGGGATTGTTTCTTTTCGCCGAAAACCTGCTTCACTTTAAAGTTAAGCAGTTTCAAGTGTTTGGTAAAAATAAAATATCCTGATTATTTTAAAAGAAGTGGCCTTTTGACAGCAGCTTTTAAAAGCAAACTCTGGGTTACTTTTCAAAACTGCTTTCAAAAGAAGAAGATATAAACCTTTAATGAATTTTTTTAATTCCCAAAATACCATCATTCATTTTAAAAAATGACACCACCTCCACTTCCACATCCAACTCCACCACTTGCACCACCACATTCACTACCTCCACAACCGCCGCCACCATCACTGCCACTACCATCACCATCACATCCTCCTCCTCCTCCCTCCCTCCTCCCCACCTCTACCTCCACCACCACCTCCACAACCAACACCACACTGCCATTGCCACCACCACCATCATCTCCAGAACCGCCATCCCCACCACCACCACTACCACAACCACAACCACCAACTCCACCTTGATCACCACCACCACCTCCACTCCATCACCTCCACTACCACCACATGATTAGTACATAACACTTTCAATATTATGCCTATTTTAATCATTATTCACAGTTACAACAATTTTATATTAAATTTACCAAACGGTTTTGACACTGCTTTTTGTATTAACAGCACTTTAAAAATATTATTTACCAAACATGGAGCTGCTTTACTTTACAGCTATTTTCAAAGCACAACAGAAGCAACTTTTTTTAGAAAGTGACAGCAATTCTAAACTAGGCCAACTCAAGCATTCAACTTTTTCTTCTTTTTTGTTTTTGCAAATTATGATTCTGGTCTCTATAATTTGGCAAAATCTGACGTTAATTAAACTGTTAGATGGAAAATTAAATTTCAATTTCAATTTGGGTGGAAAATTAAAAATCATTAAATGCCACATCAAATATTTGACTAGAATTATGAATTATGATCTCATCCAACCATATAATATTGCCCACTAAATTGGCCCTAAAAAAGAGCTACATCACAACAATATGAGTCTAGCCACAACAAAAGTATTGAACTCATTGAGAACATATATAGTCCTCGATGTCCATGTGAGTCAAACTTGAGACCTTCTCTAACTAAAAATGCTACTAAAACAAAGGCTAGTTAGTAGCCCAAAATTCCTTTCAAGTTTAGAAATTGTCATAGCTTTGTTTGTGAGCAGATCCTCAACAACTTGTAAAATAACATCAATTTCGATTCCCATCACCCATCTAACTTTATAGAGTTTACGAGCTAAATTTACAAAGAAAATTAACTAGGTTATTACTTGTAGACTACTCCAAATCAATTACAATTAATATAAACAAGGAAACTAAAACTAACTTCCCTAGTTCTTAACACCCATGTTCTTATGAGAACTAGGTGCAATTGTTAGTTACAAGAACCGACATACCTTATGCAAAAGGGAATCCAGCAACTGAAGGCTTTAACAATTATATAATACTATAGCCTGGTTATTGATTGAAATGGTCCCCTAATTTTTGCTCCAATCTCATTTTAGTCCACCAACTAAAATTTTCATTTCAATAGTCCTCCAACTCTCTATTTAGTATCCAAAATGGTCCTATTGTGAAAGTCTGTCAATTTTGCCATTAAATTCAGGGGTTAAAGTGTCTCTATGAATTAAAATAGTAATATAGAGTTTTAAAAATTAAAGGAAACTATTATAAAACTTAGAAAATTTTAAAACATTGAATCTCACTAGCCACAATAGCTTTTTTTTTCCCCCCTTGAGATTGACCTAACAATTAATAAAAAATTTATCTATTGTTTAAATTAATTAAAAAATTTAAAATTAGATAAATACAAAAATAAAATAACAAATTTTTTAAAAGAGTAAACAAACCCATATTTATACAAAAACACTGCCTTGCATCCCAACTCCACAACCTCCCCCCTCTCAGCCTTCCCCCACACATCCCTCTGCTTTTTCTCCCTCACGACCTGACCATCCCATCCCCACCCGCAACCCACAGCCCTAGCCCCAAGCCCCAGGATTCTAATTCGGGCAAAAAATTGAGGAAATGATATTGCTCAAAACTCAAGAGCGAGGGATGCTGAACACACTCTATTTCTTTGATTTGGTTTTCATCCAATCTATCCCCAAATCACATCAAAACCAACAAGCAAAACATGGCGTATTGCAAATGCTCAACCACTGTGACGCCTTTGGGTTAGGTTTGAGAATTTGTTTCAAGCCAGTCCCCTAGGATGTAGCACATACTCATTTTTATCATCTTTGTTCCCTGTGCTCAGGCACCTTCTTTTGTATTTGTTGATGAAATTTGTACAAGTGCATGACAAAGTGTTTTAACTGCTGCCCTGATCTTCCTTACTAGTTATCAATCTATTGGGATAATGTTTCTTTCTAGACAATGAATGATCATTTATATTTCCCTTATTTGCTTTATCCTTTGATGCTGTGAATTATTTCAGGATTTATTTCTTTTTTCTCTCTCAGTATTTACCTCTTAGTAAATTTAGGTTTTAGCCAAAAAAAAATTTCACTTTTGGAAAAAGCCAAAGCTTTTTCAAAAAATACAGAAAAACCTCTCAACTTTCAAATCAAAGACATGCAAATGTAAAAGATTCCTTAGGAAATCCAAAAATAAATAAGAGCAATTTTGTCCATTTTGGCTTCTTTTACAAAATTTCTCTCTCCTTTGTGTTTTTCCAAAATCTCAAAAAGTTTTAATTTTAATGTATTATATATAAGAGAGGGAGAGAGAGAGAGAGAGAGAGAGAGAGAGAGAACGTGTGCAAGAAGCTTAATTTGGACTTTTCTCTCTTTTTTGCCATTGACGAGAGAGAGAGAGAGAGAGAGAGGTGGATGTGGCCCTGCCCTGTGAGGTAGGATGGAGCAGTGGGCACATGCATCAGTGCCTATTTTGACCAAGATTTTGAATTTCAACTGACAAAAGAGTGTGGTGCCTACGTTCACAACTATCCACACGGTATAAGTCCGTGCCTTTAGAGCAGTTTTCTAATAGTGGGACCAACTTTCTTTTCTCTCTATTGCTTTTTCTAGAACCAAATTAAACGTTGGCCACATCCATTTATATTTGTGTAAACCACCGTGTAATCTGGGTCAAAGGAAAGGAAAATTCCACAAAAGAAAAGGTGTCGTAGTTTTGATCCAACTTCTAAATCTAAAGCATACATAGGAAGTTCATGAGATTGGGAAAAGATCAATTTCGGGAGACTGAGGGAGTAGCTATTCAGCATCACAATAACTAAAGCCATGGTTGGCTTATCAGCAGCCACATTTTCATGCACACATAATAATCCAATGTGGATGCATCTCATTATTTCACTTCTTGAACCAGTCCTCAAGGTGGGATCTATTAGATTTGAAGTTGTCCCTTCCCTTCAATTTTTCCATGCCTACAATAATTTATGAATTGGAATAAATTAATTGAGATAAAAATTTGTTTCTTTCATTGCAATCAATTTCACTAATCACTACTACAAAAATCGAAATAGACGACAGGAATCCACTATCGTCTAGAAGGTTTTCAAAACCGTCGTGAAATCGACCGCCATCTTTTGATATATAAAATGACGACGGCTAGTACCCAACGTCGTTAAAACATTCAATGTCAAAAAATATTACAAACCGACATCTAATTACTATATATATAGCGTAAAATGTAACATTCGACAAAATTAGATGACAGTTTTATTAAAACAGAGACGTCTGAAGAGTGTTACATGTCAAAATCAAAACAAGCACCAACGTACAGATAATTATCGATGTCCCTAATTGAAGGAATACAGGTTTTATTAAACCGTAATGGTTAATTTATACTGTGTTAAATAAATAAAACAAACCGACATCTAACTTGTAAAAGACGACGCATAGCCAAAAGAACGGACGTTTACAGCATATTACATGTCAATAATCACACAGGCACCGAAGTAAAATTAATTTACCACGAGACACATGTGGAAAAACCGTCGCTTATACGATTATCCACATTGCAATGTAGGAGAACAACGCCTTTTAAAAAATATTCCATGTCTGTTTCTTGCGAGAATAGTCATTTAAATTATACAAAGATGACACTTTTTATACAAAATGGACGTCTGAATACTTTAAAATGACACAATATTGTTGAATACCAACGTAAGAAATCCTACCAACGACTACTGTTGTTAAAGGCTAACATTAAAAATTATATTGAAGGCGTGGACAGGAAAAGAAACAACGTGGATTATATCTTCAACGTCGGTTTTTGTAAAATAAAGGACGTGGTTAATTCCTTCACTACGTCACGAGGATCCAATTGTATGACGTTGTAATTCCTTACCATGTCGGTTTCTAATACATGTTGGTGTGGTCAACCTTTTAAAAGTCGCTTGTGTAACCCTCCTTGACGTGTGTATTCTTTGAGACCTCATATGTTTTAGACTTAGTTTCAGTGTTCTACTTCTGTTTGCTCTTGTTCAGCTATCCTGTTATGCTTTGATATAGCACTTCATATGTTATTGTATCAAGAATGTGCTGCATTGATTTGAAACCAATGTGCTCATAAAAACTTATTTTATGGTTCGAAAATTGACTACTTGTTTCGCTTTAGGTCTTCAATGTCCAGACTTAGCTATTTACTTTTGAAATATGATTCTTTCGTATCAATTTACTTAAACTGGAATATCTTTCGCTACGCAAAATACAGAGGACATAAGTCAAGTGTACAATATTATGATGAACAAGAAAAGTTGATAAACAAATTAAAATACTAATTGAAGTAACAGAATATTAGCAGACTCTTGCACTGTTCTTTGATTATGTCCATGAGAAGGCTCATTCAGAACCCTACTTGAACAATAGTGAATGAACTAAACAGATCCAAATCCGCCCTTTCCAAGTTTATTTGCTTCAGAAAAGTTATTTGTGGAAATTCTAATGGTGGCCAAGTCAAATTGCAAGGATTCTGCAAATCCAATTTCATATGTATCGTCGCCGCATGGGGAACAATTTAAACTCTAAAAATGCCTATAAAAGTAGTAGTACTTGGCTTCCATCTTTTCACACCATAGAGGGCAAGATCCAAATTGTTGGTGGCACGTGCTTCTGCGAACGATCCAAGCAGTAATGTGTTCCCATGCTTCTCTTTTCCAAGTCGAAGGTACCCATGTCATGAGGCCCTTTAGGTTTATGGTATTCCACATCCACACAATCATCAGTGAAGTATAAGGAATTTGGCTGACAACCTGGAAAGTCCAGCGCAGAGACACAAATGGATTGATTGGTACCCAAAAACAGAGCTTCATTTCCAATACTTTCAATCTCAACCCATTGGGGTCTCTCCCCATGAGCACTGAACAGCTTAAAAACCTTGAAGCTCAGTCTCCGTAAAACGATCATAACCATTTACTCGTTCAAACTTTAACCTTTCAAACTTGAAAAACTTGAAGTTGAGAGACTTTTACAATATTTTACTCGTTTGAACTTCCTAACCAGCAAAAGATCTCCCTTGGATGATTGCACAAGGTATGATTTATTGTCAGTGTCTGGATCCATTGGCACAAGTAAGCTTACATGGGGGTTCGGTAGTTTGATCCCTGCTAACATTCATCGAAAAAACACTACCACCCAAACTAACACCTAGAAACTGGCCTTTATTGTAAATTACATCATCGAATCCGATCAATTGATCTATGCTAGTCCAAGCATCGTCCCCTGACTTAAAATGGGCTATTTGTTTCCCATAGCCATCATAGATGACCAATACTTCATATTCATTAGGAAGAAAAGAAGGGTCTGCAGACAATTCAACTTTATTAATGTAGTAATCACATCTATAAGCTACCGTCGATCTCCAAGTGGATTTGGGGGACTGGTGGAAGGCTAATGGTACACCCGGTAAAAGGGTTTAAGAGGGTTACTACCAGATTCTCATCCACACAAGCCAACCAACCATGGGAAGAACCACAGAACCTCTTACTGTAATACACATTCAACTCAAAGCTACAAGTCTTACCTTGTGTCACACTATACAAGCCACGCCTTTCGCTGCTACCGTCTATGGTGGGAATTATGAGCATAGGAATCTGCTTGTGACATGATTTGATGGGCTGCTTCTTGCGATGTAAAGCGACTGATTGCCAATGCTTGCAAACTGCACTAAATCGGATATAGTCAGAAATTGGGATCAACTTTTCTAGAATCAAATCCAGAATGTTGCTTGGAAGCCATGCCCAGCCTGAAACTAAGGTTGGGACCATCTTCCATTGTGCTACATTTGACTTATTTAGGTGGCTAGCTTGGAATTGGTTTTCATTGACAATTTATGAGGAATCAAGAGGCTTTCCTTAGGCTACAGTTCCTCAGGCATGAACATTGGTGAGCTGTCCTCCCCAGTTACAGCATTGGAATATTCCCCCTTTCCTGCAAAACCGATGAAATTGTGATTGTTTTTCCTTGTATATATGGTTCAACATGGCCATGTCTAATTTAGAATTTTAGAAGGTTCCAAAAGTAGCAAGCTGGCCTGTGACATAATAATAAATTAATTAATAACTAGCTTCACTGCATAAGGTTGGAGACGGCATCATAAGCCGATGGAAAAGATCCCTCTACCCCGTCTGTGTAGAGTTCCATCAAAGACAAGAAGAACCAACTAACCGACTAGGCCAAATCTTTTATCCCCAAATCTCCATCCATTCACCCCACCCCTAAACACACCAATCCCAACTCTACATCTGTCAGACAATTGCATACCAGGTCCCACATTCAACGTGGGTCATCATTTCCAAAGTAACCCTTCAGTCTCCATCCAGCCTTTAGTCAACGAAAACTTCTTCCCCTTCTAACCTCTGATTTGTCTTTCTCCCTTGGTCTGAGAACCGAGCAGAGTGCTCTGTTTTCAGTCCAAACAGAGATTGGAAAATGAAGGCAGAGGTTGTGACATTGTTGTTGGTGAACCTAGCAAGTATTATGCAAAGAGGTGGGGGCCAGTCTGCACACCGACCCAACTGGATTGGGCTCACTCACTCTGTTGAGATCCATTGTCCAGTCTGCCTGCTACCCACTTGCGGCTTACCTTGCTATGCGCAACAACCGAGCCCATGTCATTGCTCTTGGTGTCTTTCTCTGGGCTGCTGCCACCTTCCTCTCGCTCACTGGTTTCTTATTTTCTATGGTGCTTATATACTGTAATATGGAATAATTATTTTGGTCATCTTGGAGGATCTAAGAGAACCCATGATTTGGATTGGTTAGTTTAGTTAGGCAAGTGATATTGTTTGTGTTTTATGTTGAGTTGTTTCTCAAATGGGCAATGCAAAATGCTGTTTCATGTCTTATCCAATTATGTTTTTGGGCAACTGTGGAGTTCAATCTTATTGGTATCATTGAACTCGGCAAACTTTCAAATCCCAAAATGCCCACGAAGTCACCTTTCCCATTTCTGCAAGTGCCATGTCCAAAATGGTAAAAGCAAACCACTTCTCTGGGTAATTGGGTGGGTGAAAATTTTAATTTAAAATTGTAAAAGAAGTTGGGGTGAGAGAGGCTCGAACTCTCGACCTCAGGATAACTCAGAAGCTATGAGACCTACGCGCTAGCCAACTGCGCCACCACCCCGATGTTGATAGTTGCCTTGACTTTTTACTGATTAGTAAACATGCTATTAGTGTATTAACTGATTTTCCAAAAAACAATCCTTTGATTTTGATAAAATCTGAAGTTGGTTTTGATTTTGAGTTCAGCTCCTTTATTAATTTGAACTGATTTTCTCTTTTGGCAGCTCCTTCATTAATTTCTCTCAGATTGCCAAGGAGATTGCCAAGACAATGAGAGCATCACCATCCTTTTCATATCTGAGTTGTGTTTACAGAGGAAGGTGCAATCAGCAAAGTCCAGCTTCTGCTTTTGGCAGGCCCCCTATTAATTTCTCTCAGATTTGAGAACCATGCAGTTATAATTCCCCATACAACTGATTTTGTTCCGCTGCGTCACCATGAAAGAGGGACACTTTTCATTTATTTATTGGGAAAATGAAGACTAGAGTAGATCAAGGATACGACCTGTTAGTTGCTGGACTGCTCCAGGAAGTGAAGCATCCCATAATGAACAAGACCAGCCCATGCCTGAATGCTGTGGATGGATCATCCAGCAACACCAGCAACAAAACAGCTGCTAATGGGAATTGCTGAAACGGAGCTTATTACTTAAAACGTTTTTAGTCATATTATCACAGATCAAAAGCTATGAGCTTCATGTTAATCAATACACCTATCCGAACCACTTTCGTCTAAGTGTGGAATCATCTCCAAACTTAGAAACCCATTTCACTTTTTCCCAGATGTAGGAGCAGCACTATTAGCAATCATGTTTCATGAAAGATAAAAATCAATTCATCCCTCATCTAATGGTTTTACTTCTTCTATAGCATTGCCTTTCTGTTGACAAGTTTCTTTGACTTAGTTTCAGTGTTCTACTTCTGTTTGCTCTTGTTCAGCTACCCTGTTATGGTTTGATATAGCACTTCCTCTGTTATTGTATCAAGAATGTGCTGCATTGATTTGATACCAATGTGCTCATAAAAATTGACTCCTTGTTTTGCTTTAGGTCTTGAATGTCTAGGCTTAGCTATTTACTTTTGAAATATGATTACTTTTTATCAATTTACTTACGTTGGAATATCTTTGCTGCGCAAATACAGAGGACCTAAGTTAATATGAACAAGAAAAGTTGATAAACAAATTAAATACTAATTTGAAGTAACAGAATATTAGCAGACTCTTGCACTGTCCTTTGATTATGTCCTACTTGAACAATTAGTGAATGAATCAAAAGGGACGCTAATAAATTACATTACAATTTCAGAAAGCCAGTTTGATTTGATCTTCAACCACTAGCGAGGATGTAGTTTAGTAATTTCTGAAATCTCATATTCCAGTACTTTGGCAGAGTTACTCTTGGAATGATCAGACCTCGTTACCCCTGAATTATATTCCGATCCTAACGACATGTCCGATCCAATGCTATGCAAATAAAATGCTGGTTGGGAGGGCAGAGTGAGAGAGTAGCTATTCAGCATGAGAATAACAGAAGCCATGGTTGGCCTATCAGCCACATTTTCTTGCACACATAATAATCCAATGTGGATGCATCTCATTATTTCTGTTCTTGAACCAGTCTTCAATGTGGGATCTATTAGATTTGAAGCTGTCTCTTCCCTCCAACTTCTCCAGGCCTGCAATGATTTGTGAATTTGCAGAAATGATCAGAGATAAGTTTTCTTTCTTTAATGCGTTGCAATAAAGTGTATTGAGATACCAAAACTATATTATATTTTCACTTACGAAGCTTAGAAGATCCTCCACATTTTCTCCATGCCGGAAGCCACTATTTTTTTGTCCACTGACTATCTCTAGAACTAACACACCAAAACTGTAGACATCAGACTTAACAGAAAAGTGTCCATGCATTGCATATTCTGGAGCCATATACCCACTGCATATCAACAAAAAGAATGTCAGCGTTCACCAACACATATGGAAAGGAAATTGTTGACATAACAAACATAAGCCCACATGCGGTTAAGTGCATATTCTTACTAGGTCCCAACAATCCGACTAGTATTGCCTTGCGTTTGATCAGGCACGAACAACCTTGCCATGCCAAAATCTGAAATTTTGGGGTTCATTTCTGCATCTATCAAGATGTTACTAGCTTTGAGATCACGATGAATAATTCTAAGGCGAGAGTCTTTGTGGAGGTAAAGGAGGCCTCGAGCAGTGCCTACTATGATTTTGTAGCGCCTCACCCAATCTAGTTGTGCACGCTTTGTTGGGTCTGCAAATATGTTAATGCAAAATCAAGACTTCAATTACAATGTTTGCTTGCATACACGTCACACAATTGGAATTTTATAATAAACATTCGAAGTTAAACGAAAACAATGCATAATTCCAGACATACCAAATATGATGTGATCGAGACTTGCATTAGGGACAAATTCATAGACAAGAAGCCTTTCACTTCCTTCTAAGCAGAAACCTAAGAGTCTAACTAAATTCCGGTGTTGAAGTTTAGCCACTAACAAGACCTCATTTTTGAATTCTAAATCTCCTTGCCCAGAATTCGCAGAAAGCCTTTTTACAGCTATATCTTTTCCATTGAGTAGCCTACCCTGAAAAAATATATAGGTACGGAATGAAAAAAACATATATAAGTGGCATTCAAGAAATATGAAAGATATAAGTTCTTGTTATTAACTTGTCATTACCCTGTAAACAGATCCAAATCCTCCCTGTCCAAGTTTATTTGCTTCAGAAAAGTCATCTGTGGAAACTCTAATGGTGGCCAAGTCAAATTGCAAAGATTCTGCAGATCCAATTTCATCTGTATCGTCGCTGCCTGAGGAACAATTGAAATTCTAAAAATGCCTATAAAAGTGGTAGTACTTGGCTTCCTCCCTATCAAATGGAATAATATGATTAATTAATGTTCACTAGAGTTGCGTCCTTACCTGGAATTAACTTCCTAGTTTCAAGTTTTTTCTTTGCCCTCCTTACTCTTAAACAAATGCAGAAGAATATAACTATTAGTACCACAGAAACAACAATCGGCACAACAATAATGATGACAGTCCGAGATCTGTTACTCTTCGATCCTGCAAAAATCAGAAATCTCATTTGCATTAATTTGAATACATACATACATCTGTATATGAACCTAACAAAATATGCATTAGAAATCTCTTTGACCAAAATTTTTGTAGTGTGAATTATGTCAATGGTGCCTGAACTTGTAGACGAGACGAATACATCAACAAAAACTTGAATTGAGAGAATCAAATGTAACTCGTATACAAATTCATGGACAATTGCTCTAATTAAGCCAACTTTATTTCTTCAAAAGCATATATACCTCCTGTACTGGTTGATGGTGGAAGATGACTAGACAGTGGCGGCGGGGATGACGGCACCGGCACCACAGTTGTAGGGTCATAGAAGCGATTGACTTCATACCTAACAGTACAGCTGGGGTTTGAAACTCTACAACCTTGCTTCCTCTCACAATATGTTGGGATATTTCCCATAGCAGAATCCAAGCATTCACTGCAGGCCTGCTCGGCCAAATCCGGCGTGCACTGCGCAAGTCCATATATTGGTTGCAAATTGGGAGCGGTTGTTTTCCCTACCGCGAACTTCCGAAGAGAACCGTTCGCCGCAGCTTGACCAATTAGGTCTTTCAGCAGCTTCATCATCTCTTGAACAAACCCGTCGACGTCGGAGGACGACAGGTTGTTTATGTTCCACCACAGCGGGAAAAGAGGGGCAGTTTCCATGGCGCCGTAGATGGAGCGGTTTGCGTAGCGCAGCATGCACTCGTCATAAAAGCCGATAGCTTCCTTCTGATTGGGACAGACCTGTGTGAGCTTTTTTGTGGAGTTACTGAGGCAGCCACGGCAAGTGTCCGTCCTGACATCACCTCGACATAGAGCGATTGCGTGGACCTCGTCCGCGTTTTCTCCAAAGGAGGAGTTGTAGAAGCCGTAGCCATTCCCGTTGTTGGAGGGGGAAGAAAGAGAAGAGAGAAGGGTGTTAAGGTTTGTTCGGTAGGTGCTGCCTGTGGTATAGTTGCCTTTCTCGTAGAAACAGCTATGGCTTGGAAACTCAGGCTGAGCAAGGGATTGAGAACTTATTAGTAACAGAATGGGAGAAAGGAAGAAAACAAATCTTGAAGAGGCCATTAATGGCTCCATTCTGTATTGTATATTATTGTTGGTTAAGATCAAAACTGTGTTTATATACTTTTTATAGTAAATTTGACTTACACCCTTCAAATTCAATTTGCCGTACCTAAAACCCTTCACTTTTTGTTCCTATAAATAATACCCAATTTATATAAGTAAAACCCCATGACTAGGATCCAACTCAGCAAGTTACCTAATTAAGCATAAAATCTGATTTATTGTACTTTTCAGATTCCAAAAATACCCCCAACTAAGCCATTATTGCATTTTGTATATTAATGTAGAAATCAATATGGAAACAATTTTTAATTGGATTGTATATAATGACAGATGTTGAATTTGGAAAGATCTCCAAATGGTTGTAATGGATGTAGGAATTAATTTTAAAACATTTTTAAAAAATTTAACAATAAATTCAAATTTAGGTAATCGGTTTGTTTAATAAAATGTTTATGTTATTTTCTTTTTATGAATTATACATGACTAATAATCCACTTTATAATTGTTTATGAATAAAACTGTACATATTAATTATGTTGAAAAAATAATGTACCTATTACTTGTTTGTTTTATGAAAAACATAATTTACCTAGTATGAAAAGTGTACATAATTATCTATTCCAAATAATGTACCTATACACATTTACAGGTATATTGTAAAATAATTTACCTGTGGGTAAATAATGTACCTATATTTTATATAAATTATTGTGTACCTATTTTTAATTATGAAAAATATGCAATTACAAAGTAACTGACTTTGTTTTTTTTTTTTTGGAAAATAATATACCTATATTTTATATGTATATATTTATATTATATTTTTCATAAGTACATTATTGGATGTGTAATTTACAGATTTTTTGTTGTTGTAATTTTAGGGGCGAGATGTGAGAGGGAATGACAACTAAAAGAAATGGGGTGATTGATATGCTATTAATAGGGAGTATATTAATTACAATTATGACAGTTAATGAAATGCTTGAAATAAATTATAAATAAAATATGAAGTTTGGTGGCAATGATGTAAAAACATAGAAATACTACGACCTCTTATATCCTACTAGTCGTTTAAATTTGAAATTGGGTTTTACACATAGATTTATAAAGTGATGGGGTATATGTCTAGGAAATAGAAAATGTAGGGATCTATATTAGACAAGCCCTACTTTTTATTGTAGCAACGGTCAAGAAAAGATTTGTAGACCTTTGTGTGTGAAAATTTTCCAAGATGCATTTTTCCAAGACGTTGGGCATAAGTCCGTGCCTTCCCCCCCCCCACACACCCCCCCCAAAAAAAAAGTGCCTTTAGAACAGTTTTCTACTAGTGGGACAATGTAAGAATTCCCTGCTTGACCAAATCCTGCCAATTCCAATTCATCAAAATACTTCTTTCACCGTTCCACACTGTTTTAATTAAAATGTAGATGAAGACAGGACTGGTAATGATTTTGACTATTGAGGATTGATTGAATATTAAACCCTTGATTGAAACAGGAGTGGTTCAGGAAAGGAAAATTCTTACACGTTGCCAACTTTCTTTTCTCTCTGTTGCTTTTTCTTTCTCAACCAAATTAAACGTTGCCCACATCCATTAGCATTTGTGTTAACTACTGCATAATCTGGGTCAAAGGAAAGGAAAATTCCACAAAAGAAAAAGTGATGTAGTTTTTTATCCAACTTCTAAATCTAAAGCAAAATATAGATTAAATATGAATGTATCGAAATTAGTCTCCTCTTGTAAGTCCTCAAAAGACGCCTTGGTCCTCCCCTCCCCCTAAACTTTTTCTCATAAAAAAATAAAAAATATTAGTCTTCTCTCCCACTTCCAATTAACAATTTGGGTCAACCCTATACAACACCAATGCATTCCTCAATAATTGAGGTTACAATAATATATATGGTGACAAGTAATTTTTTTGACGTGGTTCAGAAAATATATTTAACTCAGAGTGACATCAATATTATTTATAAAATTTGAATTAGAATAAAGTAATTTGAGATAAAAATTTGTTTCTTTCATTGCATTCAATTTCACTAATAGATAAATACTCACAGCTTAAAAGCCCCTCCACATTCTCTCCACGACGAAACAACTATTTTTCTACCCACTTACAATCTCTAAAATCAACATGCCAAAACTATAGACATCGGACTTAACTAGAAAACTACCCATGCATTACATACTCTAGAGCCATATATCCGCTGTATACTCCAATAAGAAGGTAAACATTAACTAGCATGGATGAAGATTTTGGAAATCGTTGATATATCATGATATGAGTAAAATAAAAGGAGATTCACTATAATATTCAATATAGGAGCCCAAATTATAAAAACACCATATATGAAATGGATTTTAGAAATACACCCAAAATCCATTTACAACATAACATAAAGATTTTTAACTTCTTTTAAATTATAAAACTGCCATTGATTTCTTAAAACAAACTTAACCCAAAAACCTCATAAAAAAGCCCAAAACACTCAATGGGGGCATTAAAGTAATTTAATAATTAAAATTAAATTCAATGGGCCAGCTGTCATTTTTGGTTTTTTTTTTTGGGTTTGTTTACAGAAATTAAATTATGTAGAATTTATTTATAATTTTAGTGGTAAGAAATAAATCTAAAATAAAAGCCACACACACATATTGACATATGATTACTTTTTATCAATTTACTTACGTTGGATTATCTTTCGCTGCGCAAAATACAGAGGACCTAAGTTAGTATGAACAAGAAAAGTTGATAAACAAATTAAAATACTAATTTGAAGTAACAGAATATTAACAGACTCTTGCACTGTTCTTTGATTATGTCCTACTTGAACAATTAGTGAATGAATCAAAAGGATGCTAATAAATTACATTACAATTTTAGAAAGCCAGTTTGATCTTCAAACCACTAGCGAGGATGTAGTTCAGTAATTTCTGAAATCTTATATTCCAGTACTTTGGCAGAGTTACTCTTGGAATGATCAGACCTCGTTATCCCTGAATTATATTCCGATCCTAACGACCTGTCCGATCCAATGCTATGCAAATAAAATGCTGGTTGGGAGGGCACTGGGAGAGTGAGAGAGTAGCTATTCAGCATGAGAATAACAGAAGCCATGGTTGGCCTATCAGCCACATTTTCTTGCACACATAATAATCCAATGTGGATGCATCTCATTATTTCTGTTCTTGAACCAGTCTTCAATGTGGGATCTATTAGATTTGAAGCTGTCCCTTCCCTCCAACTTCTCCAGGCCTGCAATGATTTGTGAATTTGATCAGAGATAAGTTTTCTTTCTTTGATTCGTTGCACTAAATTGTATTGAGATACCAAAACTATATTATATTTTCACTTACGAAGCTTAGAAGATCCTCCGCATTTTCTCCATGCCGGAAGCCACTATTTTTTTGTCCACTGACTATCTCTAGAACTAACTGTAAAATTGGTATTTGATATATTTTCTGTATATGTTTACAACTCTAATGGTACAAGGATATAAAGAGGAAGCGGTAGGCTACATATGGTAAACTTCTATTAGTCCTAAATTAAAGCAGTTGACTATCTAGACAAGGAAACAAATATTTACAGCTATTACATATCTTAACACTCCCCTTCAAGTTGGAGAGTGTATATTGTAGACTCCCAACTTGCCTAAGAGAGTGCCAAAAGAAGCTTTGCCTAAGGGCTTGGTGAAAATATCTGCAACTTGTAGAGCGGTAGGCGTATAGGTAGTGGACACTAAGCCAGATTGAATATTTTGTCGAAACAGGTGACAATCAAGATCAATATGTTTGGTTCGTTCGTGAAACACAGGATTCTTAGCAATATATAGGGCTGATTGATTATCACAATGCAAGGGTTGCTAGTTCCAGATGCTCAATGCCAAGATCTTGCAGTATAAATCGTAACCATTTGAGCTCACAACACGCATCTGCCATGGACCAATATTCTACTTTTGTGGATGAGTTTGCCACGGTGTTCTGTTTTTTGGTCTTCCAGGAAATCAAGGAATTACCTAGAAAAGTACAATAGCCTATTACTGATCTTCTGGTAACGAGACAACTCGCCCAATCTGAATCACAAAAGGCCCGTAGCTTGAGATTATTTTGTGCAAGGAATAGAACGCCTTGTCCTAGAGCTCCCTTTAGATAACTTAATACACGAAGGGCTGCATCAAGATGAGGTTGACGCGGCTCATGCATAAATCGACTAAGGACGTGCACAGCAAAAGTAATATCAGGTCATGTTACTGTGAGGTAAATGAGGCGCGGCCTACGAGTCTTCGATATCTAGAAGGATCCTGTAAAAGCTTTCCATCAGTGGGCTTGAGTTTCAAAGTCTGCTCCACAGGGAAAGAGTAAGGGCGTGACCCCAAGAGCCCAGCATCATCATGTATGTCTAGCGCGTACTTGCATTGTGAAATAAAAATTCCCTCCTTTGATTGTGCAACCTCAATGCCTAAAAAATATTTAAGATTTCCAAGGTCTTTAATGCGGAAGCGTGTGTGGAGAAAATCCTTGAGTGATTGAATGGCCTTTGGATCATTTCCTATAATAACAATGTCATCCACATAAATCAATATAATTGTAAAAGAGTTATTAGCAGACCTGGTAAAGAGTGAGTAATCTGCCATAGACTGAGTGAATTCGGCATCTTTAAGAGCACCAGTAAATTTGGCAAACCAATTTCATGACGTTTGCTTCAACCCATAAAGGGATTTGTTTAGCTGACACACCAACTTCTCCCCCTGCCAGCGAAGACCGGGTGGAGGAAGCATGTAAACTTCTTCATCTAAATCACCATGGAGAAATGCATTTTATACATCGAGTTGGTGAAGTGGCCAATTGCGTGCAGAAGCAATGGCAAGCAAACATCGGAAAGTGACCAACTTAGCGGTGGGAGAGAATGTCTCTGTATAGTCCAAGCCTTCTTGTTGTGTGTATCCTTTGGCCACGAGACGAGCCTTATAACGCCCAATGGAGCCATCAAAGTTATACTTGATTTTGTACACCCATTTGCAACCAATTGGGTGTTTTCCTGCAGGTAAAGTTGTGAGAGACCAAGTATTATTTTGTTCAAGCGCCTGAATTTCCATGTTCATGGCTTCTCGCCATCTAGGATATGTTGAAGCTTGGGCAAATGTAGTGGGCTCAACATCACGTGAGATAGTTGCTACAAAACAACGGTGAGTAGGAGATAAACGATTATAGGTAAGAAAATTCGAAATGGGGTAACGAGAGCCTGTACCTTGTGCAGTAGGTGGATCCGAAGTTGACAACGAATTGGAGTGAGGAGACATGGCGTTGTAGCAATGAAAATCACGAAGTAAAACAGAAGGTTGTCTTATTCGTTCTGAGCGTCTAGGAGGAAGTGTTGGGGTTGAGTTATGTAGCAGTACGTTAGGTGGCGACTGTGAGCTAGATTCTGAGATTGTGAGTGATTGTGGGGTAGGTTCTGAGATTGTGCTTGACTGTGGGGTAGGTTCTGAGATTGATTGTGGGCTAGTTTCTGAGTTCATGCTTGATTGTGGGCATGTGCTGATTAGTGTTGGAGTTGAACTTGAATGGGATTGGATGGTTGGTGAGTTAGGTGGCTGAGTTGTTGTGTGCGGCATTGGTATGGTCACAAAATCAGGTTGAGATAAAGGGAGAACATGGGGCATTCGGGACTGGAGTAGTGCCAGTATCAGCAAAAGGAAAAATATCCTCACGGAAGACAACATCACGGCTGCTAAAAAAAAATTTAGTTGCTAAATCATAACACGATAAGCTTTTTGACCAAAAGGATAGCCCATAAAAATGCATTTACGTGCTTGTTGATCAAATTTATGAGAGGGATGAATATTAGTGGCATAGCATAGACAACCAAAAACACGAAGATGTTTATAGATGTGTGGACGATTAAACAAAAGTTCATATGGAGATTTACTAGATAAAAGTGGTGTGGGAATGCGATTAATTAAATAGGCAGCAGTGAGAACACATTCGCCCCCAAAATTAAGAGGAAGATGTGCATGAAAACCGAAGGGCTCGAGCCATTTCAAAAATGTGACGGTGTATACGTTTGACAACCCCATTTTGTTGAGGAGTAGAAATGCATGAATGTTGATAAATGACTCCAAGATCTGCAAAAAAATCTCGCATGGAATAAAATTCACCACCATTGTCTACACGTATTGCTTGATTTTACAATTAAATTGGGTGGAGACAAAGACCAAAAAGGATTTAAGCAGACCTTGAGTATCAGATTTGTAATGCATCAAATAAACCCAAGTGCAACACGTAAAATCATCAACAATAGTTAAAAAATATTTTGCTCCAGAATGTGAAGAAACTTTGTGCGGACCCCAAATGTCACAATGAATTAAATCAACTGGTGCAATGCTAGTAATCGAACTCAAAGTAAATGGGAGTCTCGTTTGTTTAGCCAAGGGACAAAAATCACATGGTTTATTAGAAAATGAAATATCAGAAATATTTTTAGCTAGGAGGCGGAGACGAGCATCAGAGGGATGTCCCAGCCGCATATGCCAAAGATTTGGGTAGAGTGGACACATGATGTGAGGTTGGTGATGGTGGTGGGTAAAGTAATAGAGATCGCCATGTCGCCTACCCAATCCAATCGTCCTCTTCGTGTCCAAATCCTACATAATGCAATGTTGAGGAAAAAAAAACAATACAACAGTTAGTGGGTTTCCGAGTTTGCTAATAGACATCAAGTTAACATTAAATGATGGAACACAAAGAACATCAGTAAGATGTAAATGAGAATCAAAAGTGATTGTGCCTGTTGATTGTATAGGGGCCTTAGCACTAGTGGGCAATCCTACAGGAGGCATGGATGGTAATGATATATTGGTCAAAAGACAGACTGGAAGAATTAACTTGGGGTTTTGATACACCTTCGTTACCTACAGTTGCAATAATCTGTTTGCATTGCTCGAGTGTAAGGTGTGGTGCTATGGTCTGCAATTGATGGATTTGAGAAGTCTGAGGGCTTTGCTCCAGACGGATTCATACACTGTTGACGTCTGTGGCCATGGTAGGCTAGGATGAGATGGGCGTAGATGCAGAGCCAGGGTACGGCTCTGATACCATGTAAAATTGGTATTTGATATATTTCTGTATATGTTTACAACTCTAATGGTACAAGGATATAAAGAGGAAGCGGTAGGCTACATATGGTAAACTTCTATTAGTCCTAAATTAAAGCAGTTGACTATCTAGACAAGGAAACAAATATTTACAGCTATTTCATATCTTAACACTAACACACCCAAAACTGTAGACATCGGACTTAACAGAAAAGTACCCATGCATTGCATATTCTGGAGTCATATACCCACTGCATATCGACAAAAAGAATGTCAGCGTTCACCAACACATATGGAAAGGAAATTGTTGACATAACAAACATAAGCCGACAGGCAGTTAAAGTGCGTATTCTTTCTAGGTCCCAACAATCCGACTAGTATTTCCTTGCGTTTGATCAACCATGAACAATCTCGCCATGCCAAAATCTGAAATTTTGGGGTTTATTTCTGCTTCTATCAAGATGTTACTAGCTTTGAGATCACGATGAATAATTCTAAGGCGAGAGTCTTCATGGAGGTAAAGGAGGCCTCAAGCAGTGCCTACTATGATTTTGTATTGCCTCCCCCAATCTAGTTGTGCATGCTTTGTTGGGTCTGCAAAATATATAATGCAAAATCAAGACTTCAATTACAATGTTGGCACATGTTTCACAATTGGAATTTTATAATAAACATTCAAAATCAAACGAAAACAATGCATAATTCCAGACATACCAAATATGATGTGATCGAGACTTGCATTAGGGACAAATTCATAGACAAGAAGCCTTTCACTCCCTTCTAAGCAGAAACCTAGGAGTCTAACTAAATTCCGGTGTTGAAGTTTAGCCACTAATAAGACCTCATTTTTGAATTCTAAATCTCCTTGCCCCGAATTTGTAGAGAGCCTTTTTACAGCTATATCTTCTCCATTGAGAAGCCTACCCTGAAAAAATATATAGGTATGGAATAAAAAAAAACAGAAATGAGATAAGTGGCATTCAAGAAATATCAAAGTTATAAGTTCTTGTTATCTTGTCATTACCCTGTAAACAGATCCAAATCTGCCTTGTCCAAGTTTATTTGCTTCAGAAAAGTCATCTGTAGAAACTCTAATGGTGGCCAAGTCAAATTGCAAGAATTCTGCAGATCCAATTTCATCTGTATCGTCGCTGCCTGAGGAACAATTGAAATTCTAAAAATGCCTATAAAAGTAATAGTACTTGGCTTCCCCTATCAAATGGAATAATATGATTAATTAATGTTCACAAGAGTTGCGTCCTTACCTGGAATTAACTTCCTACTTTCAAGTTTTTTCTTTGTCCTCCTTACTCTTAAACAAATGCAGAAGAATATAACTATTAGTACCACATAAACAACAATTTGCACAACAATAATGATGACAGTTCGAGATCTGTTACTCTTGACCCTGCAAAAATCAGAAATCTCATTTGCATTAATTTGAATACATACATACATCTGTATATGAACCTAACAAAATATGCATTAGAAATCCCTTCGACCCAAAATTGTTGTAGTGTCAATGGTAGCAATGGTCCTTGAACTTGTACATGAGACAACTACATCAACTTAAAATTGAATTGAGGGACTAAAATGTAACTCGTCCACAAATTCCTGGACAATTGCTATAATTAAGCCAACTTTATTTCTTCAAAGCATATTGTGATATACATAATATATATATGTACCTCCTGTACTGGTTGACGGTGGAGGAGGACTGGACAGTGGCGGTGACAAAGCCGGCAATGGTTGTACAGTTTGTAGGGTCATAGAAGCGAGAGATCTCTTACCTAACATTACAGCTGGGTTTAATAACTCTACCAACCAAGCAATCACTGCAGACCTGCTCGGTCAAATCCGGAATACACTGCGCAAGTCCATAGATTTTTTGGAAATTGGGAGCTATTGCGGTCCCTACCGCAAATTTTCGAAGCGAACCGTTTGCCGCAACTTGATTACTTAGATCCTCCAGTAGCGTCCTTAGCTCTTGAAAAAACTCGTTGACGTCAAAGGACACGTTCTGTAGGTTCCACAGCCAAAAAGTAGGGAGTGTTTCCATGGCGCCGTAAATGGAGCGTTTGGCGTAGCGAAGCATGCACTCGTCATATACGCCAAAAACCTTCCTTTTGATTGGGACAGAGCTGTGTGAGCATGGGAATGGAGAGGCAACTAACCATTGCCTACTCTCCTCAGCAAAATGGAGTTGCTAAGAGAAGAAATAGAACAATTGGAGAAATGGCAAGATCCATGATGATTGAGAAAGGTATCCCTGTGATTTTTTGGGCAGAAGTTGTAAGTACAGCTGTGTATCTCCAAACAGGTGTTTTACAACATCTGTGTCAAGCAAAACACCATTTGAAGCGTTCACAAGAAGAAAGCCAGGAATCAAGCACCTGAAAGTGTTTGGTTGCATCTGTTACACGCATGTCCCAGCACCTTTGAGGCAGAAATTTGATGACAAGGCTAGACAGGGAGTGTTTATGGGGTATGGAAGCTGTGAAAATGGTTATAGGGTGTATGACCTGCAATCTAAGAAGATTGTACTCTCAAGGAGTGTAATTTTCAGTGAGGACAAGACATGGAATTGGAAGAGTGATCAAGAGGAAGTTGTTCCAATACCATTCAACCTTGAAGGAAATGAGTAGAAGGTGAAAACAATGAAGAACAACCTGATGCACCTCAGTTTGATAATGGTGGAAGTTCTCATCTAAACTCCACAACTGGTGAGTTAGTTGAGAATGCTAGAGGTAATAGCAGTCAAAATTCCACACCTAGTTCCACTCCAGTCAAATTAAAATCTCTGGAAGATATATATGCAAGATGTCACATGTGCATTATAGAACCAGAGAATTACCAAGAAGCAGCTGGTGATTTAGCTTGGCAAGAAGCTATGAATGCTGAGTTGGAAATGATAGAGAAAAACAATACTGGGAATTGGTTGAGAGACCAACAGATCAACCTGTTATAGGTGTGAAGTGGGTGTTTAAAACCAAGCTTAATCTGGATGGAACAGTTCAAAAACATAAGGCCAGACTTGTAGCAAAAGGGTATGCACAGAAACCTGGAGTTGACTACAATGAAACCTTTGCACCAGTTGCAAGGTTAGACCCAATTCAAACTCTCATTGCTCTTGCAGCACAAAAGGGATGGAAGTTGTTTCAGTTAGATGTCAAGTCAGCATTCCTAAATGGCGTGCTTGATGAGGAAGTATATGTAGAACAGCTTGAGGTTTTGAACTGAAAATGTAGGCCACAAGGTTTACAAGCTGAGAAAAGCCTTGTATGGACTTAAGCAGGCTCCTAGAGCCTGGTACAGTGAGATTGATGCATACTTATCTATGTGCAAGTTCAAAAGAAGCATCAGTGAAGCTACTTTGTACACTAGATCTGATAATGAAGGAGGTTTGATCATTGTCTCAATCTATGTTGATGACATTGTTTATACTGGAAACAGTGAGAGGATGCTTACTGAGTTTAGAAGGGAGATGATGCAGAGATATGAAATGTCAGATCTTGGACTCCTTCATCACTTCTTGGGCATGGGAATACTTCAAACTGATCAAGGGGTTTTCATTCATCAAAGCAAGTATGCCAAATCCTTGCTTCTGAAGTTTAGGCTTGAAGACTGCAAACCAGTATCCATTCCATTGCCTACTGGTGAGAGACTCAAGAAAGTGGATGGGAGTGACTTAGCTGATGAAGGACTTTACAGGAAAATAGTAGGAAGCCTACTATACTTAACAACACTAGACCAGATTTGATGTATGTTGCCAGTTTGCTGTCAAGGTTTATGACTAGTCCTACAAAGAAGCATATGGGAGTTGCAAGAAGGGTTCTAAGATATGTGCAAGGAACTCTCAACTATGGCATTGAGTATGTGAAGGATAAGTTTGCAATTCTCATTGGATTCTGTGATGCAGATTGGGCAGGCAGTGAGGATGATAGCAGGAGCACTTCTGGCTATGCATTTAGTTTTGGAAGTGGAGCATTCTCTTGGGCCTCTGTGAAACAAAATACAATGGCACTATCAACAGCTGAAGCTGAGTATGTCTCAGCAGCTGAGGCAACAACACAGACTATTTGGTTAAGGTTTGTTCTTGATGATTTTGGTGAAATGCAAACTGAGGCAACACCTCTGTTCTGTGACAATATGTCAGCAATTTCTATGGCTAAGAATCCAGTTTTTCATCAAAGGACTAGACACATAAACAGGAGGTATCATTTCATAAGGGAGGCTCTACAAGAAGGGTGATTGACATGAAATTCTGCAGAAGTGAAGAACAACTTGCATATATTTTTACGAAGGCACTGCCTAAAGAGAGATTTAATCAACTAAGGTTGAAGCTTGGAGTTAAGCCAGTAAGCAGCTTAGGAGAGGCTGTTGAGAATTAAGCTGCATACCAGCTTAAATCAAGCTGCAGATGACAATCCTGCAGATTGATATGAAAAGAATGATGAAATCAAAGAACTTGGGAACTTTCTATGTTTAGCCTCAGCTGTCTAACGGCTAGTTTTTGTTTCCTTTTTGGGAAAATTCCTACAACTGTAATTCCTATCCTTTTTCAGCTGTACCTTGATAACCAATTCTAGCCTAGGTGTAAGGATCGTAGCCCCCAATGATTGTGTATGGCTGCAGATGTGTCCTTGCTACCTAAAATTTAGGATTTGAGCTATTTGGCAGCACATGTCATGTATTTGAGTGTACGTTTTTGCTCATTTGCATTAAGAGAAAATGCTGAACTTTCTTCACTGCTCTCTGTTCTTTCTCTTCACTATATACAGATTTTACAAACGAGTCTATCCTAGCTCATATAACAAAACCTAAAATCCTCAAACATTCCTCACAGATTCAACTGTAGAAGCCGTAGCCATTGCTGTTGTTGGAGGGGGAAGAAAGAGAAGAGAGAAGGGTGTTGAGGTTTGTCTGGTAGGTACTGTTGGTGTTGTAGTTGCCTTTATCGTTGAAACACCAAGGCTTAGAAAATCAGGCGGTTGAGCAAGGGATTGAGTGCTGATGATGAGGACCAAAACGGGAGAAAGGAAGAACAGAAATCTGAAGAACATTAATGGCGCCATTCTGCTTTGTACATTATTGTTGGTCAAATCAAAACTGTGCTTATATACTTTGTATTCTCTTGTCGTGTTGATAAAAAAGAAAGCAATAAAAGAGAGCAAAATACATCAAAAATAAAATGTAATTTAATTCTCAAATGATATATGTCATATAATAATACTCAGACCAAATCCTGCCAATTCCAATTCATCAAAATACTTCTTTTGACCATTTCACACTGTTTTAATTAAAATGTAGTTGAATATTAAACCATTGATTGAAATGGGAGTGGCTGTGGACCACATCCATTTGCATTTGATTGAAAAGTCCGTGCCTTTGACCAGATTTTGGAAATTATTGATATATCATGATATGAGTAAAATAAAAGCCACATATATAGCGTGGTTAAGTTCTTACTAGGTCCCCACAATACGACTGGTAATGTCATGTGTTTGGTCAAGCATGAACGATCTTGCCATGCCAAAATCAGAAATTTTGGAGTTTATTTCGGTATCTATCAAGATATTACTAGCTTTCATGTCACGGTGAATACTTTTATACAAATTTATAAATAAACCCAATCCTAGACATGTATTTATAAAAAATCCAAGCACCATTTAAACATAGAAACACACCCAAAATCAACCCCAAAGTCAACTTTTTGGGTGTGTTTATAAATAGGTTTTGAGTGTGTGTAATGATGGGTTTTGGGTGTGTTTATAAAGTGTTTTGGGTGTTGGGTTTTTTTATAATTTCAACCTCCATTTTGGGTGTTTTAGTGAAACTCCCATAATTTTAAGGCGAGAATCTTCATGGAGATAAAGAAGCCCATGCATAATGCCTACTATGACTTTGTAGCGCATATCCAAATCCAGTTGTGTGCGCTTGATTCAATGGGTTATGATGTTTGTTTAATGTCATAATGTTATGATTAGTGCCTACGTTCACAACTATTCACACGGATAGAAATACGTTGGGCATAAGTCTGTGCCTTTTGAAAAAAAAAAAAAAAAAAAAAAAAAAAAAAAAAAAAAGAAAGCCGTGCCTTTTAACAGTTTTCTACTAGTGGGACAATGTAAGAATTCCCTGCTTGACCAAATCCTGCCAATTCCAATTCATCAAAATACTTCTTTGACCATTTCACACTATTTTAATTAAAATGTAGATGGAGATTGGACTGGTACTGATTTTGACTTTTGAGGATTGATTGAATATTGTTGAGGCCCAAAAATCCAGGGTTGGGCCCAAATAAATTTATGACTTAGTGCGACACCTTATCACCGCAAAAACAGGATATTCATTATACAGAGTTGTCATAAAAATATAATAAATTACACTCTGGTTTGATTCACATTGATCCAGATCCTGAAAATCAACACACTTGGGTAATTTTCTCCACAAATCCATCAGAAGTAAATGCTTTGCTATATAGCACTTCCTCTGTTATTGTATCAAGAATGTGAAGCCTTATTCAGAACCCTACTTGAACAATTAATGAATGAGCCACACCATATAGAATTAGATAAGAAAGAATTAAAATGAACCAAAGGGATCGATCCTCAACCACTAGCGAGGATGTGGTTCAGTAAAAGTCTCATATTCCATTACTATGACAGAGTTACTCTTGGATCGATCTGACCTTGTTGCCCCTGAATTATATTCAGATCGTAACGACATGTCCGATCCAATGCTTCTATGCAGATAAAATGCAGGTTGGGAGGGCACTGGGAGAGTGAAGGAGTGGCTATTCATCATGAGAATAACAGAAGCCATGGTTGGCCTATCAGCTACATTTTCTTGCACACATAATAATCCAATGTGGATGCATCTCATTATTTCATTTCTTGAACCAGTCTCCATTGTGGGATCTATTAGATTTGAAGCTGTCCCTTCCCTCCAACTTCTCCAGGCCTGCAATGATTTGTGAATTTGATCAGAGATAAGTTTTCTTTCTTTGATTCGTTGCACTAAATTGTATTGAGATACCAAAACTATATTATATTTTCACTTACAAAGCTTAGAAGATTCTCCGCATTTTCTCCATGCTGGAAGCCACTATTTTTTTGTCCACTGACTATCTCTAGAACTAACACACCAAAACTGTAGACATCGGACTTAACAGAAAAGTGTCCATGAAATGCATACTCTGGAGCCATATACCCACTGCATATCAACAAAAAGAATGTGAGCTTTCCCCAACACATATGGAAAGGAAATTGTTGACATAACAAACATAAGCCCACTTGCAGTTAAAGTGCATATTCTTACTAGGTCCCGACAATTCGACTAGTATTGCCTTGCGTTTGATCAAGCACGAACAACTTTGCCATGCCAAAATCTGAAATTTTGGGGTTCATTTCTGCATCTATCAAGATGTTACTAGCTTTGAGATCACGATGAATAATTCTAAGGCGAGAGTCTTCATGGAGGTAAAGGAGGCCTCGAGCGGTGCCTACTATGATTTTGTAGCGCCTATCCCAATCTAGTTGTGCACGCTTTGTTGGGTCTGCAAATATATTAATGCAAAATCAAGACTTCAATTAAAATGTGTGCTTGCATACATGTCATACAATTGGAATTTTATAATAAACATTCGAAGTTAAACGAAAACAATGCATAATTCCAGACATACCAAATATGATGTGATCGAGACTTGCATTAGGGACAAATTCATAGACAAGAAGCCTTTCACTTCCTTCTAAGCAGAAACCTAAGAGTCTAACTAAATTCCGGTGTTGAAGTTTAGCCACTAATAAGACCTCATTTTTGAATTCTAAATCTCCTTGCCCAGAATTTGTAGAGAGCCTTTTTACAGCTATATCTTTTCCATTGAGAAGCCTACCCTGGAAAAATATATAGGTATGGAATGAAAAAACAGAAATGAGATAAGTGGTATTCAAGAAATATCAAAGTTATAAGTTCTTGTTATTAACTTGTCATTACCCTGTAAACAGATCCAAATCCGCCCTCTCCAAGTTTATTTGCTTCAGAAAAGTCATCTGTGGAAACTCTAATGGTGGCCAAGTCAAATTGCAAAGATTCTGCAGATCGAATTTCATCTGTATCGTCGCTCCCTGATGAACAATTGAAATTCTAAAAATGCCTATAAAGGTGGTAGTACTTGGCTTCCTCCTTATCAAATGGAATAATATGATTAATTAATGTTCACTAGAGTTGCGTCCTTACCTGGAATTAACTTCCCAGTTTCAAGTTTTTTTTTGTCCTCCTTACTCTTAAACAAATGCAGAAGAATATAACTATTAGTACCACAGAAACAACAATTGGCACAACAATAATGATGACAATCTGAGATCTGTTACTCTTCCATCCTGCAAAAATCAGAAATCTCATTTGCATTAATTTGAATACGTACATACATCTGTATATGAACCTAACAAAATATGCATTAGAAATCTATTTGACCCAAAATTGTTGTAGTGTCAATGGTAGCAATGGTCCCTAAACTTGTACACAAGACAACTACATCAACTAAAAATTGAATTGAAGGACTAAAATGTAACTCGTCTTCAAATTCCTGGACAATTGCTCTAGTTAAGCCAACTTTATTTCTTCAAAACATAATATACTGGGATGTAAATATATATATATATATATGTACCTCCTGTACTGGTTGACGGGGAAGGAGGACTAGACAGTGGCGGAGGAGAAGACGGCAATGGTCGGACAGTTGTAGGGTCAACGATGGGATAGATCTCATACCTAAGATTACAGCTGGGTTTACTAATAAGACCACCTTCCTTCCCCGGAAAATATTCTGGGATATCTGCCATAGAACTACCCAAGCAATAACTGCAGTTCTGCTCGGTCAAATCCGGCCTACACTGCGCAAGTCCATAGATTGTTTGGAAGTTGGGAGCGATTGCGGTCCCTACCGCAAATTTTCAAAGTGAACCGTTCCCTGCAGCTTGACCCCTTAGGTCATCCAGTAGCGTCTTCAGCTCTTGAAAAAACCCGTCGACGTCGGACACGTTCTGTACGTTATACCACCGGAAAGCAGGGTCAGTTTCAATGGCTCCGTAGATGGAGCGGTTGGCGTAGCGAAGCGTGCACCCGTCAAATATGCCGAAAGCTTCCTTTTGATTGGGACAGACCTGTGTGAGCTGTTGTGTGCCTTTGCTGAGGCAGCCACGGCAAATGTCCACCGTGAAATCCCCTTGACATAGCCCGATTGCGTAAACCTGGTCGGGGTTTTCCCCGTACGATGAGTTATAGAAGCCGTAGCCATTACCGTTGTTGGAGGGGGAAAAAAGAGAAGAGAGAAGGGTGTTGAGGTTTGTCTGGTATGTACTGTTGGTGGTGTAGTTGCCTTTATCGTTGTAACACCAGGGGGTTATAGATTGAGTGCTGCTGATCATGAGGAACAAAACGGGAGAAAGGAAGAACAGAAATCTTAAGGAGAACGTTAATGGCGCCATTCTGTTTTGTACATTATTGTTGGTCAAATCAAAACTGCGTTTATATACTTTTATTCTCTTTTAGTACGGCAAAATGTTGGACTTTCAAAGAAAGGCTCTATAGTTTGTTCAACCCGGCTACAAGCAAATTCAAATTGAATAGGACGTTTTATTTAGTCCTTGTGTTATTAAAAAGACTAGAGACTGGACAAGGTAAGAATTCCGCAACTAAATTGTTGAAAATAATGCACATTTGTGCTTAAGTCGGTGAGACTTGGAGTCTAACAAAGAACTCCCAAACTATTAGGGAGCTACAAGCTACCCAAACCAAGTCATATGGGGAGTGAGTCAATCAACTCCCAATCTTTGTGGGAGCAAAAAAGCTACCCAAATAAACTATGTTGTGGAGCCAATAAGCTCACCAATTTAAGTGAAGGGCCAAATAGCCCAAACTAATCTAAGTGAAGGCCAAATAGCCCAAACTAATTAAATCAAGTGTTGTGGCTAATAAGCCAGTATGCTAAGTGTACAAGGCCAATTAGCCTACACCATGCTATGTACTATTCACCTCCTCAATTAATAAAATCACTTTGTTGTTTCCCGCTTTCAATTCTAACACAAATTAAACGTTGGTTGACCACATTCATTTGCATTTGTGTTAACTACCTCTAACGTATAATCTGGGTTATTTATAAAATTATTTGGGCGAAGCCATAACCCGTAACCCTAAAAAGAATATTTCTAAAAGATTACACTCTACTTATTAAGAACCTACCTAAACAATGAAGAAACCACACAGTTTAAAGGAGAAATTAATCAAGGGGATCCTAAATTACATCAATATAATTTCTTTTTCATATATTAGGTTCCATAAATCATCAAAGCCTCATTTCTGGTGCTTTGTTAGAGTTGTTCCTGTTGCCCTGGAATTGCCCTCCGATCCCGAAGACATGTTGAATGAGTTTTTATCAAAAATAGTCAAAAATTACCCTATACTTTCATAAATGTCCGTTTTGATAAAAACTTTCAAAAATAGCCAAAAACTCACGTAAATAGACTCAAATGCCCTCAAAACTTAAACCCACATAAACCTAACAAGCAAAAGAAACTCAAAATCCGAAGAGGATATTCCAAAATAATTTTTTTTTAAATAAAATCATTTAAGAAAACCAAAGCTACATGAAGCAAAACCAACGGCTGAAGGAGCCAACAAAAGGGGGATCCCCCAAACAATTACAAACAGAGAAAGCCCTGCAATAACGCAAGGGCACCCATAGTACAACAAACCGAAGGCAAGGTATAAGAAAATATAGCTACAAAGTGAAGAACTATGCAACTACCAAAATAAATAAATAAATAAAAATTCGTTTTAAATTTTCTGCTTGTTGATTTTTTTATTTTTTTATTTTTTGCCTCACTAGTAAAATTTAATTCCCTTTACTTGAATGTTTATTTACGAAATCCATATATAAATCAACAACTATAACTTTAATTAATGTTTGGCAACCAAGAGTATGCAACAGTGATGCACAGTCACAAAAAGAATTCAAATATTTGAAGCTTTACAATGAGGAGTCCTGCCGCAAGTAACTTGGTGTGCTTGTCTTCTTGTGAATCTGTTGCACGCACGAAGGGTAGAGGTCTGCCAAACAATTGTTAGAATAGGATGATTTTGCTTTTTAGGTTTGTGTGGGTTTGAGTTTTGAGGGCATTTGAGTCTATTTACACGAGTTTTTTGCTATTTTTGAACGTTTTTATCAAAATGGACATTTATGAAAGTATGGGGTAAATTTTGGCTATTTTTGATAAAAACTCATGCCAAATGGATGCGATGGCACACGGAGACTGAGGGAGTAGCTATTCAATATCACAATAACAAAAGCCATGGTTGGCTTATTAGCAGCCACATTTTCTTGCACACATAATAATCCCAATGTGGATGCATCTCATTATTTCACTTCTTGAACCGGTCCTCAAGGTGGGATCTATTAGATTTGAAGCTGTCCCTTCCCTTCAATTTTTCCATGCCTACAATAATTTATGAATTAGAATAAATTAATTCGAGATAAAAATTTGTTTCTTTCATTGCATTCAATTTCACTAATCACTACTACAAAATCGAAATAGACGACATGAATCCACCGTAGTGAAATCGACCGCCATGTTTTGATATATAAAACAACGACGGCTAATACCCGACGTCGTTAAAACATTCAAAGTAAAAAAATATTACAAACCGACGTCTAATTACTATATATATATATATATATATAGCGTAAAATGAAACATTCGACAAAATTAGATGACGTTTTTATTAAAACAGAGACGTCTAAAGAGTGTTACATGTCAAGATCAAAACAAGCACCAACATACAGATAATTATCCACGTCCCTAATTGTAGGAATACAGACTTAGCCTAGAAACAATTGTGGTTAACTTATACTACGTTCAATAAATAAACAAACCGACGTCTAACTTGTAAAAGATGACGCATACACAAAAGAACGGATGTTTAAAGCATATTACATGTCAATAATCACACAGGCATCGACGTAAAATTAATTAACCACGACACACATGTGGAAAAAATCTTATACGATTATCCACATCGCAATGTAGGAGAACAACGCCTTTTAAAAATATTCCACGTCTGTTTCTTGCAAGAATTGTCATTTAAATTATACAAAGACGATGCTTTTTATACAAAACGGACATCTGAATACTTTAAAATGACACAATATTACTGAATACCGATGTAAGAAATCCTACCAACGACTACTGTTGTTAAAGGCTAACGTTAAAAATTATATTGAAGGCGTGGACAGGAAAAGAAACGACGTGTATTATATCTTCAACGTCTGTTTTTGTAAAATAAAGGACGTGGTTAATTCCTTCACTACGTCAAGCGGATCCAATTGTATGACGTTGCAATTCCTTACCACATCAGTTTCTAATACATGTTGATGTGGTTGGCCTTTTAAAAGTCGCTTGTGTAACCCTCCTTGACGTGTGTATTCTCTGAGACATCATATGTTTTAGACTTAGTTTCAGTCTTCTACTTCTGTTTGCTCTTGTTCAGCTACCATGTTATGCTTTGATATACTTCATATGTTATTGTATCAAGAATATGCTGCATTGATTTGATACCAATGTGCTCATAAAAACTTATTTTATGGTTCGAAAATTGACTCCTTGTTTCGCTTTAGGTCTTCAATGTCCAGACTTAGCTATTTCCTTTTGAAATATGATTCTTTTTTATCAATTTACTGACACTGGAATATCTATCGCTACACAAAATACAGAGGACATAAGTCAAGTGTACAATATTATGATGAACAAGAAAAGTTGATAAACAATTAAAATATACTAATTTGAAGTAACAGAATACTAGCACTCTTGCACTGTTCTTTGATTATGTCCATGAGAAGGTTCGCTTGAACAATAGTGAATGAACTAAACAGATCCAAATCCGCCCTGTCCAAGTTTATTTGCTTCAGAAAAGTCATCTGTGGAAACTCTAATGGTGGCCAAGTCAAATTGCAAGGATTCTGCAAATCCAATTTCATATGTATCGTGGCCGCCTGAGGAACAATTTAAATTCTAAAAATGCCTATAAAAGTAGTAGTACTTGGCTTCCCCCTATCAAATGGAATAATATGATTAATTAATGTTCACTAGAGTTGCGTCCTTACCTGGAATTAACTTCCTAGTTTCAAGTTTTTTCTTTGTCCTTACTCTTAAACAAATAAAGAAGAATATAACTATTAGTACCACAGAAACTACAATTGGCACAACAATAATGATGACAGTCCGAGATCTGTTACTCTTGGATCCTGCAAAAATCAGAAATCTCATTTGCATTAATTTGAATACATACATGCATCTGTATTTGAACCTAAAAAGATATGCATTAGAAATCTCTTCGACCCAAAATTGTTGTAGTGTTAATGGTAGCAATGGTCCATGAACTTGTACACAAGACAACTACATCAATTTAAAATTGAATTGAGGGACTAAAATGTAACTCGTCTACAAATTCATGGACAATTGCTCTAATTAAGCCATCTTTATTTCTTCAAAGCGTAATATATTGTGATATATATATATATATATATATGTATATATGTACCTCCTGTATTGGTTGACGGTGGAGGAGGACTAGACAGTGCCGGTGGAGAAGACGGCAATGGTCGGACAGTTGTAGGGTCAAAGAAGCGATAGGTCTCATACCTAACATCACAGCTGGGTTTACTAATAAGACCACCTTCCTTCCCCGGAAAATATTCTGGGATATCTGCCATAGAACTACCCAAGCAATAACTGCAGTTCTGCTCGGTCAAATCCGGCCTACACTGCGCAAGTCCATAGATTGTTTGGAAGTTGGGAGCGGTTGCGGTCCCTACCGCAAATTTTCGAAGTGAACCGTTCCCTGCAGCTTGACCCCTTAGGTCCTCCAGTAGCGTCCTCAGCTCTTGAAAAAACCCATCGACGTCGGAGGATACGTTCTGTACGTTATACCACATGAGAGTTGGGAAAGTTTCCATGGCTCCGTAGATGGAGCGGTTGGCGTAGCGAAGCGTGCACTGGTCAAATATGCCGAAAGCTTCCTTTTGATTGGGACAGACCTGTGTGAGCAGTTGTGTGGCGTTGCTGAGGCAGCCACGGCAAATGTCCACCTTGACATCCCCTCGACATAGCCCGATTGTGTGAACCTGGTCGGGGTTTTCCCCGTAGGATGAGTTGTAGAAGCCGTAGCCATTGCCGTTGTTGGAGGGGGAAGAAAGAGAAGAGAGAAGGATGTTGAGGTTTGTCTGGTAGGTACTGTTGGTGGTGTAGTTGCCCTTATCGTTGAAACACCAAATGCCTCGAAAATCAGGGGGCTGAGCAAGGGATTGAGTGCTGATGAGGAACAAAACGGGAGAAAGGAAGAACAGAAATCTTAAAGAGAACATTATTGGCGCCATTCTGTTTTGTACATTATTGTTGGTCAAATCAAAGCTGCGTTTATATACTTTTTATTCTCTTTTAGTACGGCAAAATGTTGGACTTTCAAAGAAAGGCTCTATAGTTTGTTCAACCCGGCTACAAGCAAATTCAAATTGAATAGGACGTTTTATTTAGTCCTTGTGTTATTAAAAAGACTAGAGACTGGACAAGGTAAGAATTCCGCAACCAAATTAAACGTTGGTTGACCACATCCATTTGCATTTGTGTTAACTACCTCTAACGTGAAAGGAAAATTCCACAAAAGAAACAGTACATACTTTTGGTAAAATTTTCCATGAAACAGCACAAAAGAAACAGCACAAAGGAAACAGTGCTTTATGCATAGAAAGTTGATGAGATTGGGAAAAGATAAATTTTGGAAAACGAAATAGATTAACTACACGTATTCAAATTAGTCTCCTCTCCACTTCCAATTAACAATTTGGGCTTTTTATAAAATTATTTGGGCCAAGCCAAGAACCCATAACCCTTAAAAGAATATTTCTATAAGATTACACTCTACTTATTAAGAACCTACCTAAACAATGAAGAGACCACACAGTTTAAAGGAAAAATGAATTAAGGGTTCCTTTACATCAATATAATTTCTTTTTCATGTATTAGATTCCATAAATCATCAAGCACCATCGAGGATATAAGTAATGAAGCCTCATTTTCTGGTGCTTTGTTAGAGTTGTGCTTGTATTTGTTGAAGAATACACGAGTCCCACATCGGAAGCTTAACAAAATAAAAAGTCTCATATAATAAATGGTTTCACTCCTAATAACATTGAAACCTTTTGTATAAAACCCCACACCTGCGAAACATGTGGTTAAGTTGGGGACAATATCGATGCACTACTACATTACTATTTGTGGACGATATTTTGAGCGACAACGCAAACTTCTTCATGCAAGATAAAATTGCGCGACGGAAAACAATATTCGTTGCGCAAACTTTCGAAAACTTGCGCAACCAAAAGTTTTGTCGCGCAAGAAAACTTAGCCAAAATTATAGACATCGGACTTGACAGAAAACTGCCCCTGCATTACATACTCTGGAGCCATATATCCGATGTATATACCAATAAGAGGGTCAACATTGACTAGCGTGGACGAAGATTTTGGAAATTGTTGATATATCATGATATGAGTAAAATAAAAGCCACACACACATATTGACAGAGACAGGACTGATTCTTCTTGTGATTTTTGATGAGGACTAATTGAAGATTTCAAATAAATAAAACAATTGAATATTGGAAGGGGGAGTGTATGGTTGACGTCAAGGCAAGAAGATATTGCAAGGAATTTTCTCCTGTGGACGGACTGCTTTTTTCTTTACTAACCTTAATTAAGTGGGTCTCCTGGTCAAAGGAATGGAAACTTCTAAAAATGGGAAAAACATAAAAATGTTCCATAAAGCATATCTAATTCATGAAATTGGAAACATCTAATCTGAAGCTCAACGTCCATTTAGGGATAAGAGGTCAAGTCAAGCATCCAGCTTTTTCTTCTTTTTTGTTTTTGCAAATTATGATTCTGGTCTCTATAACTTGGCAAAATCTGATGTTGGTGTTGGTACATTAAATTTCAATTTTGGTGGAAAATTAAAAATCATTTAGTGCCACACAAAATATTTGACTAGAATTATGAATTATGATCTCATCCGACCATATAATATTGCCCACTAAATTGGCCCTAAAAGAAAGCTACGTCACAACAATATGAGTCTAGCCACAACAAAAGTATCAAACTCATTGAGAACATATATCGTCCTCACTGTCCATGTGAATCGAACTTGAGACCTCCTGTAACTAAAAATACTACTAAAACAAAGGCTAGTTAGTAGCCCAAAGTTCCTTTCAAGTTTAGAAATTGTCATAGCTGTTCTGTGAGCATATCCGGAACATCTTGTAAAATAACATCAATTTCGATTCCCATCACCCATCTAAATTTACAAAGAAAATTAACTAGGTCAGACTACTCCAATTCAATTACAATCAATATAAACAAGGAAACTAAAACTAACTTTCCTAATTCTTAACACCCATGTTCTTATGAGAACTAGGTGCCATTGTCACTTACAAGAACCGAAAAACCTTCTGCAAAAGGGAATCCAGCAATTGAAGGCTTTAACAACTTATATAATATTATAGCCATGTTATTGATTGAAATGGTCCCCTAATTTTTGCTCCAATCTCATTTTAGTCCACCAACTAGAATTTACATTTCAATAGTTCTCCAACTCTCTATTTAGTATGAAAATAGTCTTACTGTCAAAGTCTGTTAATTTTGCCATTAAACTTAGGGGTAAAACTGTCTCTCTGAATTAAAATAGTAATATATAATTAAAAATTAAAGGAAACTATTATAAAACTTAGAAAATTTTAAAAAATTGAATCTCACTAGCCACATGGTTTTTTTTTCTCTCGTGAGATTGACCTAAAATTAATAAAAAATTTCTCCATTGTTTAAATTAATTAAAAAAATTAAAATTAGATAAATACAAAAATAAAATAACAAATATTTTTAAAAGAGTAAACAAACCCAGATTTATACAAAAACACTGCCTTGCATCCCAACTCTGCAACCTCCCCCCTCTCAGCCTCCCCCCACACACCCCTCTACTTTTTCTCCCTCATGACCTGACCATCCCATCCCCACCAGAAACCCACAGCCCAGTCCCAAGCCCCAAGCCCCAAGATTCTAATTAAAAAATTGAGGAAATGATATCGACCAAAACTCAAGAGCGAGGGACGCTGAACACACTCTATTTATTTGACTTGGTTTTCATCCAATCTATCCCCAAAGCACATCAAAACCAACAAGCAAAACATAGCATATTGCAAATGCTCGACCACTATGACGCCTTTGGGTTAGGATTGAGAATTTGTTTCAAGCCAGTCCCCTAAGATGTTGAGAACCCATTTGTAGGCCCCATCAGGTGAGGTTGCGGCTAAAGAGGCGCCACGTGAGATCATGTAGACGGCAGATTCATGTTGTGTTGGTTGTTGCTTATGTTCTCGTAGAGGAGAAAAAAAAAGGGGGGGAGGTGGGGGAAAGGGGTGGAAGGGGAGAGGGAGAGCAGAGAACTGAGATGAGGTTTACTTTATTAATATTTTAGTTTATATGGACAGTTTTATCCCTCAATTTAACAATAAAATTGACAGACTTTAACAGTAGGACCAATTTGATACTAATAGGTTTGCTTGGTGATACACAAAGAATCTCCTATATCTTTTAGGTAAGAAACCAATTCCTCGATGGACAACGAAATAAATTCATACAATCAGGAAACTAAATCCAACAACTTGGATTTTTTCTGCTAGGTCAATAGAATAAAATCTTCCATCAAAGAAAAACACCCCTTTTATTTGCAATCCCAATATGAGTGGTTCACAAAACAATCAATACTATCCATCCCAATACTACATATTGTGAGCACCAGAAATATTGTTGGCTTTCTATCTTATTAACTGAGTCTCAATATCGACTAAATCAACATTTTGACTACTGCTCAAGGAGCTCTACATGAGGTCCATCCTTCTCATGATTTAGAATATCAGCAAGACGAAGTGCTATATATGGAGTTTCAATTCCCTATCAGAGTTTATATATAATGTTTGTTGAACCAAAAAAAAACAAAAAACAAATCACAACAAAAATGGTGGGTTTAGATAAGCCCCACAACGTTGGGTGGGTGATTCCCACATGACACTTGTTTTCAAAACAAATTTGTAACAACATGTATATTAGATTGTCCCTGTTCTTATCCCTAGAGAAAAGGAAGGGATAATTAAAAGAAAAGGATAATTTGATCAAGCGGGAGGAGGAATCCAATTTGAACAAGGATTGTTCCATCTCAAAACTCTTTCTCACAGTCACTTTATAAGAGGAGGGCTCGCAAGGCCACAAAGGCAGAAGAACAGCCAAAAGGCTGGGGAAAAAAAAAGAAAAAAAACGGAGAGGGTAGCCGGCAGGCTGTGGAGAGATACCAAAAAAAAAAGGCCACGAGGCTTGGGGAGAGCCGCAGGAACAAAGAGGAATAGCAAGCACATAAGAGGATTCTTGGCTATGGTGACTTCTATCATCATAAAAAAAAGTTAGGAATCTCTCTATGGCAAGGCTCTGCTCAAAGACTTCCAAGGAAGCACTCAACATCCAGTACAATCAACCCATGGAATTCTTGGCTATGATGATTTCAATCATCACAAATTAAGTCAAGAATCTACTCTAAGGCGTATCTCCTCTCAAATACCTCTACGACATCCAGCTATAGATTGACAGCCAAGATGATTTCAATCATTTATGAGATCAAGTCCTGATCTGCTCCGAGGTGCAGCTCCTCTCAGACGCTTCCAGGATGTGCTCAACATCCATTCACAAGCACTTTGTAAGGATTGCTTATCATGATGGGCTAACCATCACAAAACCAGAATTGGTTTGTGGTGCCATTAACAGACGTAGAGAAACTCCCGGAATTTTCTAGGCTTCTTTTACTACAGCGGCATAATGGCCAAGACTTGTTCAATGTTGTTCGTGTCTACCGAGGGGGGAGCAACAAGCACGAAGTTCTTCGTTATTTGTTCTTAAATGCAGCAAGACAGTGAGATTTTTCTCCCAGATGCCTTGAGCATCCAAACCCACAGACAACAGCTAAGGTCGTGCATCGTCAACAAAGTTCCTCCCTAGAAGTCTCTTAGCTTGGGTATGAAACCCACAAACCAAATTATACGGATTATCAATCCATCATGGGTGTGTAACCCTCAATCAAATACTCTGTGATATATCCATTTTGGGGCATAAAGCTCATTCACTGAGTTCTCTGGATGACATATCCAATCTGGGTACAAAACCCACAAACAACTCCACAGCAAATAAAAATGGGTTCTACCTCTGCCTTTGGAATCCTGAGTTAAACAGAACCATTAGCTGCAGTCCCGTTTGGAAGTGGGAAAGTCAGCAAACAAAAAGCTTGGAGGAGAGGCTTTACATTTTGTTTTGGAAGAAGGTTTGTTACAGCAAAAAAAATGGAGAAACGAAACAGCGTTGGTGCATACAGACACGATGAACCAAAAAAAAAGAAGTTGTTGAGACAGCCCACGTTTTGGCAGCTTGGTGTTGTTGCACATAGCAACAACAAACAAAAAAAATGAAGAAAATGGACAGCCACGTTTATCGGCAGCATATAGGAGCAGCTAACAAAAAGAAAAAAAGAAGAAAAAAGGGATAGCCACGTTTTTGTTGGCAGCTTGGTGTTGCGCAGCAAACCGAAAACAAAGGAAAAAAAAAAAGAAAAGTCAAAACCAAAGAAAGACAAAAGAAGAATTGGCTTGGTGCTGCATATGGCAACAACAAATAAACAAAGAGGAAGACTCCCTCCCAAATAAGGGAAGAAAAGTCAAATGGCTTGGTTTATTCTAACCAATTTTCCAGAATACTTTTCCAAGTGCAAATGTCAATTTTAGAAAATTAGTGGCTTAATTGAAATTTCTCACTATTTTTCTTGGACATTGACAATAGGAAAAAATTTTCCACGGGTCATCTACTTATGCAAATTTCAATGAGATTAAATTCAAATCTCTCAAATACAAATTCTCAATTAGTTTGCCACACTTACCCATTAATTACCAAATTTTGGAACTACGTCGGTTTGATCTCATCAATGGTACGTAGGCAATCTAGCATCCCACTAGATGCAACCGCAACCAAATTTGAATCCTTGGTTTATTCTAACCAAATTCGCCAGAATACTTTTCCAAGTGCAAATGTCAGATTTAGAAAATTAGTGGCTTAATTGAAATTTCTCACTATTTTTTTTGGATATTGACAATAGGAAGAATGGTACAAAACCATCCAACTTTTTCCATGGGTCATCTACCCATGTAAATTTCAATGAGATTAAATTCAAATCTCTCAAATACAACTTCTCAATTAGTGGGCCACACTTTCCCATTAATTTCCAATTTTTCTCATGGGTCATCTACCCATGAAAATTCCAACGGCATTAAATTCAAATCTCTCAAACACAAATTCTCAATTAATGGGCCAAACTTACCCATTAATTTCCAATCTTTCCCATAGGTCATCTACCTATGAAAATCTCCAAATTGTCTCAAAGACACAAATTCTCAATTAGTAGGCCACACACCAAATTTTGGAGGAGTCATGGACCCTCTACTTTGATGGGTCTTCCACATCAAAAGGTGGAGGGGCAGGTGTCGTGCTCATTAATCCCAATGGGCAAGCTACGGCTCTCTCATTCAAGCTAGACTTTCCATGCACGAATAATGTGGCGAAGTACAAAGCCTTTATTATGGGATTGTCCATAGCAAAAGAAATGGGTGCAGAAAAGGCGAAGATCATCAGCGATTCGAACCTAGTACTAAGTCAATTGCGAGGAAGCTTTGCTGTGAAGGAAGCAACCCTGGCACCATATCGGACAGCTGCTGAAAGGCTCATTAATTCTTTCAAGCAAATTGTGATGGAACACATTCCAAGAGTCACCAATAGGTACGCTGATGCGTTGGCCACATTGGGATCAAAGCTCTCATTTGTGCAAGAGCAGCCCAACATCACCGTGATAAGGAGAGGCACACCAGTGATCGAAGCAATGGCCCAGGAGGACCTGCTGGAAGACGATGATTGGAGAAAGCCACTGAAGAAAAAATTAGGTGAGGGGAGCAGCATTAAAGATTTGAAGGATTATGTGATAATCTGTGAGGAACTCTACAGACGTCTTCCGGGAGGTGTTCTGACCCGGTGTGTCGGGGTGGCAGAAGCAAGAAGAAGGTTGCAAGAGGTACGCGATGCCACTTGCAGCTTGGAACCAGTGATCAGCCTGGACCGGCGCTTGCAACGCAAAGGTTATTATTGGCCAGAGATGAAGAGGCAAGCAGCTGAACTACAATCCAATTGTCCCACATGTTCTACGATACTCTCCACAGAGGAGTCGTTCACTATTTCATTCGCAGAAGATTGGAGAGCTCCATACTTGGCATTCTTTGTTGGAGGAACTTTGCCAACCAACTCCAAGCTTGCCTACAAGCTCAAAAAGACCATAAAGAGGTATTTTGTTGATGGGTCAACTCTCTATCGAAAGGGGTTTAATGGTGAGCCATTAAAATGCTTGGAAGAATAGGAGGCACGTCAAGCCATGCAAGAAATACATGCTGGAGAGGGCGGAGAGCACCAAGGAATGAAGAAGCTTCACCGGCAGCTACTAAGCATTGGGTATTATTGGCCTACCATGAAGAAGGATGCACATGACTTTGTTAAGAGATGCCACACAGGCCAAGTCCATGCCAATCTAAGTCACAAGCCTCCTACATTGCTATAAGACATGCGCACTCCTTGGCCTTTCCATACTTGGGGGCTTGATTTAAATGGGACAATCCATCCCCCTTCCAATGGCTACATATGAATCTTTACCGTTACGGAGTATTTCACAAAATGGGTTGAGGCAATTCCCCTTCGGAAGGCCACATGAGCTGCTGTCTCGAATTTCATTCGGGAATACATTGTGTGTAGGTTCGGAATCCCATACAAGATGGTCACCGACAATGGCACGCCTTTTGTTAACAAGCAAGTGAGTTCAACCCTTAGTGGGTACAGTATCAAGCATCGTTGCTCTATGCCTTATTACCCGCAAGGAAACGGTCAAGCAGAGGCTACCAATAAGACGATATTAAGGATTCTAAGCAAGATGGTATATGAGTATCAAGGAGGCTGGAGTGTTCACCTGCCGGATGCTTTGTGGGTTTACCGCACCTCACCAAGGAGCGCTACAGGTTTTTCACCTTACTTGTGTACGGGTCTGAGGCTATTTCACCCGTGGAAATCACCATCCCGACAGCCAGAGTATCAGCTGTTAATCACCTGGAATGGGATACAAAGTCATGCTCGGATTGGCGCTTGCTGGACCTCGAAGTTTTGGATGAAAAAAGAGCAGAAGCCGAAAGGAGGACATCGTTGTACCACAAAACTGTAGCCCAAGCTTACAACAGGACAGTCAAACCTCGATCCTTCAAGCAAGGAGACCTCGTGCTAAAAGTCGTGGAGCATGTAAGAAGACAAGTGTCGAGACCTTCCAAGTTTGACCCACAATGGGAAGGCCCATTCACAGTCAAAGAGGCTTACAGCAACGGCTATTATCGCTTGGTCTCTGTCAAAGAAGGCACGCTGACGGATCCCATCAACGGGAAGTGCCTCAAGCCTTACTACTGCTAAGTTAATTTTATGCCCAGCAAATATCATGCAAATAACATGCACTTAGCAGTAGAACATGCCAAGCTACTTGAACGGGATCCCAAATTGTCAACAAATAGCATGCCCAAGCAAAATAATATAAGAAAGGCAAAGCCAAGCTGTTACAAAAAAAATCATGCACACGCTAGTCTAATCCTTCTTAGACATAACAAGGAAGTGCTTTTTCAGGGCCAGTGGTTATACAAATTTTGGGCAGCATATACCTTGTTTTTAAGGGTATCCAACCTGTCAGAAAATTTCAAACAGTTCACAAAGACGAATTTTGCCAACCAAGCAATATATATATATATATATATATATATATAAGACATGCAACATGCCTCAAGCATTCAGAAATTAATACAAGCTTCAGTGGTTCAATACCAAATTACAAAGTCATAACAACGAAAGAATTCTCCCCAATCTCGACAAAACATGTTTCTCTCGGATAAATGCCCTATAGAGGTGAGAGCATCACTGTTCTTGTGGCTGTAATCAATAATCTCACCACGAGGTAGCACTGCCGAAAGCTGTGAAGAGGTGCCGGAAGCTATGTTGGGTGTGCCCAAGCTAGAAGGAGTAGGAGGTAGCCCTGCTGGAAACTGTGGAGAAGTGTCGGCGGCTGTGTCGGGTGTGCCCAAGCAAGGAGTATGAGGTAGCACTGCTGGAAACTGTGGAGAGGTGCCGGCAGTTTGTGTCGGGTGTGCCCAAGCAAGGAGTAGGAGGTTGCACTGCTGGAAACTGTGGAGAAGTGTCGGTAGCTGTGTCGGGTATGCCCAAGCAAGAAGAAGGAGGAGGTAGCACTGCTGGAAACTGTGGAGAAGTGTCGGCGGCTGTGTCACGTGTGCCCAAGCAAGAAGAAGTAGGAGGTAGCACTGCTGGAAACTATGGAGAAGTGTCGGCGGCTGTGTCACGTGTGCCCAAGCAAGAAGGAGTAGGAGGTAGCACTGCTGGAAACTGTGGAGAAGTGTCGGCGGCTGTGTCACGTGTGCCCAAGCAAGAAGGAGTAGGAGGTAGCACTGCTAGAAGCTGTGGGGCAGTTCCGGCAGCTGTGTCGGATGTCCCTAAGAGAGGAGGAGCATGAGGCTGCATTACTGGAAGGCGCATGACAGTGTCGGCAGCTACGCTGGACATCCCAGGAGTAGGAGTAGGAAGTGTATTCTCTGCACCTTGTGAGATGCTCTCAACCTGAGAAAGAGGAGAAATACAGGGTATGAGTTGCAAGTCACAACAGGCAGCACGCAATGTGTATATACCAAGTAAAACAAGCAAGAAGGTTATTGGATACTGGTTCAATGTCAACATGCCGCTCATGGTCACTAACAAATTCGGAGGCATGCCTGAGGCATCCAGTTCCTCCAAACAAGTGTTGGAATTTGGTTTCTACAGCCATGGTTCATGCCGACCCTTTCTTAAGAAGCTGAACTTGGTGAAGCAAGCAGTATAGGTGCCCCAAGAACATGGGGGCTACAGGAAGCACGCTGCCACGTGCTATCACAAAGGCCAAAGGAAACACCCACTCATGCAAATGATCATAAAAAATAAAAACAAATAAAAATCACAGGAGAGAAATCTCCCAAGCCATAACGATGCAAGCGTTGCAAGACAACATGGCTCATTCTTGTTAGCATCTCCGAAAAACTGTATCCAATTGCTAAACCGCAGAGAAGTGATAGGAGAAGTCAAGGCACCCTTCCGTAAAGCCTCATGCTTTAGTTTATCTTCCGGAGACAACGCAATGTGGAAAGCATCTTGGCTGCCGCAAAGTGGAAGGTGGAAAATATTGGCTACATCCTCAAGTGTGGGAGTAAACTCTCCCCATGAACAGGTAAATGTGTGTCTCGGTATTCCATCGCCTAACCACACGCCGGAGCATCTTGGCTTCAATATGGATGTCGCAAGCTTTAGAAATAAAGATAGCGTCCAGCAACCCTACCCGATTTAGGATGTCACAGGAGGATGGGTCCTTCAATTCGCAGTCAACCCATTCTGACCAACCATTGCTGATGCCACATGGATATTAGAAGAACAAGGGGACTGCTAGAAATATGCCCCTCTTTATGCAGGATCAACCACTGGAGCTGTTTCCGGCGCTGGCTCTCCATTAAATGAATACGTCTTCACCAGCGCTCTTAAGCAAATGAGGAGGCCTCACTCTTTTTAATCTGTCATCTAGGGGATAAATGGGTCCCTAATAATGGGCAACAGATCAACGGATGCCATGACCAGTTTTTGGCAAAATGGCAAATCTCTGCATACGAGAAAGAAAAAAAAAAGGGGTTCAAGCAAATATGCAATTTATGACCCAAGTTCGCGACAAACAAAGTTCTCATCCTGTGAATCAATAAGCATGCCAAGCAAATTCTCTCTCAAAACAAAAATCAAGCATTGCAAGACATGCGTTCTGTCAACTTCTATTTCTCACGGCTGAGAACAAACTCTACAATTAATCAAGCATATGTTCGCAAGGGGAGTAAGCCTAGGCCAAGCACCAGTCTATGCTTATTCCTAGAATATTCAAATTGGCAGAGCTATTTACCAAAAGATTAAAACAGAAGCCCCAAATATCCAAGTTAGAAGGCTGGAGGATTTTAAGGTTCCAGCGGCAGAAACGTCAAAGGCTTCCAGAACCTGCCCCACCTATGCCTGAGACGTATGCACCTGCACAGAAATAAACAAAAGAGAAAGCACATCATGCCAAGTTCAGCATTTTCATATACAAAGAAGAGGTAGATAAAAGTAAAGAAGAGGAAAAGGGGGACAAACCCAAGCTAACGGTTTCTTCTCACAAAATTTGGTACCTTTCCAGCAATTCGAGCAAACCAAAGAAAAGAGAACCTGGGAAGATGGATGCAAATCCTTCTTTGCTAGCACCCACGCTGTAAGCACCCACGTTGCTGCAATAACAAAATAGGTCAAGAGAGGGTTTGGTGTTTCACAGCCATAACAAAAGGGCAACATTCATGGATGAAAGGAACCCAGCAAATTTCCCAAATAAATTCAAGAGAAAACAAGGGAAAAAGCATACCTTGTTGAATTCCCCAAAGAAGGATCTTGAATACACCAAGAAAAGGAGAGAAATCGGGGATTTTTGGAAGAAAATCGCACAAGGAGGCCCCTTCAGCAGCGACGAACGGAGCCCTTCGAATAAGGGAGGGGCGGCGGAGTCGAACTTGGCATGGGCTTCTTCACAACGATTGGAGGCAGATGACTTCTGCCCGATCTCACTCTCTCACTCAGTCTGAGTCTGTTTGGAGAAGGGGAAGGGAGCGAAGAAAAGAAAATTGGAAGAAGGTTGGGTCTGGTGCGAGAAACGAGGGAGAAAGGAAGAAAAGGAAGAAAATAATAATAAAAGAAGAAGAAGGCGGTTGGCGTTGGGAAACTGCAAATAACCGCTGGAACCAATCATGATGCACGTCATTTTGCACGCGGGAAGAGAAGAAGTTTCTCTACAAATACAAATTTGATTTTTTTTTGGGCTGGGTTTAATTATTCGGCCCATTCCAGCACCTGTCCATGGCCCTTATAATTAAGGGGGCTAATGTTGAGGCCCAAAAAATCCATGGTTGGGCCCGAATAAATTATCAGCCCAAAACGACACTCTACTAAGGAAAAGCGTAAAGCGGAGTACACGAAAACCCACCACATGCGAGTTGTAGTTCACGTGCCATGCTAAATAAATTAGCCATGCTAGGGGTTGAGATAAAATATACCGGCTCTACAAGCCCATGCCAAACTTAAACATCACAGTCCTTCCCAAGGACGATAAAATTAAAATATGCCAAGCAACATGCCATGCCAAGCACAAAATCATTATCTCACACCTAACCACGCTACAAGCCTAAGTGGGCCCAAGCCACAAAATTCTCCGTTGTTTTCTTCTTTCCCTGAGATAAAATCTTGCTAATTTTTTCCTTCGTTCCCAGTTTAGATTTTATCCTCTGCAAGAAACTCATGCTGTTCTCTCCTCTCTCTCTCTCTCTCTCAAATTGCTAAACTCGTGAAAGCTTAGCTCCCATGCCACATGCTCCTCAGGCTAAGTCATTAGTGAAATCATCATGCTTATTTGGGTGTTAGTAAAGTGATCCTGAGAGTGTTCTTTAAAATCTCATCAGATTTTCTAAAAACTCTCTTGGGAGCTTGGTTTCGAACTCAGGCATTTGGGGGATTTTGCTCGTTGTCTTCTTACAGCAGCCCAGGCCCATTCACCAGCCGAATTCGATTCTACCGACCTGAAAAAGAGGTATAGGCCCTTTGAATCTCATTCTACTCGGTAGTGGAAGACCCCGTCACCCACATTCACACATTTCAATCGGCCTTGGGTTGCAAGGGACTCACAGATGAAGGCCAATGCCTGTTGTTCCCATCTACCTTGGTCGGGGCAGCTCTGAATTGGTTTTATCGGCTGGAACCAGGTACAGTAGACTCTTTCGACCAGTTAAAACAAATTTTCCTAAATCATTTTATGATACAGACCGATCGTCTATACTCTGCCGACGACCTCTACACCATTCGGCAAGGAGATAGTGAGCCCGTTCGGATGTACGCAGCCAAATTCAGCCACGAGTATTCTCGGTGCCCAGAAATCGAGGACCGAGCAGCCTTCAAAAGTGGTCTCCGAGCCTCCCAATTTCGCTACCTAGTACACAGCAGCAATTGGACCACCTATGGCGAACTCATGAAGCAGGCATCCATTCACACCAAGGACGAACACTTCAACTCTAAAGGAATGCCTTCGGCATCTCCTAGCCAGATGGCAAGCACAAGTCAGCCTTCGGCATCCACCTATGACCGTTTCCAGCTACACCAGACCACTAATCAAGCTCCCTACTGAATGGCACCCACTGTGCCCGCACCTTGCACAACGGGGGATAAGCGAAGGGACTTGTTCCAGGGTCGGCAGGACGGAGGCAAACGCAATAAGGGGTCAGGTGGCCGAAACTTCCGAAGCACCAAAGGCGACCGACTGCCAATGGTTTTCACCATTCTTAACTCGACCTACGAACATGTCCTCATGGCCGAAAATCAGATGATTCCGAAGCCAAGCCTCCAGAAGCTCCATCGGCAAGTCGATAATGATACATGAGTCTTCTGCCGATACCCCCAATACAACGGCCACAATACCGAGTCCTGCATCACCCTCCGAAGGATCGTTGAAAAACTGATCAGCGAGGGCAAACTAGACTAGTATCTGAGTGCACAATCGGGTCCTGAGCACCAGGGCAATCGGCAGATCAACATGATCAGCGGCGGTACACCGATCGCTGATTGCAACCGTCAGTCCGTCAAGAGTTACGTACGTGCCGTTCGGCACCCTCAGGTCCTCAGCCTCACTGAGGAGCGCAACAGTAAAATCCGGCAATTCAGATGGGAACCCATCACCTTTTCCGAAGAAGAAGAGAAGGGGCATCATCTTCCCCCCATTCCGATCCCATGATCATTCGAGCAGGCATTGCCGATTTCGACGTAGGCCGAATCCTCATCGACACCGGAAGCTCGGTCAACGTACTCTTTGCCGATGCTTTCAACAGCCTCGGAATCGACCATCAAAGCCTCAACAAGGAGATCACTCCTCCTCTTCTAAGCTTCTCGGGCAATGTGGTCGAGCCAATTGGGAGCATCCAGTTTCCCCTTGCCGTCAGCTCCGGCTCCAGAAGGGCTTTCATCTACACTCACTTTCTGGTAGTCAACTGTCCGACCGCATACAACGCCATCATCGGCAGGCCCGCCCTCACTCGAATGAAAGCCATTTTGTCACCACATATGCTGCTGCTTAAATTCCCAACACACTCAAGAGTCGGTCAGGTTTGGGGGGACTAATTGAGCACAGGGTATGCTACGTGTCATCCACAGCGGAATCAGCAACCCGGACGTTAGGGCAAAGGCATGTCGAACGTCCCGATGACCCACGGGACGATAACGTCACGCCACAAGCTCAACCTGCCGAAGAGCTCGAAACGATCTCCATCTCCGACACACTGGATCAGCAGACCCGAATTGGCACTTCCCTCAGTCCGTCACTTCGAATCGACTTCATTACCTTTCTAAGGGCTAATTCTGAAGTTTTCGCCTGGTCTTACAACGATATACCTGGGATCTCCCCGGACGTCATCAACCACAAGCTCAGCATCTCCCCTTCTTTCAAGCCGGTTCGACAGAAGAGACGATCCTATGACGCCGAACGATACGAGGCCATGAATACCGAAGTAGACAAGCTTCAGGCAATCGGCTTCATCCGCGAAGTCACCTACCCCCATTTGGCTCACCAACTCAGTTTTGGTGAAGAAATCCGGCGGCGCTTGGCGAATGTGCCAGGATTATGCCAATCTGAATAAAGCATGTCCGAAGGATAGCTTTCCACTACTAAGAATCGACCAACTGGTGGACGCCACGGCTGGCCATGAGCTCCTCAGCTTCATGGACGCCTACTCCGGCTACAACCAGATTTTCATGCATCCTACGGATCGTGAGCATACGGCATTCATTACCGACAGAGGGCTTTAACCCGAGCAAGTGCACCTTCGGTGTCTCTTCCGGCAAATTCCTGGGCTTCATGATCAGCCAAAGGGGGATTGAAGCCAACCCCGAGAAGATCCGAGTCGCTGCCTTGGCCCGTTTCATATCAAAGGCCATCGACCGGTGCGCCCCTTTCTTCAAAGCTCTCAAAGGGAGCAAACGGCAGGTCGATTGGACTTCTAAATGCGACCGAGCGTTCGAAGATCTGAAAGCCTACATGAGCAGAGCTCCTATGCTGTCCACCCCTCTTCTCGGAGCAGTCCTCATCATCTATCTCTCGGTCTCGGCATTGGCCCTGAGTTCCGTACTCATCCGTCGACCGAACGACATTGAGCTCCCCATCTTTTATATGAGCCATGCATTAGAGGACGCAGAGCAACGGTACCCCCAACTTGAACAGTTGGCCAACGCTCTCGTCCTCTCTACGCGCAAACTTCGGCCCTACTTTCAGGACGACTAATCAAATGGGCCATCGAGCTTGGCGAGTTCGACATCGGGTATCACCCTCGGCCTTCCGAAAAAGGACAGGCTGTGGCTAACTTCATCTCAAAATTCACACTCCCAACCAACGACGGTCAACCAATCGACCATGTATCTGTAGATTCGCCTTCGACTGACAAAACGTTCGATCACAACAGCCCTCACTGGACATTATACGTGGACGGCTCATCCAATCGGCAGGGCAGCGGCGCAGGCCTAGTTCTCAAGACTCCGGATGACACCACAATAAAATATGCTATCTGCTTCCAATTTCGTGCTTCCAACAACGAGGCCGAATACGAGGCACTCCTAGCAGGCCTTCGGCTCGCCCAAAGCTCGGGTGCCGAACGGCTGATCATATGTAGCGACTCCCAACTAGTCGTCAACTAGGTAATCACCGAATTCGCAGCAAAAGACGAATCAATGGCTGCCTATCTCGCGCAAACCCGTCGCTTGCTCAAACAGTTCAAAACCTACTACATCCACCAGGTCCCCAGATATGAGAACAGCCATGCCGATGCTCTCTTTAGGCTCGCTTCGGCTATCGACGACCATGCCGGACGCCACGTCCCCATAGAAGTTCTCGCTCGGCGGAGCACGGCCGAAGCCGATGTCAACACTGTCCGTCAGGACCCTAGTTGGATGGACTTGATCCACGCTCACCTCACCGACGGCACCTTACCAACTGACAAAGCCGAAGCAAAGGCAGTACGACGACGATCGGCTCGCTACCTTTTGTTGCAAGGCATCCTCTATCGGCGCAGCTACTTCCTGCCGTTGCTGAGATGTGTTACACCACAACAAGGAGACTACATCTTGCATGAGATACACGAAGGCGCGTGTGGTGACCACTCGGGATCCCGATCCTTGGCCTTCAAGGCTGTTCGACAAGGCTATTATTGGCCAACTCTCCATGCTAATGCCACCCAGATTGTGCAAAGGTGCGATCCGTGCCAACGTTTCGGATTTGTATCGAAAGTCCCGGCAGAACCACTCAGTCCGATGACTAGCCCGTGGCCATTCGCCCAATGGGGACTCGATCTCATTGGCCCAATGCCGCAAGGCATGGGTCAGCTTAAATTCGCAGTCGTAGTCGTCGATTACTTTACCAAATGGACTGAGGCCGAAGCCCTCACAACAATAACGGCAGCTAAGATCGAACACTTTATATGGAAAAACATCCTATGCCGATTCGGCCTACCAAACGCCATCGTGACGGACAACGGCAAGCAATTCGATTGCTCACAGTTTCGGCATCTCTGCTCCCGATTCAACATCAGCATCTTCTTTGCATCTCCGGCACATCCGCAATCCAATGGGCAGGTAGAAGCCATCAACAAGATCATCAAAAAAACATTGAAGAAGAAGCTCGGAGCCGCCAAGGGCAATTGGCCTGCCATACTACCAGAAGCACTATGGGCCATCAATACCTCCTACCGAAGGTCAACTGGTGAGACACCGTTCTCCCTAGCGTTCGGTACCGAAGCTGTAGTTTTGGTAGAAGTACATGCGCCCACATGCCGAATGGCATCTTACGACCCTTAGCAGAATGAACAGCAGCTCGCCCCTCAATCTGGATCTCGTTGACGAACGCCGATCGCAAGCACAGCTCCGGAACGCTATCTACAAACAACGAACGGCTCGGTATTACGACTCGTGCGTAAAACACCGATTGTTCAAGTGTCTCTAGCAACGAGAAATTCTACTGAAGGCACTCTAGACCCCTCAGGGAAAGGACCCTATGACATTGTTAGCGTCTGCCGACCCGGCACTTACCGATTACGTGGCTCCGACGGTCAAACCCTCGGCCACCCATGGAATGTCGAACATTTAAAATTCTATCACAAGTGATTGGACCTTAGGCCACTACACTTTTGTACAATTTTTCTTTCAACAACATTCTCGTTTTCCTATTTTACACAATTCGGCATACATGCTTATATTCGGCAACAAGGACAAACACCGAAGCTGATTCAAATTAGACTTGGATATAATTAACGCCTCAAATTGGGCAATTGTCTTTACAAAATTGGCCGAACGGCCTCAATATCCAAACACTAACTTTATATGTTACAACAACAAAAGAGACAAGTAGGGCAGCAGTCAAGGAGTTGGAGGATTGGCCTCGGGCAGTGCCGGCCCGCCCTCATCCTCTCGGGCACTCAACAGCTCGGCAGGGGGAGTCGTTTCTTCCTCCTCACTGTCCGATTCTGAGTCGCTCAAGGAATCGACTTCGGCATCCTCCTCGAGGTACGCCTCGACCATCTCCTTGGTTACCCTCTCGGGCAACGGCGGTGGATCCCGGACGAAGTTCAAGTTCAATTTTTTTATCGGCATTGAAGCGCTTGAACCGGTAGATGAGATCCTCGCATTGCTCCATCACCTCATTGTCCAGCAATACCACGAACTCCGGCGAGTTTCGGTACTCAGCTATGGCCTGTTTTTTGGCCTCCTCCAACTCTGTCGCCCGAGACCGAAGCTTGGCCTCCTTCGCCGTCTCTGCCCTCGCCCTCACCCCTTCGGCATCCACTGCCACCCTTTTGGCCTCCGCCAACCTGGAGGATAGCTCGGTTATCTTGGCAGCGTTCTCCTCCGCATGCCGATCCGCATCCTGGAGTCGCTTCCCAACCTCGGCAATTTTGGCTCGGCCCTCCTCGTACTTCTTCTGGACGTGCTCAGCCGCGTTGATAGCCCGCTTCATGCCGAGCCACATCTCCATGTTGGCTTGCAAAACAACACAAACGTTAGCACTTTCCCATCACCTCAACCCTTGGACAAAACTACGGTAAGCACACTTACGGCAGCTTGGAGGCGGAAAGCACGCCCGGCCTGTTCGCGTGCCGACTTCTTCGGCAACCGTTCCAGCTCCGGGAGCTCGATCTGAGCACTGTCGATGAAGCAGTTCACGAACGGTACCACATTCCGAGGGCAGGCGATGTTCACCGGCTCTGCCTCGGCATCCTCCTCGTCCGACACAAGGACGGTTGCTTCCTCGTTCGGCCTCCTTGGCCTATTCGGTAGAGGGGTCACATCGAGGGCAACATCGATCACCCTTTTTTTGGTCACCTGGAGATGGGCCTCCCGGATCAGCTTGGCCTCCACCACCCTTCTCTTCCTCCGCCGATCGCCCGATGTGCCCTCCTGTGCCGACGCACCCTCGGCCTGGCGGGGCGGCTTCGTCTTCGGCCTTGAGGAACCGGTTTTCTTCTTCTGAGGGGTCCGCGACTCGAGCCTCCTCCTCGTTGCTTCGGTCATTGCCCTTCTCTCTGCCACTGCACAAAACAAAGGGGAGTTAGGGCAGATTCGGCATACGCCACAATAACCCGAAACAATGGAAGGCCGAACGGCATTACTTACTTTGCCTCTCTTCCTTTTCTTCCTCCTTCCTTCAGAGGTACTCAGGCTCACTGATCAAACCCGCTTTGAACAGGTTCTTGTAGTCTAGCAGAGCCTTGTGCACACGACCTTCCTCAGGTATTCTTGACTGAACACGCTCGGTCACTTCTATCTCCCTTTTCGTAGCGATCGGCCGTTTCAAGGACACTGAAACACAAAAATACAACCTCCAGTTAGCTTTGGTAAAAAAAAAGAAAAAAAAAGGGCATTGTTGCTACCGAACAGCACCTGATGGGCCTACCGACTGTCTGGAAGGAAGTGGGGATATGCCTCTCCACAATCACTCCCAGCGCCAATTCCCAAGATCCGGACACCAACACCCGATGCCGACGCTAGGTCTTCTACGAGGTCGGCACCCCGACTACGATGTGCCCCCTCTGCCCAGCCGACAGACAGTTCGACTGCACCCACCCCCTTTGATCGGCGCTCTTCGCCCTCGTCAGACTGTACAGATGGGCGAATTGCTCATAGCTCGGCTCCCCTGCACCCGCTATGCCGAAGGCCGTTACGTCCCCAAGAGTGTAATCCAAAAATTTGGATTAAACTGCCTAGGGGCGTAGCCGATCGCTGCCAAGATCTTCTGCACGGAATGTCTCAGCGGCAGCCTAAGCCCGTGCTTGAAGACATCCGTGAAGAAGACCACCTCTCCCTACGGATTGCTCAGCAATTCCAACGACCTTGGGATCCGCATCTTTACCGATTTCAGAATGTTATACAAGGCCCAGATCTTCACCACCTCCACCTCGGTCAAGACGTTCGGCTCTAGGTGGTCCACCCCGAACACAAGGTCCTTTGGCTTCGCCATCGGTATCCTTTATCGGCCGGTGACCACCATCAGCATGCCTTCCCTAGGATCGGCAACCGACACATCGGCCTCGACCTCTTCCATTTGACGACCAGATGTCAATGGGTGGGCGACGTCAGCCCCCACTACTTCCACACTCGAAGTGCTCCTCGTATTGGTGGACACCTCCGGTACTTCTCCCCCCACGGTCGTCTCGAAATCGGCACTATCAGGCCCTGCGGTCGAGCTCTCCGATGCCGATTCTCCATCAAACACTCTTGGGCTACGACTATAGTTTGATTCGGTGTCTGACATCTACAAACAAAAGCAATGTAAAACTAAACGACATGCCTGAATCAAACCCCTATCCTAGAGCCCAAGAGCTGCTGTTCATCTCCGCTCATCTATGTTCTTACGTGTTCATACAAATATACGAGCATTTGATTCTTGCTAGGCGGGAAAACATTACCATACCTTGTTTTGCACGGTGGTGGAAGTCGCTAGAAATTGCTCTGGCTTCGCAAACACTCGCCGAAAATCGCCTACAACGACGCAATGCACTCGCCGGAAATCGCCTCTCACAAGCTCCGTTTGCTCTCAAAACCTCAAGTACCTCCTCATACCGCCTCTTCCTTTAATGTATAGGATGAGCCTAGCATCGGGAACCGAAACGTCACAAGTCTTCGCAGCCTTGCCCATACGTGGCACCCATGCACAGGGGAGCCCAATCGCCCTCACCTCCCTACTTGCGCCTACACTTCGAACGTTTCGCCATCTCCCTTTCTTCTCCTTTTTGAGACAGAGCACAACTTTCACAGCATACGGCAGGCATGCACGGGTCGAGTTTCCACTCACCTTCCGTGCTGAACGGCAGGCACGCACGGGTCTAGTTTTTCACTCGCCTCTCGTGCCGAACGGCAGACGCGCACGGTCGAGTCTTCACTCACCTCTCGTGCCGAACGGCGGACGCGCACGATCGAGTCTTCACTCACCTCTTGTGCCGAACGGCTGGCAGGCACGGGTCGAGTTTTCACTTACCCCTCGTGCCGAACGGCAAGCGCGCCTAGTCGAGTTTTCACTTACCCCTCGTGCCGAACGGCAGGCGCGCCTGGTCGTGTTTTCACTCACCTCTCGTGCCGAACGGTAGGCATGCACGGGTTAGTTTTCACTCACCTCTCGTGCCGAACGGTAGGCATGCATGGGTCAAGTTTTCACTCACCTCTCGTGCCGAACGACAGGCAGGCACGGGTCGAGTTTTCACTCACCTCTTCCTGCCGATTCCCTTCCAATCTTCAAACCAACCTCTTGGCTTGGGGACTTGGGGGACTACATGATCATCACTGGCTTACAAACGACAGACGCTCGTTCCCGGGTCAGAATGCCGGAGCTCAGGAACAAGCAAGTCCCCAACCAAGAAGTCCCTCCTCGATCGGAAACTTGGGGGACTACTGTTTGTACCATATCTGACCGCCCACTCACGTCGTGACATGTGGAACACCCTCAAAGCCGAGACCAGCTCAACCGGGCCATACCGAATGTTCGTTCGACACGCTGTACCAATTCAGGGGGTCGATTATGCACCATCAGTCCCTTCGCTAACCTTCGGCATGGTCTGCCGAGCAACCAGCCATCACGTCAATCCAATTCTGTCAGATTACCTCAGAACTTCTGCCGGAACCTGTCAGAGCACGTGTCGATCTCCGAAGACACTCCCACAAGTCCCACATCTAAACTAAGTGCTAAGAGCATCACAAATGCTCTTAGTTATTAACTTTGGCATCGGAGTGCCTTCGGCAGGTACCACACCGATATCCTCTCCTCAGTTCGGATCTAGCCCCCGCTCGAACCTTCGGACATCACGGAAGAAGGTCACCGCAGTCCTCATCCATCAACACACTTGTAAGTTAGCCTAAACTCTTATCTGTTCAGATTTAGCGCGAACAAAATCGATCCATGTAATCCTATTTGACATTGGACTAGTTATCCTTAAGTGATTAGAAGACAATCTTTAGAGTTTTATTAGAATGCAAATCTTACATATGCCACATGCAAGTCTACCACACTTAAAACCTTTTCATAATTCTCTAGAAATTTTTTTTGACTTGGTAAAGGTATCATCATGTAACTGAAGGAAGCACTGCCTCATTGTTAAGTACCTAACTCTAGACAACTTATAAATTGTAGCACGTATTCTCAGGATTTCACTAACAATAATGAACAAGACGTTAATCCACTACAGATTTAATACAAAACTAATTTCAAGATGTCTTTGACTCCATAATTGAAAAATTATTTCAACTTTAAATAAATCATGACATTAAAAATAACCATTCTTAATTTTTTTCTACTTTGTTTTGGCCAGATGTATAGTAAGTCTTAGGGGGGTGTATTCATTGAGATTTAAAAGACTATTTAACGATAAAAAATCTAGTGGATTTAATCAAAATGTAATGCCTTATAGGATTTTATTGATGGATTTGTATAATCATGATTTTTAACGTTTGGATTTTAAAGATTATATCCTAAGATTTTATAAGATTTGAAAGGACCACATGAATTTATATCTGGGCTTGACGAAATAGGGCTATAGCCCAAACCAAAATTTGAAACTTTTTAAATGTCTAGCCCGATAGATATAATGAACCCAGAATTTCATACCCTTAAAAGAAAAGAAAAAAGGTAGCCCATGCATTATCCACAAGTACAACAACCGACCTTGACAAAAATGTGTTTTTTTTGGAAATTGAATATTTCATTAGGCAAACAGCCAAAGAGAGAAACAGAGCAGAACAAAGTAAGCCAAGACACAATAGCCTACAATAAGCCAAGAACCAAAAGCAACCAAAAAACATGCTGACCTAGAATTACATTAAAAAAAAAAGGAGCTATGACAGAAAAACCAGACACATTGCAGATGGCAACAAGTGTCAGCGGTCAGAGATTCATCACCAAAACAAAGCCTACGGTGGGCAAGGAAGCCCATCACGAGACAGAACATGAACAAGAGAGGATGGGGGCTAATTGACCCAAACTTCCGTAGCCATCCCTCCAACAGCAATCGCCGCCGCAACATCCACAACCACATTGGCTTCTCTTGGGATCCAAGTCCAACGAACAACAGAAAACTTGGACTTCAAATCCTGTATCCGACATAAAGAAGGATAGATACCCTAGTCCCCTCTTGCAATTTTTCCAGCACAATTATCAAGAACCTTCTTTGAATCAGACTACACACACACATGAGTGATGCCATTTTCCAGCGCAAAGGAAAGTCCCTCAATAATCGCCTGCGCTTCAGCAATCTCAACAGACCCAGTTGTGGTCTTTAAAATTTTCCATACTTAAATTCACCCCTATGGTTCCTAATGATTATGCCAAGACCTGCTACACCTAAAGCTTTTTACCAAGAAGCATCCACATTCAGCTTCAAAATGGGTTAGGAGGAGCACACCATGTCAGACCCGGACTCACCACACCTTCATCCCTACCAACTCTATTGTTAATCCCTGGGCAAACCTCATTTTGAAAAAATTCAGACCAAGCCTCCCCAGCTCCACGTAAGACCTCCAAAGGATTTGGACGCAAATGCTCAAACATGGCCTTACAATGAGCTTTCCAAATACTCCACATAACAAAAGACAAGATAGTAATTGATATGTTAACCTCATATTTAGGCTGGTCAGGGATGTTGAAGAGGGAGAGAAACCATTAGTGAAGAGAGGTTACCTGTTGCCTATCACTGATATACCCCAGCGGGCAAGCAAACCATACTCCAATAACCCAAGGATAGGTCAGGAGGGCATGTTCAACCGATTCAGGATGATCATCACATATGGGGCATGTTGAGGATCATGGCACCCTTCTTCCAGCCAAGTTGGCCTTTGTAGCAAGACAGTTGGTCATTGCCTTCCACCCCCCTTGAGCCAGAGGCTTTATCCACGATGCTCATTCTAGCCCGTTGATGCAGAAAATAGTACCACGACCTGACAGAGTATTGCCCTTGTCTATTCAGAGGCCAAATTAGACTATATTTACCGTCATGGGGGCCAAAAGGGATAGCCAAGATGGTAGCTTCCTCCTGGGCAGAGATGCATTGTCTGATTGGCTCCACATTCCAGGATTGGGTAGTAGGATCAATAATAGTTGCGACACGAGTCCCCTGGCCTATATCAACTGATAGATGGTCAGATAATCGAGCACTCGAAATAGCATGAATCCAGCAGTCATGCCATAGCCTAACACTTTCTCCATTAACCACTTGCCATTGCACACCTCGGTTAATAACATTTAGACCCTCCAAGATACTTGACCAGACCAACGAAGCATTGGCACCCTTTTTAGCATTAAGCACATTGCCATCAGGAAAATATTTTAACAAAAAGTTGTTTGCTCCCACGTTGTGGCTTGATATTGATGAGTCATTTTATGGGGTTAGAAGAATGCGTTTCCTCCACGGATGAAAATAGGAATGACAACATTCAAGGTTATAACAGTGCATTTCCACGGATGACAACCAACATAAATAAAAGCAAATATTCAAAGGTAGAAGTCAATGAAATAAGCTAGAAAACAAAAAAAAAACTAGTCTATAATACCAAACAAATGATAATCTTGATAAAGACAAGTAAAACCCAACACAATCTTCCCAATTTTTTAATATCCAATTTGATGTAGCTTCATATCCTCCTAGGTAGCATTTCTCCGCATATTTAAAACTATGCTAGCCCTTCATGCATTAGCATATTCTCGTTGTTGTTCTTGGGTTTGAACAATAGGTTCAAAAGTATCATCTTCATTAACTGGTAATACTACAGATGAAGATGATGAAGATTCGTCTATTGGTTCAATCAGAAATTCATCTAAACAACACTTTTTACGAAGAAAGTTATGTAGTGCTACACATGACAACACAAGCTCTGCTTGTGTCTTAAATGGAAATGGACGCGCTGACTTAAAAATTGTGAACTGCGATTTAAAAATACCAAATATCCTCTCAATCACATTTAGCAAGGATGCATGACAAAGATAGAACAATTCATTTTCACTTTGAGGGTTATTACCATGACCTGCAAAATCTTGGAGATGATATCGCAAACCTCGCAATCCACCAAGAAATATTTATCTAATTATTTATACATACATAGAAAATTATGAAAAAAAGTTCAATTCAATTCAAAAAAAAAAAAAAAAAAAAAAAAAAAAAAAAAAAAAACATATTTAATTTATTTAAATTAATTACAAAATAGTGGGGCTACGTTGGGGCAGTCACTTTTAGTCCGTTGATAAAGCATCAGTTAAAGATAAGCTTTGAATCATTTATAACATATCAGATTACTTATCTTGGGGCACTTGCAAGCTGCTAATACATTTTGTGATATCTTTCCATGACGATTACGATAGCTGCTTACATCTCGTCCCCTCATCATTGTCAGAATATGTGTACCATCAATAGCTCTGATGCAATCCTAAAATTATTCATATGTAAATATAACCATATTTTGAAAATTACATATTATAATAATGAAAAATTATAATTACAATGTTAATATAATTAGATAATCATCACATACCTTGAGAAAAGGGTAAAATTTTGTGCTTCCCTTATTTTAGGGGGTACAACCAGTCCTGGTTTAGCCATAATCAGATGCTATTGAATTCAAGATTGTAGGATCATCATTCAATGCTTGATGTATATACTCATATCCAAAGGTAATTTTGTCTTTGAGTTAGTGGAGGTTCAATTTGTTCACCATGCATCATAATCAGAAAACTGATTTAGCACATGTATTACTGCATAAATTGCCATACCTAAAATATTATAGGCTTCATAAAATTCTTCATCCAATTCTTCTTCATCTATTTCGTCTTCATCTATTTCTTTGTCATCAATTTTTTCTTCTTCTATATCATTACCTTCATACATGCTTGATTGTGACATTACCTGCCAGTCAACCAAGACTCATAGGACAAGTTTCATGTGAAATTACTATATCGCCTATAATATTCGGAATTGAGAACTTTGACATCTTCATTCAATATGAACAAACAGGACTTGTACCACGATTGCCGCTGCATACAAAATCAACTGTAAAAAAAAATATTTGAGCACTTTATGACCATGAACTGTAGTCTCTGGCATGGCAACCTAAAGATTTTCCCATTGACACTTGGGATTGACACATATCCCTAAATAGTACAGAGGAAAGCTCTGTGTCTGTGATGGTAAAATCCAAAATAGACAAAAGCATTGCACAACCCAGAAATTAGTTCACAAAGCTCAACTGATAGATTTACGAAGCAAGTAAAATCCAATCAATTTGCAAATGAACCAAAAGCATATAACTACAAGCATTCAATTAATTTAATCAAATTACAACCAAAATAGTTCAACCAAATTATAACTAAAATAATTCAATCAAAATATAACCAAAATAGCACAAACAAAAATATAGTTACAAAATCCAAGATGATCAAAATACATTAATTTGATCATCTTGTGATTAAGGTTGACAGAGACAGGACTGGTTCTTCTTGTGATTTTTGATGAGGACTAATTGGAGATTTCAAATAAATAAAACAATTGAATATTGGAAGGGGGAGTGCTGTAGACAGACTGCTTTTTCTTTACCAACCTTAATTAAGTGGTTATCCTGGTCAAAGGAATGGAAACTTCTAAAAATGAAAAAAGAAGAAGATAGAAATGTTCCATAAAGCATATGTAATTCATGAAATTGGAAACATCTAAGCTGAAACTCAAAATGTCCATTTAGGGATAAGAGGTCAAGTCAAGCATCCAGCGTTTTCTTCTTTTTTGTTTTTGCAAATTATGATTCTAGTCTCTATAATTTGGCAAAATCTGACGTTGGTGTTGGTACATTAAATTTCAATTTTGGTGGAAAATTAAAAATCATTTAGTGCCACATCAAATATTTGACTAGAATAATTATGAATTATGATATCATCCGACCATACAATACTGCCCACTAAATTGGCCCTAAAAGAAAGCTACATCACAACAATATGAGTCTAGCCACAACAAAAGTATCAAACTCATTGTGAACATATATCATCCTCGCTGTCCATGTAAATCAAACTTGAGACCTCCTCTAACTTAAAATACTACTAAAACAAAGGCTAGTTAGTAGCCCAAAGTTCCTTTCAAGTTTAGAAATTGTCATAGCTTTGTTTTGTGAGCAGATCGAGATCATTGTGTAAAATAACATTGATTTCGATTCCCATCACCCATCTAAATTTACAGAGTTTACAAGCTAAATTTACAAAGAAAATTAATTAGGTTATTACTTGTAGACTACTCCAAATCAATTAAAATCAATATAAACAAGGAAACTAAAACTAACTTTCCAAATTCTTAACACCCATGTTCATGTGAGAACTAGGTGCAATTGTCAGTTACAAGAACCGACATACCTTCTGCAAAAGGGAATCCAGCAACTGAAGGTTTTAACAACTTGATAATATTATAGCCGGGTTATTGATTGAAATGGTCCCTTAATTTTTGCTCAATCTCATTTTAGTCCACCAACTAAAATTTTCATTTCAAATGTCCTCCAACTCTCTATTTAGTATCAAATGGTCCTACTGTCAAAGTCTGTCAATTTGCCATTAAACTTAAGGGTAAAACTGTCTCTATGAATTAAAATAGTATTATATAATTAAAAATTAAAGGAAACTATTATAAAACTTAGAAAATTTTAAAAAATTGAATCTCACTAGCCACATTTGTTTTTTTTTTTTTTTTTTTTGGGATTGACCTAAAAATTAATTAAAAACATTCTCTATTGTTCAAATTAATTAAAAAATTTAAAATCAGATAAATACAAAAATAAATAACACATTTTTTAAAAGAGTAAACAAACCCAGATTATACAATAACACTGCCTCGCATCCCACCTCCGCAAACCTCCCCCCTCTCGGCCTCCCTCCCCCACACCTCTGCTTTTTCTCCTTCATGACCTGACCATCCATCCCCACCCGCAACCCAAAGCCAACCCGAAGGCCCAAGATTCTAATTTGGGCAAAAAATTGAGGAATGATATCGACCAAAACCCAAGAGCGAGGGACGCTGAAGACACTCTATTTATTTGATTTGGTTTTTCATCAAATCTATCCCCAAAGCACATCAAAACCAGCAAGCAAAACATAGCGTATTGCAAATGCTCGACCACTATGATGCCTTGGGTTAGGATCAAGAATTTGTTTCAAGCCAGTCCCCTAGGATGTTGAGAACCCATTTGCAGGCCCCACCAGGTGAGGTTGCGGCCAAGGGCGGACCTATGTTAGGGCTGTAGTGGGGCTCCAGTCGAGTCCTATTTTTTTGGGTAGGCTAATTTGTAAGCCAAATTTAGATAAATCAAATTTTAGTCCAAAGTTTCTCTCTATCTCTCTCCATTTTCTCTTTCATTTTTCTTATTTTCTCTCTTTCTTCTTTAATCCCTTCGTCCATTTTCTTCTTTCTTTTTTCTCTCATTTCTCTCTTCTTTTTCTTTCTTCTCTCTCTTTTCTTGTTCTTCTTCTTTCTCTCCGCCATTTTTCCTTTCTCTTTCTTTCCTTTTGTCTTCTCTATTTGTTTCTCTTTTGTTTTATTAAGTCTATATTTCTCTCTTCTTCTTTTCCATGCGTTTCTCTGTTTATGCATTGATGGTGGTTTTATGTTGTGAAGATGTTGAATAGGTGGTTTGACCAGCTTAAGCATGTGGATGTTTGGTGGAGGACCTGACTGTAGTTTGAATCACATAGGTGTCCAGAAAAAGAAAAAAAATTAGCCCACCCCTGTAAAAAATCCTAGATCCGCCATTGGTTGCGGCTAAGGAGGTGCCACGTGGGACCGTAGACAGTAGAGTCATGTTGTGTTGGTTGCTGCTTATGTTCTCGTAAAGGAGAAAGAAAAGAGGGAAGGTGGGGGGAAAGGGGGTGGAAGGGAGGAGGAGGGAGAGCAGAGGGCTGAGATGAGGTTTACTTTATTAATATTTTAGTTTATACGAACGGTTTATCCCTCAATTTAACAATAAAATTGATAGACTTTGACAGTAGGACCAATTTGATACTAATAGGTTTGCTTGGTGATACACAAAGAATCTCATATATCTTTTAGGTAAGAAACCAATTCATTGATGGACAACGAAATAAATTCATACAATCAGGAAACTAAATCCCACAACTTGGATTTTGTCTACTAGGTCAATAGAATAAAATCTACCATCAAAGAAAAACACCCCTTTATTTGGAATCCCAATATGAGTGGTTCACAAAACAATCAATACTATCCATCCAATACTACATATTGTGAGCACCAGAAATATTGTTGGCTTTCTATCTTATTAATTGAGTCTCATGATCGATTAAATCAACATTTTGACTACTGCTCAAGGAGCCCTACATGAGGTCCATCCTTCTCATGATTTAGAATATCAGCAAGACGAAGTGCTATATATGAAAGTTTTAATTCCCTAGTGCATTCCCATGGATGACAACCAACATAAATAAAAGCAAATATTCAAAGGTAGAAGTTGTTGCGTCTACACAAGTGCAAGTAGTCACACGTAGTAATAATCTTGGAAGTCCAAGTATCGTATCCTCAAGGAGCAGGTAGGCAAATATCTGCACACAAAGAAATAATTAAACGTACCACAATAAAAGTGACAAGCAAAATGGAAAAGTAATTTGATTTGATTGTTGTGGAAAATTGAGTTTAAAAATGAAATATCAATAATGGAAATGCTAAGGCGTCAAGGTTCAATTCTTTTATTAATGATTGTTCAGAAAATGGAGTTGCTTAATATCTACTCTTTTAATTTAAAAGCATGCCAAGTCAGTTCTTAACAATGAGAAAAATATAATTGAACTCATGAAAAGATAATAGCACTTAACATCAATCAAAATAAAAGGATATGAAAATATTGAACAACCAAAAATAAAAGAATTTAGCAATTCATACCATATATGGATTAAAGAACAATTCACAAACTTACTCAAAGAACATTCCCTTTAGCCTTAGCTAGAGTTCTAGCAACTCATTACAAAGGAAAACATAAACTAAATGGATAAAGAAAATCTGTCGTAGGGGTGCCCTTGCCAAATAAGTTGATGGGTGATTATAGTAGTCAATGAGGTGAGTGGGAAGTTAATACATTCGTGGTGGGTGATGAAGGGTTTAATTGAGGGATTAATTGGATTAAACATGTGTTGATGGTGGAGAGTTAGTGGAAAAGAAATAACGGTGAGGTAAGTGGGCGTTAAATGGCTATGAATGACATGAAATAGGCTCTTTAGCTTCAACGGTTTTGTCTTCTCTTCTCCCTCTTTACTTCTCTTTATAATCACAATAATCCCACAATCAATTCTTCAATAAATCCGCCAGCAATTCTCTTCACACCTAGCTTGAACTTGGACAAATGTATGTCTTCATATTTTGACTTTCCAACTTCCTACAGAAGATAAATTCACCTAATAAGTTCACCAAATTAATATAGAAAATTCATAAATCCGGTTGGTGAGAATAAAATGTAACAACAAGTGAAATTATATTTATTAAGCAAAAAATTATATCATAAAGTCTCCAAATAATAGTAAAAAGATGTAATTTGAGACTCTCATCAGAAGTCAATGAAATAGGAGAAAAAAAAAAAAAAAAAAAAAACTAAAATACCAAACAAATGATAATCTTGATAAAGGACAAGTAAAACCCAACACAATCTTCCCAATTTTTTAATATCCAATTTGATGTAGCTTCATATCCTCCTAGGTAGCATCTCTCCGCATATTTAAAACTATGCTAACCCTCCATGCATTAGCATCTTCTTGTTGTTGTTCTTGGGTTTGAACAATAGGTTCAAAAGTAACATCTTCATTAACTGGTAATACTGCAGATGACGATGATGAAGATTCGTTCTGTTGGTTCAATCGGAAATTCATCTGACCAACACTTTTTGCGAAGAAAAGTTATGTAGTGCTACACATACCAACACAAGCTCTGCTTGTGTCTTAAATGGAAATGGACGCGCTAACTTAAAAATTGTGAACCGCGATTTAAAAATACCAAATATCCTCTCAATCACATTTCGCCAGGATGCATGGCAAAGATATAGAACAATTCATTTTCACTTTGAGGGTCATTACCACGACCTGCAAAATCTTGGAGATGATATCGCAAACCTTGAAATGGAGCTAAAAATTGGCGCTGATTAGGAAATCCACAATCCACCAAGAAATATTTACCTAATTATTTATACAATACATAGAAAATTAGTATGAAAAGTACCAAAAAAATATATATATTTATCATTTAAAAAATAAGTACTTACCTTGGGGCACTTTAAGTCCGTTCCTCCTTGATAAAGCATCACTTAGTAGCTTTGAATCATTTAAAAAATAAGTACTTATCTTGGGGCACTTACAAGCTGCTAATACATTTTGTGATATCTTTCCATGAAGATTACGATAGTTGCTTACATCTCGTCCCCTCACCATTGTCAGAATATGTGTACCATCAATAGCTTTGATGCAATCCTAAAATTATTCATATGTAAATATAACCATATTTTGAAAATTACATATTATAATAATGAAAATTATAATTACAATATTAATATGATTAGATAATCATCACATACCTTGAGAAAAAAGGGTAAATTTGTGCTTTCCCTTATTTAGGGGCACAACCGGTCTTGGTTTAGCCATAATCAGATGCTATTGAATTCAAGATTGCAGGATCATCATTCAATGCTTGATGTATATACTCATATCCAATGCTAATAATTCGTTGTTGAGTTAGTGGATGTTCAATTGTTCACCATGCATCATAATCAGACACTGATTTAGCACATGTATTACTGCATAAATTGCCATAACTAAAATATTATTGGCTTCATAAAATTCTTCATCCAATTCTTCATCCAACTCATAAGACAAGTTTCATGTGAAATTACTATATCGCCTATAATGTTCGGAATTGAGAACTATTGACATCTTCATTCAATATGAACAAACAGGACTCGCACCACGATTGCCGCTGCATTACAGAATCAACTGTAAAACAATATTTTGAGCACTTTATGACCATGAACTGTAGTCTCTGGCATGGTAGCCTAAAGATTTTCCCATTGACACTTGGGATTGACACATATCCCTGAATAGTACAAAGGAAAGCTCTGTGTCTGTGATGGTACTTTATGTTCGGCAAAACATAGTCCAAAATAGACAAAAGCATTGCACAACCCAGAGATTAGTTCACAAAGCTCAACTGATAGATTTACGAAGCAAGTAAAATCCAATCAAATTGTAAATAAACCAAAAGCATACAACTACAAGCATTCAATTAATTTAATCAAATTACAACCAAAATAGTTCAACCAAATTATAACTAAAGTAATTCAATCAAAATATAACCAAAATAGCACAAACAAAAATATAGTTACAAAATCCAAGATGATCAAAATACATTAATTTGAAGAGTATCCAAAATGAGCGCTCTTCAGGTGACATCTTTGGAGATTGGTATCAACTTATCTAGTATCAAATCTAGAACGTGGCTTGGGAGCCAGGCCCAACTGGAATCAAAGGTTGATGATAATGCCTCCGCCATATATAGTGCTCGTTAATCTCCTTACACTCAAAAAATCAATAGTTGCACAACTTGTATGTATTTGCAGGCCTAGGCTTTGCCATTTTGTACAGAAGTAATCACAACAATCCTAAACCGTGTAGAAAACTATCACATAAAGCGTCAGTCCTAGTTTAATTTGAAATCTCAATCCGAAATCCATAGTATATCAATATCCAAAATGTTTGCTTTTATCCGTTTGGAAATCAAAGAGGTCAAACCCCACCAATAGTGTTTTTTCTTTTAATTGACGGGGGTTGAAATTCGAATTTGGAATATTGTGAACATAAGCATCACTAAGCTAATTGCTAGTTGTTAAGACTTTAAACTTTTCCTTCCTTTTGAGTCAAATTGATATTGTTAATTACATGTTGTGATTTCTTTTTAATAGGATTTTGTCTCATGGAATAGCCTCTTTATTTTAGACCAACGTAGGAAACTAGCATTTGTGAAAATTTTAATTGAAAAATTTGCATAAATACTACCTAAACTTTTAGATATGTACGCCAATTATAATGGTTGAACAACTAATGAATTGCATGTATCCAAAAGATTGCATTACTTGGTACTTGGTTCTCTATATCCTTGTATAAAAACAGGAGGCACTGAATTTCTATCCTTGTATAAATGATGAGCATCCAAAAGTTTGCATTGATCTGTTTTGCGTAAAAAAGCCAATAGTATTAATCGTTAATTAAATATAATATTCAATTGATATACATGATTGTAACTAAGCAAATTGGTAATTAAGTAGTGTACAATATTTTCCTGATAATAAAAAAAAAAAAAAAAAAAAAAAAAAAAAAAAGGTAGTACACAATACTCCCAACACTAATACATACAAAAACCTAACAAGACCTACATCCGATTAGAGATTAGTTAGAGAGAATTAGTTGCAACTATTGCGATCCACCCGACATCTCGAAAATCAGGGAACACAGTCATGCTCAGGACTTTTGAAAGTTGGATGGTTGGACAGGTCAGTTCTTGGGTTAGGTTGGATCTCCGGTCAGAGACCTGTTGATTAAGCCAACACCATTGTTTGAGGGTCACTTCAATATGCAGGGTTTGGTTCGTATATTTTTGAATGCATCCCTTCCTAGTTGTAAAGTTGCTTTATTTCATAATCCAACTTGCCTCATTTGTGGAAAAGAAGGCCATTCACCTTTTTGTTTGGTGACGAATTTCATCAACAGAAATGGATTGGTATTGAAATTTGCCAACTAAAATTGGTCAATCCCTGTTAAGACTATGTGGGAATTTCCGAATGACAAGTTGCTTAGGAACGTGACCAGCGTGCCCTATTTCACAGGGCACCTGAACCACTTGTCCAGACGACATGTTGAATGGCCCAAAAGCAACCAGATCACTATATCTCACAAAAGTCACAACTTATAATCTTAGTACCATACTCACTCAACAAGATGAAGAAAAACAAAAACTCAGTAAGACTGCTGAGGTTGCAATGCATACATGACGAAGAGTTATGAATCGAAGAATCACTTATTTTCCACCTAACCACCCAAGAAAAGCACACATGATTTAAACAGAGTAATTAACAATAACAAACAGTAAAAGTAACATTAAGCTGATGATCAAAAAGAAAATTAAGCTAAGAAGTGATATGATGGGTTAAATTCAAAGTAAGAGGGGCAACCTCATAGCTGGAAAAGATAATTGGCTGGTGCTGCTTTATGTCAAATGCGGGAATGACAACGTTAGTTACTGTCTGGTCTGGTGTAGTTTTTTATCACCAAGTTTTCTGCCCAACCAAGTCATCATGTAGGCACGTTCCATTGTATTCTGGTCCGGCTCAAGAGCTTTGATAATCTTTGTAGTATGAAAAAATACCGGACAGGTGTTGTTTAAAAAATTAATAATGCTTATATCAGAATCTATTTTTACAACAACGTTCTGCTTCAATATTTAACAAAAAGTTGACATTTAAATTGTAAACATTACTGTTTCTTGGGGAAGATTTTGGGGCAGTGAGTAAGCAGGACCAGCAGTGCTTGTTCCTGCAATCACATCGAAATAGTTGGCGATTCTTGCATCTTCACTATCCAGTTTCTGCAACATGATCAAACATTTTGGATAATTTAGCACTTGATGATATATTGACATAGAATTATTACAGACATTTTAAGTGAGCATATGCACAGGACCCAAAGATTGATATTCTACCTGAGCCTCAGGTTGAATATCAATCTTTAGGTGATGAGGTTTCCATAGGTTGGGGCCCTGCAAAGGTATACTATTGGTTCTGTCCATGAGACTTGAGAGTTTGATATGCGCTATGTGTGTGTGTGTGTGTGTGAGAGAGAGAGAGAGAGAGAGAGAGAGAGAGTCTGAATTCTAGAAGAGGGTTAGAGAAATATATATAGCTAGAGTTCTTTGGTGAGGTTTCCTTTGACAGAAGTTCAGGAGGATTTATAGACTCCTACATTTATTTTCCAAGAATCAACCAACAAGTCAATGGATATAAATGTGATTCAATTTTTGAATCAGTTCTATAGTTTCTTGGATATAGTTGGACAACAAGGAAAATGTTCAGTTCTAAATAAACATTAGCATCTTGCTACAGGATATGGTTAACTCCATGAGACTCCTAATTGTAGAATTGTAGGTGAGACTCCATGAGATTTGCAGGTAAAAATGTGAAGCCATATGGAGGGTAATAACATGATGCTGGTTAGGCCAATCCGTTAAATCAAATCTCTGTTAAACATGCAGCCAATACTTTAGCTTATTATAAATTTCTTTTTCTTTTTTTTCTTTTTTTTTGGTGCTGCTACATACAATGAAGGCACATCATGATATAAGATTCCTTGTCAAAGGATTAAATCTTTACGCGTTGTGATTGATTCATGGGAGATACTTTGTTTAAGTCACTTTTCAACGTTTACACATTGTTTAGGTTGACATATTTGTTTCCACAAGGAACAAACATGTGAAGGTTAGAATCACAAATAAATGAAAACAGAGCTTGAAATTATTCTGCCATATGGAATGCTAAAATATGAATATGGTTTGAATGTATTAGGTTGAGTTTTATTCTTCTTCATAAGGAGGTATATATAGGAGTTTATATGAGGGTCTTACAAGGAATTAGATACAATAAAGAATTAGGAAAGTATCTCCTAATTGTACAATGATTTATCACTTATATAAAAAAATAGGAAAGTAAATCTCCTCGATTAATTAGGAGACTCATGTCAACACTCCTCAAGTTGGTGCATATATGTCACCAATGCCCAACTTGGTAAGTGAGTCATGAAATACTCTTCCACAAACAGCTTTGGTTAAGATATCTGCCAATTGATCTTCTGATTTTACGAATGATAGGCGGATGATCTTTTTCTCAATTTTTTCTTTGATAAAATTTCTATCCACCTCAACATGTTTGGTTCGATCATATTGAACTGAATTATGGGCAATATAGATAGCTGACTTGTTGTCACAATGCAACTCAATTGGCTTTTCTGGCTTGAAGCCCAATTCTGTCAAGAGTCTTCTGATCCACAATAATTCACAAACTCTGTGAGCCATTCCTCGATACTCTGCTTCTGCACTAGACCAAGAAACCACATTTTGCTTTTTACTCCGCCAAGTGACTAGGTTACCTCCCACGAATGTAAAGTAACCTGAAGTAGAGCGTCTATCTGTAATAAAACCAGCCCAATCAACATCTGTGTATCCAACAACTTCAAGATCTCCATTTTTGGAGAACATTAATCCTTTCCCAGGAGCTGACTTTAAGTATCTTAAGATCCGATCAACTGCATTCCTATGAGAAACACTGGGTGAATACATAAACTGACTAACCACACTCACAGCATATGAAATATTTGGTCTTGTCTGTGCCAGGTATATCAACCTTCCAACAAGGTGTTGATATTATTCCTTATTGGTTGATTCTTGGTCCATGTCTTCACACAACTTGTGATTCATCTCAATGGGTGTGTTAGTAGGCTTACATCCAAGCATTCATGTTTCAGTGAGTAGATCCATTACATACTTCCTTTGAGACAGAAATATACCAATTTTTGATCTTGCTACTTCGATTTTGAGAAAGTACTTCAGATCACCTAAATCCTTCATCTCAAATTCTTGAGACAAATACTTTTGTAACTTCAGTTGCTCTTCTGCATCGTTTCCAATTACGATTATGTCCTACATAAACAATTATGGAGTAAGTTTTCCTTCTTCACGCTTCAATAATAGAGTGTGATCTGAATAACTCTGTGTATATCCAAAATTCTTCATAGATTTAGTGAATCTGCCAAACCATGCCCTGGGAGATTGCTTTAACCCATATAATCTCTTTCTGAGCTTGCAAACTTGATTTTTCTTGTCATGAGCTAAATTACATCCTGGGGGTAAGTCCATATATACTTCTTCTTCCAAGTCTCTATGTAAGAATGCATTTTTGACATCAAACTCATGGAGTGGCCAATCGAGATTTGCTGCTAGAGACAATAGGACTATAATAGTGTTAATCTTGGCTGCTGGGGCAAAGGTCTCTTCGTAGTCTATCCCATATCTTTGTGTGTACCCATTAGCCACCAATCTAGCTTTATATCTTTCAACGGATCCATCTGCTTTAAGTTTCACAGTATAAATCCACCTGCATCCTACTATCTTCTTTCCATGGGGTAAGGGCACGACACTACTACAAAAAGTGAAAAAGACGACCAGAAAAAAACGACGGTTTAACGAAAAACCGTCGTTGTGTTTGAAAAGACGACGGTTTTATAAAACCGCCGTGTAAGAATAACTTAAACACCTAAAAAATGGAGAATCCAATGGTTGTTTTTAAAACACGACACACCTATTTTAAAAAGCGAGGTCTTATTGAAAAAGGTTTTCTACAGAGTAAACTCGGAGCCAACAAACAATGGCAGAAGGTATGAATCCACCGACGTAGAAAGTAAAGACGACGGTTTAAAGAAACAGCCGCCATCTTTTCTCTGAAATAACCACGACCAAGTTTTCGTATCCGGCGTCGCAAAATTTCAAAAGAATCCATGGTGGTATATTACAAAATACCGTCGTCTTAAATACATGTACAACGACGTAAAATATAATTTTATTGACTTATTTCATGTTCCATACTACGACGGTATCTTTAACTCTAACCACGTTGGTTTGTTCAATTAAGGAGGTGTAATAATATTTACTACGTCGTAGAGTTAAAATTACCGTTGTATTTATACACTTTATACGTCTACCCTTATACCTAAACGGTCGTCTTAATTACATTATTTTTTACTATTCATTTCTTGGATTTTGGTATCCTACGACGGTAGACCAACTTAATGACAAGAATTGTAAATAACCAAGACGGTTTATATGGAAAACCGCCGACATAATAGTTTTTTCTGAGATCCAAAATATACGTCGTGAAGTTAAAATTTCCGTCGTATTTATTAACTTTATACGTTCAACCTTATATCTAAACCGTCGTCTTAATTGTAAATTTTAAAAAAAAATTTAATTTATTTGAATTTTGTCCTCCTACGTCTGTGGATCAACATAATGTCAAGAATTGAGAATAACCACCACGGTTTATATAAAAAACAGCAGACATAATTAGATCTGAGATCCCAAGAGTTATGAAATCTTACCAGATGGAACTCTGTTCCTCATCATAATCGGACCACAGAAAGACAATATTTAGAGGTTGATGATGTATGTGTCTTCGTGTCTTTGAGACACACAAAGGCAGCCACATATTTGCATTTAGAAAGGCAATTTTTTGGAGTTGATGATGTGTGTGCATTTGTGTATCTACACAAATGCACACACACATCAACATCCAAGCAATTGCCTCTAAAATTTGATGACAGCAGCCACAGATTTGCATTCAGAGAGACAATATTTTAGAGATTGATGATGTATGTGTATTTGTGTCTCAAATGAGACACAAATACACACACATCAACATCCAAAAATTTGCCTCTAAAATTTGACCACGTACGACAACAACAGATTTGCATTCAGAGAAATTTTTTTGAATGTTGGTGATGTATGTATGTTTGTGAATCAGATACACAAACATACACACACACCAACATCCAAACAATTGCCTCCTAAGAAGTGAGACATAGGGCAAGAAGAAATTGAAACCCTAATTGAAAACTGAAACTAAAAGAAATCGTGGGAAACAAACTCAATTTATACAAAAAATTTCATATCCACGTCAGTTACATTTAAAATACCGCCGTTTCATAAAGAATCAACGTCGGTTCTGTAAAAAAGTAGGACGTATTAAAGTAAAAACAACGTCGGTTATTAAAATTAAGTCAACGAGGTGTTTGAAAACCACGTCAGTTTAATATAAAAAAATGACGTGGTAACTTATAATATTACTTATTTAAAAGTAAACTTTTGACGTGTAGCGCCCAACTAATCACGTCGTTTTCGGGAATACAAAAAGTCAAAAGGCTTTTTTACTAACCACGTCGATTGATGTTATTTTAATGTCATGGTAAGTACATACTAGGGCGGTTTTATGATTACTGTCGTTGTCGTTATCTTTGGGACACTATATAAACTTTTGGTCACCTGACCTAAACTTTTATGTTCTCTCTAAAATTTTCAGTTTTCTCTCAGTTTCCCTCTCATTTCTGAAAAGCTGCGTTCTGATTCTCAAAACAAAACAAAAATAAGGTTAGCAACAAATATTTACCTCCATTGAAGCCAAAATTTCAAAACCTTCGATAGATTAACACAGTTCCACCATCAACAAAATTAACACAGTCGAAACCTGCATAACAAAATTAACACAGTTCCGCCATCAACAAATCGTTATTCAAATAAGATACAAGAACATAAATAAAAATCAGAAGATGAGATAGGATGAGGTCGACAGAGACAGGACATGAGATGGAGAGAGAGAGAGAGAGAGAGAGAGAGAGATCGATGACGATGAGGGTGAGGTCGGGAGAGAGACGATAGAGGTAGAGGGTGAGAGAGATGCGGCGACTAAAACTGAGAGTGAGAGGGAGGTCGATTGAATTTGAGAGAAAGGTGAAGGAGCTAGGTTTAGTTGTGGTTGTGATCTAGTGCAGCATCCTCAACGTAAACTCTTCTTTTACCCAACAACAGAGGCCACGTGGTATATTTATATATTATTAATTAATGCTCAGTTCGGGTCAGGTTCACCAGTTCCAAATTTTTTTGAATCGAAAACAGAACCGTTGACTTCGGTTCGGGTAAGGTCCAGTGTTGACTTTTTCGGTTTGGTCAAAAAAACCTCATTTTTTGGTTCGATTTGGTTTGATTTGGTTGGTTTGTTTGGTTAATTGGTTTTTATGCCCAACCCTAATGAGACCTGTGCGCTAGCCAACTGCGCCACCACCCCGATGTTGATAATTACCTTGACCTTTTATTGATTAGTAAAGACACACTATTAGTATATTAATGTAGGCAGTGTACACAGTAATAAAATAATAACTTTTCATAGGGTCTCTGATATTTTACATTATCTTAGAGAAAATGGGAAAGACAATATCCAGATACTAAAACATGGGATTTGTACCCAAAAAAAACATAGGATGGGATGGTGTTACTAACATATACATCTTGGTTGTAAACTTTAAAATCCATCTTTTACCATGTCAATGAAGCTTTTTCATATGAATTTGGATACTCTACTTGCCTTGACAATCCTTAGTTTCTAACCTCAGTCTGTCTATTACAACTCCAACTGTTCTTCAATCTTATTGGAGACCAAGGAGATTGCCAAGACAATGAGAGCATCACCATCCTTTTCATATTTGAGTTGTGTTTACGGAGGAAGGTGCAATTAGCCAACTCCAGCTTCTGCTTTGGGCAGCTTCTCTATTAATTTATCTCAGATTTGAGAACCATGCAGTTATAGTTCCCCATGCAACTGATTTTCTCTTCCCTTTTTTTGTTCCGCGAAGTCACTACGAAAGATGGACACATTTCATTTCTTTATTGGGAAAATGAAGACTATAGTAGATCAAGGATACGTACTTGTTAGTTGCTGGATTGCTCTAGGTAGTGAAGCATCCCATAATGAATATGACCAGCCCATGCCTGAATGCTGTGGATTGGTCATCCGGCAACATCTGCAACAAAATAGCTGCTAATGGAATAGCTGAACAGGAGCTTATCTGCGAAAAAACTATCCTCCCAGCATCGGGAAAGCGTTTCGCAAGATAATCCCCCATTTTTCCTCCAAAGAGACTTCCAAGTTAGCAAGCAATTATAAAAAAAAATTGTCCAAATTAGATAACACTCTATTGAATTATAATCTGGCAAGTCAAATGAATTTACTACCTGCATTTTACTATACAACTTTACAAGTTTGTTCTGCAATATTATAGAGCTTATTTACTTTTGTTCACCCGTTTAGATTTAATTCCTTTGATGATAGGGTAAAATTCCCCATTGACTTGAAAACCATTTGTGGTCAACAAGTCAACTTTCTTTGGTGTGCGAGCATGCCACTGTTAGTTGTCAAGACCCAAACAGACTTATAAAAAATAGATAACTTGCGCCCCAAGTGAAGAAATCACCATTAATGATAAATCCTTAATCATAAATTTGTTCCTCGTAATTGGTTCACAAAGGTCTGGGTCTCTAATCCCATCTAGGCTGACTTCTTACTTTAATAAAACAAAGCCCAAACTCCTGTTTTTGACATGGGCTAATAGTCAATTGGGCTGGCACGTGGAATTTAGACCCAAACAACTTTAAACGTTTTTAGTCATATTATCATAGATCAAAAGCTATGAGCTTCATGTTAATCAATACACCTATACGAACCACTTTCGTCTAAGTGTGCAATCATCCCCAAACGTAGAAACCCATTTCACTTTTTTTCCAGATGAAGATAAAAATCAATTCATTCCTCAATAATTGAGGTTACAATAATGAATATGGTGACAAGTAATTTTTTGACGTGGTTCCGAAAATATATTTAACTCGATGAAAATATTTTAAACTGAATATTAAACAGAAAAACGCAAGTTCTTCATGTGTCGAAATTCCTAACAAAGGGTACATGCATGCATCCTGCCTTTGTGAAAAAGTATCAATTGACCATGCATCCTGCCTTTGTTAAAATGAATCAAAAGGGATCGATCTTCAACCACTAGCGAGGATGTGGTTCAGTAAAAGTCTCATATTCCATTACTATGACAGAGTTACTCTTGGATCGATCTGACCTTGTTGCCCCTGAATTATATTCAGATCGTAATGACATGTCCAATCCAATGCTTCTATGCAAATAAAATGCAGGTTGGGAGGGCACTGGGAGAGTGAAGGAGTAGCTATTCATCATGAGAATAACAGAAGCCATGGTTGGCCTATCAGCTACATTTTCTTGCACACATAATAATCCAATGTGGATGCATCTCATTATTTCATTTCTTGAACCAGTCTTCAATGTGGGATCTATTAGATTTGAAGCTGTCCCTTCCCTCCAACTTCTCCAGGCCTGCAATGATTTGTGAATTTGATCAGAGATAAGTTTTCTTTCTTTGATTCGTTGCACTAAATTGTATTGAGATACCAAAACTACATTATATTTTCACTTACGAAGCTTAGAAGATCCTCCGCATTTTCTCCATGCTGGAAGCCACTATTTTTTGTCCACTGACTATCTCTAGAACTAACACACCAAAACTGTAGACATCGGACTTAACAGAAAAGTGTCCATGAAATGCATACTCTGGAGCCATATACCCACTGCATATCAACAAAAAGAATGTGAGCTTTCCCCAACACATATGGAAAGGAAATTGTTGACATAACAAACATAAGCCCACTTGCAGTTAAAGTGCATATTCTTACTAGGTCCCGACAATTCGACTAGTATTGCCTTGCGTTTGATCAAGCACGAACAACTTTGCCATGCCAAAATCTGAAATTTTGGGGTTCATTTCTGCATCTATCAAGATGTTACTAGCTTTGAGATCACGATGAATAATTCTAAGGCGAGAGTCTTCATGGAGGTAAAGGAGGCCTCGAGCGGTGCCTACTATGATTTTGTAGCGCCTATCCCAATCTAGTTGTGCACGCTTTGTTGGGTCTGCAAATATATTAATGCAAAATCAAGACTTCAATTACAATGTTTGCTTGCATACACGTCACACAATTGGAATTTTATAATAAACATTCGAAGTTAAACGAAAACAATGCATAATTCCAGACATACCAAATATGATGTGATCGAGACTTGCATTAGGGACAAATTCATAGACAAGAAGCCTTTCACTTCCTTCTAAGCAGAAACCTAAGAGTCTAACTAAATTCCGGTGTTGAAGTTTAGCCACTAACAAGACCTCATTTTTGAATTCTAAATCTCCTTGCCCAGAATTTGTAGAGAGCCTTTTTACAGCTATATCTTTTCCATTGAGAAGCCTACCCTGGAAAAATATATAGGTATGGAATGAAAAAACAGAAATGAGATAAGTGGTATTCAAGAAATATCAAAGTTATAAGTTCTTGTTATTAACTTGTCATTACCCTGTAAACAGATCCAAATCCGCCATGTCCAAGTTTATTTGCTTCAGAAAAGTCATCTGTGGAAACTCTAATGGTGGCCAAGTCAAATTGCAAGGATTCTGCAGATCCAATTTCATCTGTATCGTCGCTGCCTGAGGAACAATTGAAATTCTAAAAATGCCTATAAAAGTGGTAGTACTTGGCTTCCTCCCTATCAAATGGAATAATATGATTAATTAATGTTCACTAGATTTGTGTTCTTACCTGGAATTAACTTCCCAGTTTCAAGTTTTTTCTTTGTCCTCCTTACTCTTAAACAAATGCAGAAGAATATAACTATTAGTACCACAGAAACAACAATTGGCACAACAATAATGATGACAATCTGAGATCTGTTACTCTTCGATCCTGCAAAAATCAGATATCTCATTTGCATTAATTTGAATACATACATACATCTGTATATGAACCTAACAAAATATGCATTATAAATCTATTCGACCCAAAATTGTTGTAGTGTCAATGGCAGCAATGTTCCATGAACTTGTACACGAGACAACTACATCAACTAAAAATTGAATTGAGGGACTAAAATGTAACTCGTCTACAAATTCCTGGAGAATTGCTCTAGTTAAGCCAACTTTATTTCTTCAAAGCATAATATATTGGGATATAAATATATATATATATATATATATATATATGTACCTCCTATACTGGCTGACGGCGGAGCAGGACTAGACAGTGGCGGTGGAGGAGGACTAGACAGTGGCGGCAGAGAGACGGCAATGGTGGGACAGTTGTAGGGTCAACGTAGAGATAGATCTCATACCGAAGATCACAGCTGGGTTTACTAATTCTAGCACCTACCTTCCCCTGACAACATTCTGGGATATCTGCCAAAGAACTACCCAAGCAATCCCTGCAGTCCTGCTCGGTCAAATCCGGCGTACACTGCGCAAGTCCGTAGATTGTTTGGAAGTTGGGAGCGGTTGCGGTCCCTGCCGCAAATTTTCGAAGTGAACCGTTCCCTGCAGCTTGATCCCTTAGGTCCTCCAGTAGCGTATTCAGCTCTTGAAAAAACCCGTCGACGTCGTAGGACACGTTCTGTACGTTATACCACCGTAAAGGAGGGAAAGTTTCCATGGCTCCGTAGATGGAGCGGCTGGCGTAGCGAAGCGTGCAGTGGTCAAATACAACGAAAGCTTGCTTTTGATTGGGACAGGACTGTGTGAGCAATTGTGTGGCGTTGCTGAGGCAGTAACGGCAAGGGTTCCCCGTGACGTCCCCTCGACATAGCCCGATTGCATAAACCTGGTCAGGGTTTTCCCCGTAGGATGAGTTGTAGAAGCCGTAGCCATTACCATTGTTGGAGGGGGAAGAAAGAGAAGAGAGAAGGGTGTTGAGGTTTGTCTGGTAGGTACTGTTGGTGTTGTAGTTGCCTTTATCGTTGTAACACCGTGGGGCTTGAGATTGAGTGCTGAACATGAGGAACAAAACGGGAGAAAGGAAGAGCATAAATCTGAAGGAGAACATTAATGGCGCCATTCTGTTTGTACATTATTGTTGGTCAAATCAAAACTGTGTTTATATACTTATTATTCTCTTGTCGTGTTGATAAAAAAGGAAAAAAAAGAGAGCATAATACATAAAAAGAAAATGTAATTTATTTCTCAAATGATATATGTTTCGCATATAATAATACTCGGACCAAATCCTGCCATTTCAATTCATCAAAATACTTCTTTTAATTATAGTGCCACTATGCATCCACTATTTCCTTGTCAGTTGTCCAAAAAAACTGATCAACACACACCATATTTTATTTTTTATTATTTTTATTTAGCTCTTCTTTTTTTTTTTTTTTTTTTTTTTTTTTTTTTTTTTTTTTTTTCCATGTTAAATTTTTTTAGTTGGTTTACTTTTTGAAAGTTTTTAATTTTAAAGTTTTAATTTTATGATGAGAGAGAGAGAGAGAGAGAGAGAGAGGAAGAGAGGTGGGTGTGGCCCTAGCGGGTAGGATGGAGCAGTGGGCACATGCATCAGTGCCTATTTTCACCCAGATTTTTGAATTTCAACTGACAAAAGAGAGTAGTGCCTACGTTCACAACTATTCACACGGTATGAGTCCGTGCCTTTAGATCAACTTTCTTTTCTCTCTATTGCTTTTTCTTTCTAGAACCAAAATAAACGTTGGCCACATCCATTTGTATTTGTGTTAACTACCGCGAAATCTGGGTCAAAGGAAAGGAAAATTCCACAAAAGAAAAGGTGACGTAGTTTTGATCGAACTTCTAATACTAACTACTGCAAAGGTAAAAACACACCCTTTTATTTACAATCCCAATATGAGTGGTTTACAAAACAATCAATACTATCCATCCCGATACTACATATTGTGAGCACCATAAATATTGTTGGCTTTCTATCTTATTAATTGAGTTTCACGATCGACTAAATCAAACTTTTGACTACTGCTTAGGAAGCTCTACATGAGGTCCATCCTGCTGATGATTTATATGGAAGTTTCATTTCCCTAGCCAGAGTTTATATTTGACTAGAATTATGAAGGTAAACATTGACTAGCATGGACGAAGATTTTGGAAATCATTGAGATATCATAATATGAGTAAAATAAAAGCCACACACACATATTGACAGAGATGGGACTGGTTCTTCTTGTGATTTTTGATGAGGACTAATTGGAGATTTCAAATAAATAAAACAATTGAATATTGGAAGGGGGACGTCAAGGCAAGGAGATGTTGCAAGGAATTTTCTACCGTGGACGGACTGCTTTTTACTTTACCAACCTTAATTAGTGGGTCTCCTGGTCAAAGGAATGGAAACTTCTAAAAATGGGAAAAAGATAAAAATGTTCCATAAAGCATATCTAATTCATGAAATTGGAAACATCTAATTTGAAGCTCAACGTCCATTTAGGGATAAGAGGTCAAGTCAAGCATCCAGCTTTTTCTTCTTTTTTGTTTTTGCAAATTATGATTCTAGTCTCTATAACTTGGCAAAATCTGACGTTGGTGTTGGTACATTAAATTTCAATTTTCATGGAAAATTAAAAATCATTTAGTGCCACATCAAATATTTGACTGGAATTATGAATTATGATTTCATCCGACCATATAATACTGCCCACTAAATTGGCCCTAAAAGAAAGCTACATCACAACAATATGAGTCTAGCCACAACAAAAGTATCAAACTCATTGAGAACATATATCGTCCTCGTTGTCCATGTGAATAAAACTTGAGACCTCCTCTAACTAAAAATACTACTAAAACAAAGGCTAGTTAGTAGCCTAAAGTCCCTTTCAAGTTTAGAAATTGTCATAGCTCTGTTCTGTGAGCAGATCCGGAACATCTTGTAAAATAACATTGATTTCGATTCCCATCACCCATCTAAATGACAGAGTTTACAAGCTAAATTTACAAAGAAAATTAACTAGGTTATTACTTGTAGACTACTCCGAATCAATTACAATCAATATAACACAAGGAAACTAAAACTAACTTTCCTAATTCTTAACACCCATGTTCTTATGAGAAGTAGGTGCAATTGTCAATTACAAGAACCGACATACCTTCTACAAAAGGGAATCCAGCAACTAAAGGCTTTAACAACTTATATAATATTATAGCCGGGTTATTAATTGAAATGGTCCCTTAATTTTTGCTCCAATCTCATTTTAGTCCACCAACTAAAATTTTCATTTCAATAGTCCTCAAACTCTCTATTTAGTATCAAAATGGTCCTAATGTCAAAGTCTGTAAATTTTGCCATTAAATTCAGGGGCAAAACTGTCATATGAATTAAAATAGTAATATATAATTATGTTTTGCCTGATAGGAAGAGGGAGGAAGCCGCGTGCAGCAAGAAGAAAAAGCATTTTGTTTTTTTTAAAAACCACATGGGCCAAACGACGTCGTTTTGGCCCTGGGAAATTTTTAAAATAAAAATGCCTTCCGTATCCTTCCACTGACCTCTCGACCTAGCCAACCTTCCTATCCCAAAAACCCTTCCCATCTTCCAATTGCCATTATTCTTTTCTCAGATCCAAACCCCAAGCTCCCCAATCACCACCTATTATTGTTATTGTGATATTTCTCATTTCAAGTTATTTTTAAGTCTTAAAATCAAAATCAAAATAAGGATGATGTGTGCTGTTTTTAATTTAATGGAAATCAAATCTGTAATTGCTTGGATGAAATTTATGATTTATATGTATGATGAAGTTTTTGCTTATTTGTTGATTAGGTGGTTGTGGTTTTTTTTGTTCTTTGGTTAATTGGCATAGATTTGCTTTGAAGTTTTAAAAATTGAAATCACTCAAAAACATATATAAAAAAATGACAAATTGAAATCATTCAAAGCATATTTTTCAAGAAAGAAATAAAATTTGGAAGAGAAAAAAATAGATAAGAAAAATAACCCATTCTTAAATTTTCTTTGGAACATTTACACTATGACCCTACGGGATTCGAATCCTGGGTCCGTCACTGCTCACCCACCATGAGTTTCCCCGATGTTGATAATTACCTTCACTCTTTATATATTAACATAGGCAGTCTACACAGTAATAAAATAATAACTTTTCATATAGGGTCTGATATTTTACATCATCTTAGATACTAACAATGAAAAAAAGGACATAGTAGATCAAGGATATATACTTGTTAGTTGCTGGACTATTCCAGGAAGTGAAGCATCCCATATGAACAAGACCAGCCCATGCCCCAACCTGAATGATGACTTTTTAGTTGCTGGAATTATGGCAATGGTGCCTGAACTTGTAGACGAGACGACTACATCAACAAAAACTTGAATTGAGAGAATCAAATGTAACTCGTGTACAAATTCATGGACAATTGCTCTAATTAAGCCAACTTTATTTCTTCAAAAGCATATATCACTACTACGTTTCACTATTTGCGCGACGAAACATTGCGCGACGAAGATCAACTCGTCGCGCAAACAATAATTGCGCGACGAAAATACATTTTCGTCGCGCAATGCACTGAAAATTTGCGCCACCAAACTATTTCGTCGCGCAAAATGTATATGCGCGACAAAAAACATTTTTCGTCGCGCAAACTGAGTTAAAAAAAGAGCGGGGAATTTTTTTAGCGCGAAACATTTGCGCGACGAGAAATATCGTCGCTGAAGGCAACATTGCGCGACGAACAAATTATCCGTCGCGCAAATAGGACAGTCCCCTGATTTAGCGCGACGGAAAGACGTTTCGTCGCGTAAGAGAACAAGAGATATTTTATTTTTTGGCGCCAAAAATGACCTGGGTGGGATATTTTTTTTTGCGCGACGTACTGACGTTTCGTCGCGTAAAGTTCAACGTTTACGCGACGAATACCTTGTTTTGCGCGACGGAATTATGTTTTTGCGCGACAATGTTGCGCGACGAAGGTTTGCGCGACGAAAAGTACCAGCGTCGCGCAAAAGTTAGATGTCGGCAGGTGTTTGCGCGACGAAAAAAAGGGTTTGCGCGACGAATAATTTGGTTTTTTGCGACGGGACTTTGCGCGACGAATAAGTATGTTCGTCGCGCAAAGTCCTTCTTCTTCATATTAGAATTCTGCCATTGCAGAGGCAGAATGCAAAAACAAAGCATTCTGCCTCTGCCTCTCTCTCAACCTCTCTGCTGCTGCTAGGATTTCAATACATTGATTGGGTAAGTATTTTTCGTCATTAGTTTAAAAGTATTAATTTAAGTTCGTACTAAGGTTTTTTAATTTGTTTTCGTTAGGGATATTTGTAATTAGCGATTGGTGGAGAACGATTGAGAAGGTATTTTATTTGTTTTATATATGTTTAAAATGTTCTTGTGAAGTTATATTTATATTATGTTGTGCGTAACGTAGTACAATCTGTTGTGATGTACGAAGTTAATTGAAATTAACTTCGTGCTTTTATTTTTATGTTTAGTAACACTTAGTTTCCCGTTCGAGATTAGTTGGATTTCGTGCATGGATGCGTAATGCATGACTGCGGTCCAATTAATTCTTGAATTGTCCCATTATTTGGACAGTTTGGTAATGCATAGTGTTGTCACGTAATCTATGGCTACAGGATTAGGTTTCGATTGTGGATATTTCGTTGTCATCTCGGTACGTTCTTCGGGTGGTACATAGGTATTTATACCTATGACTGTCATGTGTTTATGCAACGCCTACTTCCTGTTGGTATTCGACACCTATTGCCGGAAGATGTAGTGAAGCCAATCATTTTGTTGTCCAGATTTTTTTCCCAACTGACGGCGAAAACTTTGCGAAAAACGGACATGTTTCAGTTGCGCCATGACATTGTCCAAGTCCTATGCAAGTTTGAGATGATATTTCCTCCAGCTTTCTTCACAAGTATGATGCACGTGATGGTTCACTTGCCAGAAGAGGCATTACTTGCTGGTCCTGTCAACTATCGCTGGATGTATCCAATAGAAAGGTATATAATCCTTATCATTTGTGTATGCATCATTATCACATGCTTGCTAATTTCAATCATATCGTTTTATTTTGGCA